GGAATGTCAAAGTACAGAAGGTAAATTAGTTTGTGTCTGAACTCCACAATATGTAAAAAAATTGAATATGAAAGTTTGTTAAAATTTGCAAGTTTAGCAGGAATTTGGTTCTTTCAGCAGCTATTGCTGGAGATTTGTTAACCATGAGCCATTAAGAAATAGGTTCTGATATGCCCGTCAAGTACCAGTTAAGACCTCAAAAGCTAAACTCATGAGTAAGGATATGATGCAAAGAGGATTTCGTTGTGTGGGACCTACTGTTGTTTATTCATTCATACAAGTGGCAGGGATTGTTAATGATCATCTTGTAACTTGCTTCAAATGCCAAGAATGCAATGCCAATGTCAAAAAGGATATAAAACCAAAGATTAAGGAAACAGAAAGGCTAACTAAAGATTTAGAGAACACATGCTTATCTCGCTAGTGAATGCCTCAACCACACACCATTTTCTTGACTAATCACATAGATATTAGTATAGAGAAGGTTGTAGCAGGAGCATGAAGGCCAGATGGTAAAAAGAAGTGTCAAAGTACAGAAGGTAAATTAGTTTGTGTTTGAACTCCACAATATGTAAAAAAATTGAATATGAAAGTTTGTTAAAATTTACAGGTTCAGTAGGAATTTGATTCTTTCAGCAGCTATTGCTGGGCATTTGTTAACCACATGCCATTAAGAAATGGGTTTCGATATGCCCGTCAGTACCAGCTAAGACCCTAAAAGCTGAACTCATGAGCAAAGATATGATGCCGAGAGGATTTCGTTGTGTAGGACCTACTGTTGTTTATTCATTCATGCAAGTGGCAGGGATTGTTAATGATCATCTTGTAACTTGCTTCAAATGCCAAGAATGTAATGCCAATGTCAAAAAGGATATAAAACCAAAGATTAAGGAAACAAAAAGGCTAACTAAAGATTTGGAGAACACATACTTATCTCCTTTCAATGGTTTTTTATTTTTGAAATATATTTAAAAATAGATGGGCTGAAATTTGTAATCAAGGGGTAAACCTTTCAATGGTTTCTTATTTTTGAAATATAAAAACCTAGCGTCAACTCCTTACTCAACTCAGCTGTCTATGAAAAAAATAAAAGCTCAGCCACCGACATTCAAAAAAATCGGACATGGAGAAAGATATGAGGGATTCAGATTATGAAACATTTTTTAGTAGTTTAGAACGTGACTATGATATCTTTGTGGAGAATTTAGCAAAGGATGGGATACAACAATTATTCTTAGTTGAACTTCTATCTAATTTTGGTGCCTTGGAAATATTCAGGAATGAAGAAGAGGAAGAAGGGCCATTTCAAAATAGAGAAAGAAAGAGAAATTTAAAGAGTGATTCCAGCAGAGTTAAGGCTTTGGTTCCTTAGAATTCGAGTGGTTTTTTTAGGAAAGCAAAGACTAAGATGCCTAAAACTTTGAAAAAATGTTTGGAGATTGGAACTGCAAAGAAATCTTTAGAGATTAGAACTGTGAGAAGTAAGAATAAAGTAAGAGATGTTCCTAGTGAGGAAAGAAAGAGTCCAGTCGATGAGATCAAAGTAAATAGGGAACCTGATGATTATTCTGTATATTGTAAATTAAGTGGAAAACCTTTTAAGAAGATGAATTGTGATATGATAGATGAAAGCTTTCATATGCTTCTGGATTCTGGATTTAATGAAAGTGATGACACAAATATACATGGGAATGATGATGAAAGTTGTTCTGGTTTGGAGATACTTGTATTAGATAACGTTCCTTTTCATGAAAGAGATAATACACCATTTGTACCATCAAAATGCTATCAATCATTGGTATACATATTTTCTTTGCTATTCTCTATATTGTATCCGTTCTTTTTTTTTTTTTTTCTTTTATTTATTTTCTAAGGGGTGGAAAAACTAAAATAAACTTAACAGGACGTACATCTAGGCTTAGATAATTTTTTAGTTTCTAAACCCATGTAGAGGTTCTTGGAAGGGTTTTCTATTACAATTTTTTCTTCAATTTTGTATGTTGTTGATTCTTTTATTATTCTTTTCTGGTTCTTTGTGCTTGTTGCAAAACAAAAAAAAAAAAAGATGGTGAAGAGAGTTGGGATGGGATCAGCACTTCTAGTCAGGTTCAATTTAGGAAGAAGCCTATGGATCTTCTTAAAATTCCTTATGACCCAAATGAGTTTGAAAATCTTTGACGAGAAATAAGTTGCAAAAAACCAGTGCAAGGTGTTAAAGAGTTACGTCATGGACGAATGAAAGTATATTCAACCAAAACTAATGGATTGGTATGAAGGTGAGTGTGTTTTCTCTAAATTTGTTGATGTGTTTTTCTTTATCGTAAATATGTATATTATGCTAATAATATACATTAGTAACTGAGACCATTGTTTCGTTTAAAGTATTTGTTACAAGTCTTGTAGTTCTATCAAAATGATCTTATGATACATTTGCACTGGAAAAAAAATCTTGCAAGCAAGATTGATGCTCAAAATTTTTACTTTCAGTATCCTATTACTTGTCAAAAATGAATATGCCATCTCTTGGTTTGGTAATATTACTGAATGCTAGATGATCTAGAATATCAAATTGTGTTCAATGGTTGAGCAAATCTTATTCAACAGCTATTGTTGGGGATTTGTTAACCACAAGACATTAAGAAATGAGTTCTGATATGGCCATCAAGTACCAGTTAAGACCCCAAAAGCTGAACTCATGAGCAAGGATATGATACAGAGATGATTCCATTGTGTGGGACCTACTGTTGTTTATTCAGTCATGCAAATGGCAGGGATTGTTCATGATCATCTTGTAACTTGCTTTAGATGCTAAGAATGCAATGCCAATGTCAAAAAGGATATAAAACCAAAGATTAAGGAAACAGAAAGGCTAACTAAAGATTTGGAGAACACATGCTTATCTCGTTAGTGAATGCCTCAACCAAACACCATTTTCTTGACTAATCACATAGATATTAGTATAGAGAAGATAGTAGCAGGAGCATGAAGGCTAGATGGTAAAGGGGAGTGTCAAAGTAATGAAGGTAAATTAGTTTGTGTCAATTTTGATCTAGTTTGTGTTTGGTTAAAATTTGGATAAAAAGTAAAATCAAGTAAAATCAGCCATGTAATGAAGGCATAATGTAATTTTAATCTCAGAGAGAAATATGTATCGATGGTTTTTCTGCAGCTTCTGTAGTTGTTGTCTCAAAATTGCAACCTCGTTTTGCTTAAATTGTCAAGTAAACAGTAAATGTTAGTCTATTTAGAACATAACAAACACAACAATAATATGAAAAGCCTGTGAGAAGAAAAAATAAATTCACCTAAAATGGAAGAGCAACAAAAGAGTAATGCTAAAATTTGTGAGAAAATGAAAATTTGTTTGAAAAATAAATTGAATGAAAATGCTGTAAAGAATTAAGCTATATAATAGATAGATTTTATTCAAATAATAAATTTGTTTATAAATTATATTTAATCAGATAATAATATTCAAATTTTTATATTTTATATCTTTATCTGATAATTTTTTTTATATTTTATATCTTGATATCTTTATCTGATATTACGTTAGTCATTATCACATACAATCATTTAAAATTAATAAGTTAAAATACTCACACTTATCTTATCTTCTTTTCTTTAAGTATTTTTTTATGATAAAAAAATTTATTTTACGTAATTTTGAAAACTTTTAAAAGTAAAACACTTACTTTACTATTGGCAACGTCGCTCTGCCTTGACACAAGTTCATACTTTGCCCAGTATTTCCATTTTTTTTAGCAAAGCATTAATAATACATATCATATATATATATATATATATTTATCAAGCAAATATACGTATCAAGGCTGGTATATTTTTATAGTTTAATTTAACTTTGTTATAGTAATTAAATAGTTATGTTAATTGTAGATAAATTAGAAAAGATAAATTATTTTAAAATTAATTTTAAATTAAGATAAAGTGATATACAAGATAAAAGAATTTCATTAAAATTTAAATTGATTTTTGATTAAATTTTAAAATTTTAGATAATTTAATAATATTTAAAATATTTAAATATCATATGTGTCATCGTAATGTGAAGTTTTAAAATTAATTTTATGTGTAAAAAAAAAAATTATCCATGTAAACATCCACGTCAATAATTATTATCTGATAATTATATATGTTGTAATATAATATATATATATATATTTATTTATATATGATTAGGGACTAAATTGAGTCAATATGATGAAACTTGAGCTAGATTTAAAATTTTGTTCGAGTTTGAATTTTAAATTTTAAACTTGAACTAGATTAGAGATAAATGTTGAATTATTTAAATTTATTTTATTAGATTTTTTTATTAAATAAAAAATGAGTTTAATTTTTATATTCAATTTTAAATTTAATTATTTATATATGAATTCGAGTTTAAAATTTAAATTCATATATATATTTATATGTAAATAAAATATCAATTTTTAATTAAAATAATAAAAATATATATTAAAATATAAAAATTTAATTAAACTAATAAATTATTTGAATATGATATTAAAAAACTTAAATTAAACTTAATTTAATAATAATTATATTAAATATATATTTTATTTAAATTAAATTCAATAATTTATGAATATTGATGGATCATTATATTTCTACCGACCGACTTCATGGGAACTTTTTTAAAGCACCGAAGAATGTAAAATTTTACGTAGATACTATTTTGACTTCCACAAAAAGAAGAATCATTTAAGAGAAAAAGAAAAAAAAAGAGATTATTTAAAGCCCAAGTTACGGATGGAGCCCAACAAGAATGGCCCAAAACCAAATCTCAAGTAGTAGATCTTGTCGGAATTTTATTTACATTTTTTCCTGTTTTAAGCTTTTATCATGAGCATGCCTCAGTAGCAGCACCATAATCAAGCAATGATTTATAATGGGATCCACTAAAACATAAAATGACGTGGCAAAATCTAATAGAATCAGTTACCTTCCAATTGCAGAAACAGCAGGAAACTCACAGCACTGCCATATTTATCTTTCAAAAGTCCGAAAGTCCGGACTCCACAAAAACAGTTGCGGAAAGGAGGGAAATGCCAATGGGCAGTCCCTCCATTTCCCTCCGCTTCACCATCTTCCTTTCTCTTTCTTTAGCAGCTTCTTCCTCTTCTCCTTCCTTCATCTTCAATCCCACATCCCCATCCCCTTTAATCCCCAAAGCGACGCCGTCCGATTTGCTCTCTCTCCTGGGTCCACCGTCTGAGTCTTCCTCAGTTAACCCTTTAGTCGCCACTGAACTCAAATCCTGTTTCAAATTCCTCGTACCCTTCACTCCAATCAATACCCAACAATCCCCACACTTCAAATTCCTTTCTTATAGACGGTCCCTTCTTAAAAGCCAAAGAGATGAGGAAAATGAGCTCATTTGGTGGCCTCCTGAACCGGTTCTCGAGCTGGCCCGTCTCGCTGTTGACTCTGGTGGTGACCCTGGTTCAATTCATCGCGCTCTTGATCCAACCGTCTTGCCTGTAAGTTAAAGTTAGTCTTAAAGTATTAAACTTTCATGGGTCCCAGCTGATGAACGGCTGTGATTAACAGGTGCCTGATGTTGAAGGATCAAAGGAAAATAAATGTCAGTTAACCAGAACGCCCTACGGCAGACGCTTCATTTGTCAGGTTTTTAAATCAAACTCTTCAAAAAGAACCCTCTTTTTTAAGGTTCAGCTTGGTTACATTTGTTGCTTTGAGAAATGGCAGGAGTTGAATTCATATCTGGAATACTTGTTTAAACTTATTGTTGAGAGGGGTTCTGCTGTTGGATTGGAAGTTTCATTAAATCGATATGATTTGTTTCATGGTCACCTTTTCATTGCCCCAGAGTCTGGAAGGCTTGGCATATTGTAAGTTTTCTTTTGTCCCTCAACATTATGCTTGTATTAGTAACTGTGGTTGAATTATATGAATTGGAGATGTGATTTGCATAGGAATCATGTTGCAAGATGTTGAACAAAGAAGTTTAGATGACAGCTGCTAAATTTTTTGTTTATCGAAATCCAAGGGCCAGTGTTCTTATGGCATATCTGAACCTCTTTAGTTTTGTAACTAATTAGTTGTATCATTGTTTTGAATCTTTACAATGGATGTGTGGTCTGTTGGTAGAGTACTGGATCTTAGCTTGAGTTACCAGTTTAATCCCTAGCAACCTCAAATACCAAAAAAAAAAAAATGTCTTGAATCTTTAGACCTTAAGGGAAATGTATGAAATTGGTGAAGAATATATAGCCTGTGATTGTTGATGATAATGACTCGACATCTTAGTAAGTGATTGGCCACTGTTTTAATGTTGGAATCATATGGAAAGGGTGGAAAGTGGACAAGAAAGATATCGTGATCTCTACTAGAAATCATTTTATCAATCTATTACTTTGAACTCTGGCATGTTCCTAATTTGTAGCATTTGGATGGCAGGTTTCATGCTAAAGAATACCCAGCATATGATAAAGAAGTGTTTCCATGCAACATGGGTTATTGCCAGAAGGGTATAATTTACTGGATGTTTTCTTTGATCTATATTGATTTTTTAGTGGCTTTTTACTATTTAAAGACATAACATATGTGAATCCCATCTGATTCTGTTTTGTGTCTCTATGCACTACTGGTTATATATGCTGTTTCCAGGGTCCAACGTGACTTATGATGATTCGATGAACTTGAGAAACATTCTCTGGCTTGCTCCATTGCCAAGCAATTCCACAAAAGGTTGGATGGCTCCAGGTAGGTCTTTCTTTAAGTTCTGAGTTCAGTTCTAAATAAAATTTCTGGAAACAATCTGTTTTCAGCTTCTACTGCACATAACTTTATATTGGAACTAAAAAGATGCTGCTAGTGTTTCTCTACTTTAAAAGAAGAGGACTTGATATTAGCTTGGTTATGATAAATTATTTGACAGGTGTCTTGCTTGTCCTGGATGCACGTCCGGAAGGAATCATATATAGGGATCTCATACCTGAGTATGTGAATTTTGCAAGGACAATTTATGAAGGTTTGATTATCTATTTGTCTTTACGCTAGTTTTATTTATGTAGTTAGCATATGTATGCTTTTTTTTTGCTTAACTTTGGATGGAATGACTTGGAACAAAATTTCTGGGTTTTGGCCAGATGATCTGGGCAATGTTGTGGTGGATGTAAACTATTTGAACATTGGAGATCCACTGCCTGATTATCAGATTTTCATTTGTTGATTCTTCCAAAGGTAAAAGGCTGACTTGACAGATCATGATCTACTTGAGTGCCTTTCAAACTTCTTCATTAGAAATATACTCAATGCTTCATCCTATGTAGGTGGGAAATTTCAGATGATCATCAAAATGGATGTTGAGCCAAAGATGAGCTTGAAATCCGACTGTGTTCAATAATTGCTAATAACACTCAACTGATTCACACAATCAAAAACGGTGTGCATTATGCAGCAGAGAAAACCTTATGGTTGAGCGTGGATGCTGGAGCCTGGATGCTCTAAATGACTTGCCGATGTTCTGACTTTTGGGATACCAAGTTTACATTATTAGACTGCTGATATATTGTTTAATAAAACATAAAAATAAAAAAAAAAAACCCCAGTTTTTAGTTTAATGTTCCATTGTCTACCAGATTGTTGCTTGATAGAAATAAATATGGAAATTATGAGATTTGAATGCATAATTTCCTTGTTCATGTTCTTTTTTGATGGCTATACTACATTGATCCTTATCATACAAGTTTTAATCCTTGTTAAAGATTCATCTTAATTTATTGGTTTTAACTTTTTGAAAGATTCCTCAAAAAAAATTTTTTTACAAAAAAAGGGAGAGGAATGTGAGGAACTCTTAAATTTGATGAAAACCATGTATTACATGCAATTTATTTTTCTAAAAATAGTATTTTAACTATATGTGTATAACATAATCGTTAATATAGTATGGTAATATGTATCATACAATACTCTATACATATCGTATGATATGGTTCAGTTTATTACAAAATCGATACGTATTCATATTCATATATGAAGAATCGATGGCATATGTATTGATACATAAATCATTTAGTATCAAACTATGTATATTATACATTTTGATGCGATTGTGGTGAATTTAAATAAAATCTTACTAATATTTGATCAAGCTCAATTATAAAAAAAAGAAAATTTTAATATTTTTTACTAAAAAACTTGTAAACATATTCTCTAAATATTTTAAAGTTAAATAATTAGAAAATTTTAGACTATTAGTCAGTAAATTAAAATGAAAAATATAAGAAAATTTTTATTAAAAAAATACTATTAATCGGCATGTTGAGTGTTCAAAAAATAATCATATTTTCTATTTATGTTATATAATTACTCAATCTAATTAATATGTATAATTTTTTTATTTATTTTATTTATTTTACATATATATTTTCTATTTCTAATAATACGATACTCAACCCGGGCTTTAGTTTTTGGGATTGGATCAGCTGAAGACCTCAAAGTAACCCAGCCCAAAAAATAGATTTCAAGATTCTTCTAGAATTTAAAATGTTTCAGGTAACACATTTACCTTTACAGTCGGTGGGCCTACTAACTGCTCCCACTAAACCCGACCCGATATGCCAAATGGGTCACTTATTATCTCCGCCGCCTCATCCGCTTTTTTCTTACTTACTCTTATGTCCGCTCTAAATCCTCTTTTTTTTTTTTTTTTTTTTCACTAATACGATAAACACTCCACGAAGAAAAAAGCCTAAAGCAATGGCCGTACAGTGGATAGACAGATACGATCTGTGGAAGAACAAGGCTCGCGTTTTACAACTCCAGCTCAGGCAGCGGTTTCGGGTAGCGGTTGATCGCCGCCGTCGCGAACGCAATACAATGTTTGCTGACCGTTACTTCTCTTCCACGGTTCAACGCTCGCTCCGTCGCTTCCGTGACTTCCGTCGCGATTCTCTCCCTTCTTCCTCCGCTTTCTACCGCAAACGAGGTCGCATTTCCCGCTCTGAATCCGATGTCTTTTCTTAATGAGATTCTCATGATCTCTTTATGATCTTTTTTGGCTTTTTACGTAGCAAAAGGTTATTTATTTATTTAGTTTTGATAAATTATCACCATTCTCATAAATGGTAAGAATGCTTCAAAAGAAATATAGGTAAAGAAGTAATTTATAAAGCAAAATTAGATTTTTACTTAATAACTTGAATTTTTATTGCCTTAATTTGAAAATTTTTGAAAGTTATGTGAATGTTTTGCGTCAAAGTTAGAAAATTTTCGCTAATCAATTTATGTTGCTGGTGTTGCAGTGAGTAAAGACTTTAATGTGGAGGAGGACTCGGTTATTTTTCGAATGCTTCAAGCTGTGGCCGTTCCTTTTATTGGAAATGTTTGCCATGTTTTTATGAATGGTCTCAATCGTGTTCAAGTACGTAGGATTTTGTATGATTGAGAATTCCAATTGTGTTATTTGCTGGTATGCTGTGGTTTGGAAGAATAAATACGTGTTCTCTAATTTGGCAGGTTTATGGCCTTGAAAAATTGCATGATGCATTGCTTAATAGACCTAAGAACAAACCCCTTATAACGGTATGCAATATGGGCTTTTGCTATTTATCAGTTTAGCTTGTCTCCAGTGTAGGTGTGATGGTGTTGTACATAGGGGTATGCTGATGAAGGAATGCGTCTATCGTTTTTGAAATTCATTGTAGGTAAGCAATCACGTTGCTTCTGTGGATGATCCGTTTGTCATTGCTTCATTGCTTCCTCCGAGAGTTCTGCTGGATGCTCAGAACTTGAGATGGGCATTATGTGCATCTGATCGGTGTTTCAGTAATCCTGTGACTTCTGCATTCTTTCGTTCTGTAAAAGTGTTGCCAGTGTCTCGTGGTGATGGGATTTATCAGAAGGTACGAAAATTGATACTTTCAACTTTTCCCCAAAAATATTTTTTTGAAATTTATTTCTAAAGAAAATTGATACTTTCAACTTTTCCTCAAAAATATTTTTTTTTGGAACTTTGATTAGGAAAATTGATACTTTCAACTTTTCCTAAAAAATTTTTTGAAAATTTATTTTTAAGGAAAATTGATACCCCTTCTAAACTTTGACATATTCTGAGAGAGTGAGTTGATAACTATACATATGCATGTGCAGATGAATGTAGAATCCTTGCATTGGAAATTTTGTAGTATGGATTGTTGAGATGAGGGTCAATTTACCTAAGAAGGTGGAAAAAAAATGAGGGAGATATTAGTGGCATTTAAACTTCTACGAAATGAAGATGATAGCTAATGTCCTAGACTGGTCTGATTGTAGACTTATGGTGCTTTCTTTTGTGTGTGCATACGCATGTTAAAGTAATGTGTTTGGTTTTCATGCATATTATTTAGTGTTTATCAGGGACTAGGTTTCTTTTTTCTTTCCTTGAACTTCTTATGCTGCATAAGTTCTGTAATATGTTTTAGGTCTGAGGTATTTTCACCTTTATTGACAGGTTTCTGCTACATTATTTGTTAGGGTCATCAGCAAGTCTATGCCTTTCTTTATTACTTAAACATGTTCGGCAGTTATGCCCATTTCATCATTTTGATTCAATTTGTTGCAGGGCATGGACATGGCTATTTCAAAATTGAATACTGGTGGATGGGTTCACATTTTCCCAGAAGGTAGTCGTTCTAGAGATGGTGGAAAAACTGTGAAATCTTCCAAGAGAGGTGTTGGGAGGTAGGGTTTGTTGATAAGTTCTCTTCTGTGAATGAGTCTACATCTTCTTCTATCTGGAAATAAACAGGCCTTATCTCTTGATAAAATCTGTGTTAAGAATATGATTTGTCCAATTTGAGAATGATACTTTCTTTCCCATCTATCGCTTTTGTTTATCTTCCTTGTCAGTTAAAAGATACATTTAACAATGTTGTGGTGATACAGGTTGGTTCTAGATGCAGACACTGCCCCAATTGTCCTGCCATTTGTGCATACTGGAATGCAAGATGTTATGCCTATAGGAGCCAATTTCCCAAGAATTGGCAACACGGTACGTAGTGTTGCTATTATTTCTGTTGCCAGATAGACATCCTTAAAATACCCATGCCACTCAATTATTCGTTTGATGACCCCCTGTGAGTATCTTGTCTCTGTATTTTGTGACTTCGCAATGTTCTGCACATGTTCCGCTACCGGCTGAAAATGCCTACCTCTTCCTTTTCTATTAGCATTGTCCTTTTTTTTTCTTTCCCCTGTTTCAAAATCTCCATCCATTCTCAACTCTTCCCTTGTTCACCTCGCTTAAACCCTTTTCCCCCTACTAACAAATCCTTGCTGGTGGCTGGTTATACCATGTTTTTACGTTAATGATTACATTTCCTCTCATTAAGTGTTATGCTGATTTCTTTGTTTCTTTTTCTTTTTCTTGCTTACTTTAACTGGTGAATTCTTTTGATACATAAAACCTTGTAGGTGACAGTTCTAATTGGAGACCCTATAAATTTTGATGATCTGCTCAATGCGGAAGAAACGACAGATTCATCAACAGGGAAGCTCTATGATGCTGTAGCCTCTAGAATTGGGCACCAACTGCGGAATTTAAAAGTACAAGTTGACAAATTAGCGCTTGAACAATCCATCCGATTAGAGAACCATCACAAGGATGGTGCAGAAAGGGCAGCTGACATCTTGCACCAGATAGATTGGTATCCATTTGGCTTAGGAAGTGATGAATGTATGGTGGATGATGAATCATCGAGAGAAGAGACCCGAGTTCAGCTGAAGCTGACTGCTGCCTGTCCTGAAGAGTCCACTCCTGATCGATATTTCAGAATTGGGTTTTCCTGTGAAGGTGGAATCACATCAAGAATTCGCAGCTACATGGAACCAACTGAACTGATGGGTTTTGCAGCAAGAGGATTGTTTATGAACCGCAGACCAAAGGAAAATTCTGCTAGCGTTAGTGATATACGCCCACTGAGGGCTTGGAAACAGTTTTTGGAAGCTAATTTGTTCCAACAATGGAATACCTGCTAACATGTAAAGGTCGAATATGTACTAGGCAAAGCATAGAACCTTTTATCGCTAAACAAAAAGAATATATTGTATGTAAATAAAAAAGATTGATATTCAAAGGTTCGGTTAAACAGCAGTTTTGGTCTACGCATTGTAAATCTTTCTGTGTCTTGGTAGATATGATAATTTTAAATGGGATATAATGATAATATGATATAATAATGATATGAATAAAAAATATAAAAATAATATGATTTAAAATTTTAATAAAAATTATAAATAAATTTAATAAAATTTTAAATATATATTTTATATTTTTTTATAGATATAAATTATGATATATAATTTTTATATAAAATATAAATATACATATTATCAATAATTGACATTATACAAATATAGAATTTATCAAGTTTACATGGAATTTCACAATTAAATTTATGATAGTTAATGTTAGTCCCCTTTAAAACGACAGCGTTCTTGAATGTTAATACGACGACGTGGACTGAAGAGAACAAAAAATAATTCAAACGCCATCGGCGGAAAAGATTTTGATTTGATTTGATTTTTTTTTTTTTTTTTGGTTTCTTCACTCTCTTGTTTCGCAAACCAGAAAAGCCTTTCAAGATCGTCATCATCATCTCTCTCTCATTTTCCGTCCTTTGCTTTTCCTTCCATTTATCCTTCCAAACAGAAAAATCCTAACGCTTTGTTTTTCTCTTTAAAGTTTGCTCGTTAGAGAGCAAGAAAGAAAGGTATGGCAGAAGAAGCGGAGCTGAGCGAGGAGCAAAAGAAAGAGATCGCCAAATGGTTCCTCCTCAACGCTCCCACTGGCGAAATCCAATACGTTGCCAAAGGTCTCTCTCTCAGGTGTCGTTTTTGCCTTGCATTTGCTATTTCCATTGTCGTCTTTGTTTTCTCTTTTCTGATTGATCAGTTTGATGAATTAGTTTCGATTTTTCTTCACGTTTCCTTTTCTCTCTCTCTCTCTCTATATATATATATATATTTTGCAGATTTAAAATCGGTTTTGAATGATGATGACGTGTACAACGAGGAAGCATCGGAGGCATTTCCCCGTTTACAACAAATCTCACATGATTTGCCTCGAAATGCCTGGTAGATTTGGAGATGTAAGTCTTAGAAATCCCTAATTTATTATTATTTTTTTGTTAATAATTTGTAACTTAAGGTTAGGTTTCTAGTAATGTTAAAACATTTTCTGAGATGCGAGTGGCTGAGAGCATTTGATATGTTTTAGGATTGCTAGAAAACTAGAAATAGCTTTTGTTTACTTCATGCGTTAATACTTTTAAGATTAACATTTGTTATTGAGAATTTCTGTGCTTAGAGTTTAGTTTAAGTTGGATTATGCGCAAGAAATACAAACGCGTCTTGATTAAATGTGGTAAGCCTAGCTTTTAGAATGCTGGAGGTTTATTTGGCAATGAGCGTCGATCATTGCGTTTTAAGATGCTTGATTTCTAATGTTTTCTAGATAGGACATTGGATTCTTTTTGACATGGTTACAGTCCATAAGTCAGCCAATTAACTCAATTTCTCATTTTGGCTTGTTTTTCTTATCAAACATGAGGATAGTTTCAATTTGTGGTCTGTTGTTGAGATGCCGATTTCATTGAATTTGGTTTTAAAACATACTAATTGTTGGAATGTGTTTCTTTAATTGGAGTTTAGGTGCTTGCTACATCTTATGGGGAGCTTCAGGATAATGAGTATCTTGACCCCAAGACTGCCCAAGTTGCCGTAGTTGACCATATCAAACAGGTACCTTTTAGCTTTTAATGCATCCTGTGATTGAAAACTTTTAATCCCATATAAAAGCAGAGAACCTGTGCTGCAATACCATTTCCTGAAATCGAAATTTTTTATAGCAAGTAGATTATAGGATAGTCTTCCCCCTGTTGATATGACACTTGGCATATTAATGCATCATTTAGTTTGAATGTTTATATCATGATGTGCTAAATTGGTTCAGGTTTGTACAGAGGTGAGACCTGCCACCGATGAGGAGCTTCCATCCCCATATATCGAGGAATACCGGTATGTGTTACAACTCTGATGGACTTTATTATTTTTTAATTGATTTCTTATGAACTTTTACAAGCATCTCTCTGTAAAATTTACTATAGTTGACTGAATATTTGGTGTCATTAGATTTCAAGTGCCAATTCCCCCCATTGGCAGGATCCAAGATATTACCTCCTTAGATCTGATTTGTTCCATGCTAGCTGATATCAGCTAGCCCAAATTGGCAAAATCCTATGTCTCAAGTAACTACTGACATGGAAATGATTTGGCTTGGAGCCAGTGCTTGTTGTACACTGTGACCATTCCTAACATGTAGCTCTTTGCTACTATTGGTCCTTTACCTACTTATTAGAGATGGGATAAATGTCTCTGTTCTAAGTTTTTCTGTCCAAGGTTTGGGCTTTAACTATTGTGTTTAATTAGGCTGTCTTATGATCCTTTCGTCAGGTTCTGACTGACTCCTTACCTGGATTGATACTCGAGACTGTACGAGGGACTATAAACTTGCATATTTTATTGCCAATAACTAATGAGGTTAATAAGTTTGCACACTATGGATGTACTTTTCTATCCCTTCATGGTTTTCATCTTTAATGCTGAAACTAGCATGCATCATGAAGAGAGAAGAATTCATATTTTCTCTTTGTATCACTCCTACTTGCTCTCTTAAAAAACTCAGCAAAAACCAAAGGCAGTTTATGGCTTATATTAGGCCACATTCCATCATGTGGTACTTTAATTAGTCCTTGTGATTAATTCCTTTTCTTTTCTTTTCTTTTCTTTCCTTTTTTTTTTTTTTTTTTGTTTTCAGATGAGCTCTGGAAGCAGAAATGGTAAAGTATGTTGGTGAAGCTTATCCAAAAGGTTTTTGTTCAATTAACTGTATTAATTGAAAAGATGTGGAGGAACCCGGATCTGATTTTGAGCTTGTTGTAGTGATTTCTGCTGCTAGACTTAGCCCACAGAATTTCTGGTGTGTGAAATTTGTTAGACCACAATGTAGTAGTAACTGTTGTGCTGTTATTGCTTAATTGTTTAATTGACTAGGTATTTGGTTACCTGTTAGTTGTCGATATTGGTCAAGTAGACACGTGATTGTTTATCTTCTAATAATGGTTTTTGGCATATTGTTTAGCAATGGATGTTGGCAGTCAATATGGAACATTGAGTTCAAAGACGATATTCCAATGCTGGAATTAAAAGGCAAAATGCAGGTATTTTAATATTTCTCATAATGCAGTCATGGCATATTTGTGACCATTTTCTTCCTGCATTTCAGATCTGAATACATATAAAGTTACATAAACCGGTAGTAAGTCCGTTCTTTCTCTTTTCAGGTGGGTGCACACTATTTTGAAGAAGGAAATGTGCAATTAGATGCAAAACATGAATGTAGAGATTCTGCAATGTTTCAGGTTATTACAACATTGACAAGCTCTTTTAACATTGTTTTCTTTTACCCTTGTTTTCTCCTCTGGCATGTTCCTTCTTGCAATAGAATTTGAAATTCTTTTCTTTCTCATTTTGACTATTTTTATTTTTAATACATCATTTAGCCATTTCAACATAGCATATCAGGATATCAACTGGCTTGAGCAAATATTCTTAATGTGAAGATATTACCACAAGTTGTAGGATAAAATTTCTTGAGTTATTAATAGTTGAAGTTTGTGATTTTGTTGGCTTAGTATATCCTGCCTTGTGGCTCCTGGCCTGTGTGTTAAAACGAAAATTTTCCGATCTCTTGCTGGCATAGCCTCATATATATAGTTGGTTTCATATGGTTAATACTTGTGTTGTTTCAGTCCCCTGATGATAGTGCAATTGCCATAGCCAGCATAATTCGCCACCATGAGGCAGAGTACCTGGCATCTCTTGAGGTTGTTTTCAATGTCTTGTTAATTTCAAAAGCTAGCTGTCTAGAACTCTCTACTGACAGTCAAGACATAATGCAGGCATCCGATTTGAATTTGCCAGATACCACTTTCAAGGTATGCTTTGATTTGAAAAGTCTTTGAGCCAATAGTTGTGTAGAAACCTTTTGAAGTAACTTACGTTATACCATTTTTATATTCATGTTTGACCATTACACCCCAGCTATTGTTGGGTTTTACTTAACGTATACTGCATACTGCATGTTTCTCAATCATGCTGGTTTACATCATGTTTTCATGTTATCTATTTGACTGACATGTGGCTGGTTAAACCTAATTTCTTTTCTTATTCTGTCGAAAATCATATGGCTTACTAGGAGTTATACTGGAGCAATAGATAATCCTAGCTAGAAGGCCCATCTGGAACTCTTTTCTATTTCCAGTTTCCATGGAGATAATAATTAGATCTCATGATGTTCATCTAGAATATTTGTCTACTTCAGGAACCCCTGAAAAAGAAACTAATGCTCTTAAACTTTTTATGTGCAATGCAGGATCTTCAGAGGAAACTTCCAGTCACTCGGACCCTATTTCCATGGCATAACACTTCACAATTCAGCCTGACAAGAGAGATTTCAAAAGAACTCGGAATTGGGAAGTTACCATACCATATGAAAAGGCATAAAGCACATTCCTTCATGCACAAAATCAAGTTTGACAAGATCCATAATCACCAGATTGATTGTATGTTTAGTGCAGTTATCTGTAATTTGGTGTGCAAGTTGTCTTCTCCTGTAAGAATCTCAATTTTGTTATGCTATCCCGCATCATTCTTTACAAGCCATGTATAGCATTGCTTCGAACAGTTCCAACCTTTTTATTTGCTTGTGATGGTTGTGGAAAATTTCGGTACATATATGTCTGAGAAATTTATGTTCTGTGGGAAAACACTTATTTACAGCTGGTTGTAATCTTGTAATCTGTATATTTATATTTGTATCTCTAGAATTAAGTATTTGTATCCCTAGAATTAAGGAAGATTTAGTTTCCTAGTTTAACCCCTAGTTAGTTGTATATAAACCTAAGATTCTTGTATAATTCATGGAAGCAGTTTTTCAATATACATTCAGTTTCCACATGGTATCAGAGCTTTAGGCTCTTCTTGGGAAGCAAAATTTTCAGCCTTCATTGCTGACTTTTTTTAGGCCTTCATTGCCGAATCCTGTTTAGGCCTTCATTGCCGAACCCTTTCAAAGAAAGATATCACTACACCTCAATTTGAGAAAATGTTAATTGGGAAAATCACTAGAGTACTACAGATGTCTCAGAAACAAGGAGAGTTCAACAGGGAAGAGATTGAAAAGCTGAGAAACTTATTGAAAATCCTTGAAAAGCCTACTATGGTATGTTCTTTGGGTAAAGTTTCTAGTTCAGGTAAAGCTTCTGGTTCTCATGGATTAAATGTCTCGGCTAAGCCTATTACGAGTTCTTGGGTCATTGACTCAGGAGCCACAGACCACATGACACATTCTTCACAAAAGTTTAGTACATATAACCTGTGTCCTAGTAATAAGAAAATTGTTGTTGCTGATGGTTCACTTACCACAGTGGCAGGATTAGGAGATGTTCAAGTTAATCCCTCGTTTTGTTCTAAAAAATGTTCTTCATGTTCCTGGATTATCTATTAATCTGATATCTATACAAAACTTACCAGAGATATGAATTGCAAAGTAACTTTTTATCCCTCTTATTGTGAATTTCAGGACCAGAGTTCGGGGAAGATGATTGGACTTGCTAAGGAGAAGGATGGACTATACTATCTTGAGACATCAAATAGCACAAGTAGTATCAAAAATAGTTTACCTTTGTCATTTCTTTCTGAAAAATCTTCCAATAAAGACAAAATTTGGCTTTATCATTTTCGTCTTGGACATCCTTCTTTTGGAACCTTGAGAAACATGTTTCCTTCTTTGTTCAAAGGATTAAATGTTGAAGATTTTCATTGTGATATTTGTGAATTTGCAAAACATAGACGTGTGTCTTTTCCAATCAGTAACAAAAGAAGTTTTACTCCCTTTTACTTGATTCATAGTGACATTTGGGGTCCCTCTACAATTCCTAATATTTCTGGTGCGAGATGGTTTGTTTCATTCATAGATGATTGTACTAGGGTCTCTTGGGTTTTTTTACTTAAATCCAAATCAGATGTGAATAGTGTGTTTTTAAGCTTCCAAAACATGATCCAAAATCAATTTGGAGTGAGAATCAAGAGATTTAGGTCTGATAATGCAAGAGACTACTTCAACCATAGTCTATTCTTCAACATTTACACCCATTAATTCTTCTGAGTCGAAACCTGTTTCTGCTGAGTCCAAGTCAAACACTGAATTTGAGTCTGAACCCATTCTAAATACAGAAGATGTGACAAAGGATAATATTATTCTTGATTCTATGAAGGAATTACAGGTGTACTCAAGAAGGAAAGTTCCAGATCCTGAACCAGTGCCAGTCCAAGAGCCTGATCCTAACTCTGGAAATGAGGTAACTACAGTTTTTGACTCTGTTTCTCAAAATAAGCATGAATCTCCTAAAACTATAACCAGTGATTATGATTTGCCTATTGCCATTAGGAAAGGAACCAGAGAGTGTACCAAGCATCCACTATACCCAATATCTAATTTTGTGTCATTTGAAAAATTCTCACCATCCCACAAAAATTTTCTTGTGAGCCTAAACACTATTTCTGTTCCAACTACATTATCCGAGGCATTATCCAATGAGAAATGGAGGCAAGCCATGAAAATAGAAATGGAGGCCTTAGAGAAAAATCAGACATGGGAACTGGTAGAGTTGCCTAAAGGAAAAAATTCAGTGGGGTGTAAATGGGTTTTCACCGTAAAATACAAGGCAGATGGTACTGTTGAAAGGTATAAAGCCAGGTTAGTGGCTAAGGGCTACACTCAAACTTATGGAGTGGATTACCAGGAAACCTTTGCTCCAGTTGCCAAGATGAATACAGTTAGAATTTTGTTATCATTGGCTGCAAATTACAATTGGCAGCTTCAACAATTTGATGTAAAGAATGCTTTTCTACATGGTGATTTGGAAGAAGAAATATATATGAAGGTTCCACCGGGATTTGAAGGTCATCTAGAAGCAAACAAGTATGCAGGCTAAAAAAGGCTTTATATGGCCTTAAACAGTCTCCTAGAGCTTGGTTCGGGAGATTTGCCAAAGTGATGCTAGTAATGGGATATAAACAGAGTCAAGGAGATCACACATTGTTTATCAAGCACTCTGATTCAGGGAGAGTCACAGTTCTATTAGTGTATGTTGATGATATAATTGTAACTGGAGATGATGAAAAAGAGAGAGAATCTCTAAAACAGTGTTTGGCTAGAGAATTTGAGATAAAAGAGCTAGGGAGATTGAAGTACTTCCTAGGAATTGAAGTAGCTCACTCACGGCATGGTATTTTTATCTCACAACAGAAATATGTGATGGATCTTTTGAAGGAAACTGGGAAGCTTGCATGTAAACCTGCAAATACCCCTATGGATCCTAATCATAAAATTGGAGAAGCTAATGAAGATGCTGCTGTAAATAGAGAGATGTACCAAAGATTAGTTGGAAGACTCATTTATCTCTCACATACTAGACCTGATATAGCATATGCTGTGAGTGTGGTAAGTCAATTTATGCATAGTCCTAAAGAAGTGCACCTACAGGCTGTCTACCGTATATTGCACTATTTGAAGGCCAATCCTGGGAGAGGTATCTTATTCAAAAGAAATTCGGGGTTAGTTCTAGAAGCATATACAGATGCTGATTATGCAGGTTCAGTAACTGATAGAAGATCCACCTCAGGCTATTGTACTTTCTTAGGTGGTAATCTTGTGACTTGGAGGAGTAAAAAACAGAATGTGGTGGCAAGATCAAGTGCTGAAGCAGAGTTCAGAGCAATGGCTCAAGGGATTTGTGAACTACTATGGTTAAAGATTATCTTAGAAGACTTGAAGATCAAGTGGGATGGACCAATGAGACTCTACTGTGATAACAAGTCTGCAATAAGCATTGCTCACAATCCTGTACAACATGACAGAACAAAACACATTGAAGTAGACCGGCATTTCATAAAGGAGAAACTAGACAGTGGGTTGATTTGTACACCTTATGTATCAACCAAGGGTCAACTTGCAGATGTGTTGACTAAAGGTCTCAGCAGTGCAACATTTCAAGGAATTATTTCCAAGCTGGGAATGGAAAACACCTATTCACCAGCTTGAGGGGGAGTGTGGGAAAACACTTATTTACAGCTGGTTGTAATCTTGTAATCTGTATATTTATATTTGTATCTCTAGAATTAAGTATTTGTATCCCTAGAATTAAGGAAGATTTAGTTTCCTAGTTTAACCCCTAGTTAGTTGTATATAAACCTAAGATTCTTGTATAATTCATGGAAGCAGTTTTTCAATATACATTCAGTTTCCACATGTTCCATTCCAGACTCTTGGACATATTAAATTGTAGATTATGTTTATTGCTAACATCAAGTAGCATTGGAAAAATAAAACCAATTCCGTTGCCGGGAATCGAACCCGGGTCTCCTGGGTGAAAGCCAGATATCCTAACCGCTGGACGACAACGGAAGAGTTGTTGGTGACAAACAACTAAAAATAGTTGATTGCATGTTATTTTGAGTGAAAAGTGTGTTTTAAAAACGCCTCAGCTCAGACTCCCCCAATTTTAGCAGCAGAGAGACTCCCTCGATCGAATCACATTCGTGAAAATGGTAAATCAGAAGTTACCGGAACTAAATTTCAGTTTTTGGTTTTCAACTTATCATATTACTCTTATTTGTTGTTAGATACTGATTGATTGATTTCAATGTCAGCTTCCTCTTTCTGGTAAAACCTTTCATCTTTGTACCTAGATTTGTTTGATCTTCAAACTGTTTATTTATTTGTGCTATGATTTCTTTCTTATTAAATACTATCATTTAAGGACTCTGGTAGTTATTGGAGATTCAAAACGGGGAAACTTTATGATGCCCATTTGGTAAATTGTTATACTTGGGATTTATATTTGGTAAATTTTGTTCATTGACTTACAATTTTTATTGGGGATTTATATAGTTTTTTTTTCCTATGGATAAATCAAAACTTACCCTTTTTTCTAATGTTTCAGAGTCTGGCAGAGCTAAGGGTGGAATGGTTATGTAGGATGGAGTTAGGTTTTAGAATTTGGAGTATGCCCTAATGTTACATTCATAGGATACAATCAACTATCTTTGAGTCAGGGAAAGAAGAATTCTAAATTGCTTTTCCTTTTGCTTCTTTGAGCTCATTTGCACTCTCTGGAATGATGCTTCTTTAGCCAAATCAGACATTTTGATGCGCTCCATAAGTAATCCTCTTCAAAGCTTATTTTCTTGTTATTATAGAGGTCCAGTGGTGAACTCTTAGTAATGGTGATCAGCTTTGAATGGATGCCTTTTGTTGAAGCGCATCCTCTGATGATACCCTTGGGATTGGTTGCTTGCTGACCAGAGTTTCCCCCCTTTATTATGATTCATCTTCAGAACATCAATTGTTTTGAAATCAATTATGGCCTAGAAATTATCTGCCTTTCACCAAATGGTTCCTTCTAAAAGGAGATGGTGGAGGTCGTTTTCCAGCTATATGTGTCATGGTGCTCTTGCATCCTTATTCGGCAAGTGGGAACTGTAATGTGTCCGGCAAAGTTTTATTTCTGCAGCTCGTATGGTGCGAATGATTCCCTTTCTCTCCATGGTGCTGGCTAATGGTGCTTATGTATTGCTTTTCAATGTGTGGCTAAACCATACCCATGCTTCATTTCTTGTGACAAACTTTTTAACTATTTCATATTGTTAGTGTTTCTGATTCTCTTCTCATACCTAGCTCTCACTGATCACCTGATGACAGTGTTTTTGGACAATCATTATGTTTCAACCAGTTATTTTTTTCCCCAACAAAACTATGCATTTTTTTAATCTGCGTTAAGCAAGCACATCTTTGATTATAAAGGCTGAGAATTGTGTGAACTACCCAAGTGCATACCTACCTGTCAATGTCAATCACACCTTTGTTCGGTGAAACAGGTGGGGAATGAGGTTGTCGATATATCATTTTCAACAGTTCGGTAATTGGATGGAAACAGAGTTTGGCAGAAGGGAAGCATTTTTTTTTTTCTTTTACAAACCGATCAAGTGGAAAAATCCGTCTTGCTGCACTGCCTATAGGATGATGATGGTGGAGGGAAGGCTGCTAATGAGGAAAAGATTCAGTGTTTCCTTGATGTGAAACTTTTAAACATAAAGTGAATGACCCTAGGTCCCTTCAGTTGTGATGGTCCACTTTTGCTGTCTCTGAACTTCAAATTGTATCTCATAATTCTGTTTTAGATCCCCTGATTGTGCTTTTTACCTCTCAATCAGTTAACCTAAGCCATGATTTCGTTGTGAAAGTGAAACTACAATTTCCATCATTGGCTAAGTGCTTCCTTGAAAAAAAGCAAGAGCCGTAAGATGAACTAAAACAAACACGAGTGGAAAAAAAAAAAGAACAAAAATCTCATCACTTAGGAGCACGTATCTCATCTCTTCGATACTTTGACTTTTATGTTATAACCGTTGTCTTCATTCGGAACACAATCAAACCGGAGCAACCTTGAGCATGTTACTCCACCTCATAAGTTACTATCAGCACGGTACCCCAGAAAGAAAATCCAGAAAAAAATAGTAAAAATGGAGAAATACTATTAATCAACTATCATTAGCATCCAAATCATTGATCTTCATCTCTTCTTTATTAGCTTATCTTGCAACTGCCACCTTATAGTCGCAACAGTAATTGGATGCTTCAAACTCAAAAAGAGAAAAATGGCTGAAATCAAAGCAGAAACTGCTCACCACGCTCTGGCCATCCCTGAGACTGACATCTCAGCTCAGAAACCTCACAAAACTCAGCGTGTTGCCTCACTGGACATTTTCAGAGGCCTTACTGTGGCGGTACTCGTTCACTTTTCTTTCACTCAGTTGATAAAAAGTTCATTTCTAAGGTCTTTCTTTGAGATGAACTGATTTTTGCTGAATTTCTGTACTTTTCTAGCTGATGATTCTAGTAGATGATGCTGGAGGAGAGTGGCCTGTGATTGGACATGCACCATGGCATGGCTGCAACGTTGCTGATTTTGTTATGCCGTTCTTTCTTTTCATTGTTGGCATGGCCATTCCTTTTGCTCTTAAGGTTGGTGTTCTTCTTTCTTCTTCTTCTTCAAGTAAAGTTAATAAACCAGCAGTTTGGTTTTAAGTTTTACTACAGCGACTGCAATACTGTCTTTTTCTTCCTCTGAGACTCTGACTACTTACTGCAGTTGTGAACTTGCCTTGGAATTAGCATTCAATTCGTTGTTTTGATATTAATAATGGTTCAATCTTTTTGTAGAGAATACCAAGTAGGAGTAAAGCTGTCAAGAAGGTGGTTTTCAGAACTTTGAAGCTCCTCTTTTGGGGTCTATTATTACAAGGTTGGTTTCATTTGTTCTATACATGTCAAGGGAAAACAGATAGACTTTGGGTGGTCAGTTCCTATCTGCTTAGGGTATTCGCATTCATGGTTTGCTAATGATCGCGTTTTGCCTACGATGTTAGCATATTAATCAAACAAATGGTAGAAGATTTTTGGTAGTATAATTCATAAGACATTCTTAAACTCTTAGGGGTTAACGATTTTGCTGATATTATATTAATTTTTACCATCCTAGCAAATGTATTTGCAACAGTCATTATTTAAAATCGGAAAATTCTTATGCAAATTCTAAAAGAAGGAAATTTCTTGATGCTGATTTTGTATCCTAATGTCATGAAGGAGGGTTTTCTCATGCTCCTGACAAGCTAACATATGGCATCGATATAAAAATGATAAGGTTCTGTGGCATTCTACAGGTATATGTTTCTGGTGTTAATTGCATAATTTAGTCCTTGAGGTATGATTTTAGGAAGTAATTCACCGCATCTTTTGTAGAGAATTGCTTTTGCATATTTGGTAGTGGCACTTGTGGAGATTTTTCTGAAAGATGCACAATCCAAAGACATTTCAGCTGGTCATTTCTCGGTGTTTAGGTTATGCCGTTGGCATTGGTAAGTTCCCATTGGCTTTTTCGTGATATGGTATCTATCATATTTGTAGAATCATATGATGAAATACTAACTATTACTTCGTTTCTAAATCTACAGGCTGGTGGGTGCATGCATACTTATTATGTACTTGGCTTTACTTTACGGAATGTATGTTCCTGACTGGCAGTTCACTGTCCCTAATCAGGATAGTGCCGATTATGGGAAGGTTTTCACTGTAAGCCCTTGGTTGTCCTTGATATCATCCTACAAAACCATATACCTCCATTTAAACGATATTTTATATGTGTTTGGAAATGCTTTTGACAGACTTAACATTAGCTTGATTGATTGATCCATTAGGATTTACTGTATTAGTCTTTTAACTCATATCTTTAACCTCCGCACACAGCAGGAAATAGTTATATCAATGAGATTGTTTTAAAGTCCATTAACATTATCCTGACAAATAAAGAAAAGGAAAAACTTTTCAAACTTAAAATCATTTTCCTGATTAATGCATTCTATCCAATTGTTATAAGATTTTGGTTTTGTTTTTGTTTTAGGTACCCTGCAATGTAAGAGGAAAACTGGATCCTCCTTGTAATGCTGTTGGATATATTGACAGAGAAGTTTTAGGGATCAATCACATGTACCGACGACCTGCATGGAGAAGATCTAAGGTTTGTTTTTGTACTGGTTGTAGCTATAATCCTCTTTAAGATTGAGATCACTAGTTTACAGTGAATAACAGTTACTGGTCTGAAATCTTTCCTAAAGTGCTGCAGGCTTGCACTGAGGATTCCCCTTACGAGGGGCCATTTAAAATTGGCGCTCCATCATGGTGCCATACACCTTTTGAACCTGAAGGGATTCTAAGGTCTGTCGACCCTGGAACCCACTAATTAACCGTAGTAGTAGTTATTTATTATCTTCACAATTGTTGATCTAAGTAATACATCGCCTGTGCTAACTGCAGTTCAATATCTGCTATTCTTTCTACAATCATTGGAGTGCATTTTGGACATGTTCTTGTACATTTGAAGGTTAGGATTATGGTTGTGGATGCATGATTCTTGGTGTTCAATTCCAGGGTTGTCTTTGATAAAATTTTCAATTCCAGGGTCATTCCGAAAGAGTGAAGCAGTGGATCATGATGGGATTTGCTCTTCTTGTTATAGGAATTCTTCTACATTTTACTCATGGTGAGAAACATAAAGGCATATCAGACTTCTTTTAAATACCTATATTTCATCTATTCATTTACTCTAATTCTAGTATTATTTATTTTTCGATTGTAGCAATTCCTTTAAATAAACAGCTATATACATTTAGCTATGTTTGTGTTACATCTGGAGCAGCAGCACTTGTTTTCTCAGCCTTCTATATTCTGGTATGATTCTAGCTATGTCAAATCGTATGTGCTTTAACAAGCCACTCAGCAGTCAATATTTTCAGTCATACCTTAAGCTGATAATATAAACTTTATAGTAATCAAAGCTTTGGGTCGGCAGGTTGATATTTGGGATTTGAAGTACATGCTTCTGCCATTAAAATGGATTGGCATGAATGCAATGCTGGTTTATGTCATGGCAGCTGAAGGGATCTTGGCTGGTTTCATAAATGGATGGTACTACGATGATCCACATAATACACTGGTGAGTTTTTGATGAATTTAAATTAAAGCATCATCCAGCTGCCCTCCCTTTTCCATTCTTGTTTCCTTTCTAATGAATCTATGGCAATGGCAGGTATATTGGATTCAAAAGCACATATTCATAGGGGTTTGGCATTCAAGAAGAGTAGGCATTCTACTGTATGTTATATTTGCAGAGATCCTCTTCTGGGCTATCATAGCAGGCCTTTTGCACCGATTAGGAGTTTATTGGAAGCTTTAACATAATTTCCCAATGCCATATACTCCAGAATTGTATTTAATTATATGGGATATACACTGCATTACAAGTGTATGATCATTGTGCGTTAATTGAGTTATTTTATTCCACCTCTTAGAACGAAAAGAACTTAAACTAAAATATTTAATAGTATGACGATATATTTATGCAAAACTTCTATCTGTGGATAGTCAAGTGAAATTCAATCCACAAAATAATTTGATCTACAGATAGTATAATTTAATCACAAGGCATAAAGGGAAAAATCATTAGCATTTATACCGTAAAATCGATTTTCAATCAAATAAAAAAGATTGATGCGGTAGAATCGTAAAAATAGAATAGAATACAATCTTAATCGAAATGCATATTGTATTTAATTATTTTGCAGTATCAATGTTAATTGAATATTTGAAAATTTATTACCCAAAAGAATTAATAGGATTTTTTTACAAGAAAAATATTTATTATCGTTTATTCTTTAGATTAGTTGGCATTTAAAAATTGCAATTCAAGAGATTTTATACATATAATATTTTTTTCAATCATATATGTAATTAGAAAGAAATGGAATATAAGGGTAGATTAAGAATTAAAAAAAAAAAATGCAAAACATCTGCCATAGGCAAGTACAAAGGAAACAGTCACAAACCGAACATCCTTTGAGTCAAGCCCCATTTTGAGCAAGGATTTCTGTTTACAAAATCATTGGAAATCCTGGTAAAGCCTGAGTCTAACAGCCTCCCTAATGCAGCTAACCAGTTCAACTGTTAACTTCTGTCTTTTCCCATGCATTTTATCCACCATTTCGTTTAGTTCAGCTCTCCAGGAGATTCTAAGAGTTACATAAATCAAAGCTTTCCTTTTGTTCTTCTTTTAATTTATCTTATCTCATACTATGCATATAACGTTGTAAATTTCACCTATATTCATACTGAATTTGGACTGAATGTGGCAGATTTCTGCTGTCTTCACGCATTTATCCTAGTTCTATTTTCTTTTTTATTTTATCAAATTCATATATAATTTTTACTAAAATTTTAAACTTTGTTCATTCATATCTTCTATTTTTATCATCTTATTATCATCATGTTATATTTTAAATTATCGAATTTAATTTTAAAAAAAAAAAAACTCAGAACTTGGGCTCACATATAGAAAAATTCAGCAAAATGAGGGCCCAAATTAGAAACAAGCGATCCAACTTGGCCAACAAAAACAGATGACCATAGCTGGACCCAAGAAAGAAATAAGTAAAAACTTTTGAGCCCAAAAAGAAGCCCGAGTTGGACACAAACACATGCAAATTCAGCGGATCAAATATAATCGAATCGAATCTCCGTCAAGTCTGAATTTTTTTAGGAAACAAGTTTGAGAACTACTCTTATATAACTTTAAGAACACATATACCACGATCTTCCCATCAAAATCATCGGTTTTTTTTTTTTTTTTTGCAAAACCCATCACCAATGGCAACCGCCATGGTCGAAGATTCGAGCTTTGAAGAAGACCAACTAGCTTCGATGACGACCGATGACATCATCCGAGCTTCTCGTCTTCTAGCTATGGAGATTCGACTTCGTAAGGTTCCTTTCGAATCTTTATCTCTCTTTTTTTCTATCTTTGTTTCTATTATTATTTTGCATTGTATTTTTAGGGTTGTGTTCTGGTTTAGGGTTTTTAATAAAGTTTTCTTTTTTTCAACTTTACTATGTTATTGTTTGGTTTTTAGTTCTGGGTATTGATTAAAGCTAAGTTCTTTTTACATATAAAGGAATGTTCTTTAGTTTGGTTTTGAATTTTCTGGCTTAGGGTTTAATTGGGAAATCTTTACACTTAATGAAGCGAAGTAATTTTCTTTTTTTACTGAAAAGTTTTATTCTTTTGCAAGGAATGTAGGTATAGTTTGCGTGAATTTTCTGATTTTTGGTTTAATTGGTTTGTGGGATTAAAGGAGGAAATGCAAAGGACAAATCTTGAGTTGAATGCATACAGGGAGAAGATTAAGGAGAATCAAGACAAGATCAAGCTTAACAAGCAGTTGCCTTACTTGGTTGGCAACATTGTTGAGGTAAATTTTGTGTGGCTCTTTTTTATTTTCCAAGTCCTTTTTAATTTCTCTCTTATATTCGATTTTGACTTATGATTCTGTGTATAAACAAACTTAAAAAGAGCATTGAAAGGGGGATCCAACTGAATCATGGGCCATTGTTGATGCAGTTATAATTATATCATTAATAATCATCTGCTTGATGGTTTAATACTTGATTACCGTTTCTTTCAGATATTGGAGATGAATCCTGAAGATGAGGCAGAGGAGGATGGTGCCAACATTGATCTTGATTCACGGAGGAAGGGTAAATGTGTTGTGCTGAAAACATCTACTCGTCAGGTGACGGCTGCATGATTTGTTTTCTACTATTAATGGTCTGTTATGTTTTTCCATAATGAAACTATCAAATTAACATTTTTGAGAATTGGTGAAAAGAAAACTTGGTTTTGATCTTGACTTGTTTTGTATTTACTGCAGACCATCTTTCTACCTGTGGTTGGACTTGTTGACCCTGATAAGTTGAAACCTGGTGATTTGGTTGGGGTCAATAAAGACAGCTACTTGATATTGGATACTCTGCCATCTGAGTACGATTTTCGAGTAAAAGCTATGGAGGTTGATGAGAAACCAACTGAGGACTACAATGATATTGGTGGCTTGGAGAAGCAGGCAAGTTTTTTTAATTCTACCGCTCTTTCTGAGATCCTTTGGCAACTGTTAAGCTCATTTTTTATGCCTGATGGTTGTTCCTGGAACAGATTCAAGAACTAGTTGAGGCCATTGTGTTGCCTATGACTCATAAAGAACGGTTTCAAAAGCTAGGCATTCGTCCACCTAAGGGGGTGCTCTTATATGGGCCTCCTGGCACTGGAAAAACTTTGATGGGTCGTGCTTGTGCGGCGCAGACAAATGCCACATTTCTGAAGCTAGCAGGCCCACAATTGGTTCAGGTATGAAGTCCTTTACCTTTTTTGCAGCTTACATTGCTAGATGTTTGGATCCTATCTACTTCTTTCAATTGATGTTGGAATCATTTTATCCCATACCTTCTAGGCTATCATAGCATGAAAGGAAGATTGTGGATAATAAAGTGTTTTTTTTTTTTATTGTACAGTATTACTTTCAGCATTTTTATCTGCTTACTTGGGCCCTTTAATGAGTAATTAAAATTGAACTTCATGTAGATGTTCGTTGGAGATGGAGCAAAACTTGTCTGTGATGCCTTTCAGCTTGCAAAAGAAAAATCTCCATGCATCATTTTTATAGATGAAATTGATGCAATTGGCACAAAGCGTTTTGATAGGTAACGCCATTTCTTAATTTCTTTGGGAAGCAAAGTTGTTTTGAGGCTGGTAACACTGGCATTTATTTGTGGAAAGAATCAATGATTATTGATCTGTTTGTTACCACCTGCAGCGAAATGAGTGGAGATAGGGAGGTTCAGCGGACAATGTTAGAACTACTCAACCAGCTTGATGGCTTTAGCAGTGATGAACGTATTAAGGTTTGCCTAATTTTTGTGTTATCTGTTTGATAAAATATATGTGATCTATTCTAATGTAATGCATGTATTGTAGGTTATAGCAGCCACTAACCGAGCTGATATCCTTGACCCTGCTCTGATGCGTTCTGGTCGATTGGATCGTAAAATCGAGTTCTCACATCCCAATGAAGAAGCAAGAGCTCGAATCCTTCAGGTATAACTTTCAGTAGTGGTGATTCTATGACTTCCGTCCTTCACAGAATCTTATTGAATAGTTTTCTTAATTTTCTAGATCCACTCAAGGAAGATGAACGTTCATCCGGATGTCAATTTGGAAGAACTTGCTCGTTCTACGGATGATTTCAATGGAGCACAATTGAAGGCTGTTTGTGTGGAGGCAGGCATGCTAGCTCTTCGCCGTGATGCAACTGAGGTGCACTTTCTAGTCTTCTTGGAGTTTACTTACTGAAATATCTTAATGCGATATGTGCATAAACAGCTTTTAGGTATTCCATGCTGAATGTGCTTGCATTCATACATGGCATATAAATTTATTTGTATCGGATCTGAGCCATGTGAGCAAGTACTAAAATTGGCGTTGGGACTGATTTTACAGGTGAACCATGAAGATTTCAACGAAGGTATCATTCAGGTGCAAGCTAAGAAGAAGGCAAGCTTAAATTACTATGCATAATCGGGACAGCATTTCACCGTGAGAAGCTGCCTTCAACGAAAAAGCCTCTAATATGGCATGATCCATGCTCGTAAAGCAAGATTCAAATATTTTTCTTTCTCAAATTAAGGGGAAAAAATCTCCTAAATATAGATAATCTTGCAGAAGCTATACAACAAAAATCGTGTAGATGAACATATATATCTTCAAGTCAATGTTAGTTAAATCTCCAGTTCAAATTCCCATTTACAGACAATTTACATGCAACTTAAAATGTCCCTATTGTTTGCTGACGTCTGGAAAGGAGTTCTTTTTGTACAGGAGTAATATATTTTATACGATGATATAATATAAAAATAATATGAATAAAAAATATAAAATAATATAATTTAAAATCTTTAAAAATATTATAAATAAATTTAATAAAATAAAAAATATTTTATATTTTTATATTAATAAAAATTGTAATAAATTTTTATGTAAAATATAATATAAATATATAAATATTTTATATTTTATATGTACGAATTATTATTTTCAGATTTTACCTATGGGAAAGTCGGAAGAGCCGAGTTCACACCATTGGTCAATGGAATCAAAGAAAGTCGGCAACTTGTCTGATTGGCCAGGTTGAAGTGACCCAAATAAAAGGATTACAACTTGGCCACAACAACCGTATACATCACTTGACAATCATGAACCAGAAAATTTTGTTGAAAAACACACTATATTTTATTTCTCAATCAAGTTTTTAAACATTATCCTCATCGCCACAAAAACATGTAAAATGATAACAGTAACACCAAGTTCATGACCCTTAAAAGCATATATATGAACTAAAAGAAACACTAAATAGTTTAGAACTTTTGATGCTAGCATTACACGATTGCAACTATGGCAAAGGCGGTGAAGACTCCATTAACACTTGACTTCGTTCAAGCCATAGGCAAAGTACAGGAAGGTTGGATCAGTGGCACCATCCTTATAGTATGCAAACACCAGGCTACCATCATCATGCATGCTCTCACCCACAAAACTGCAACACAATTACTCAAATCGTAAGAAACAATAATGGATTCTAAATCAAGTTTAATTACAGATAATCGGAGTAAGATAGACAAGAGTTGCATTACAATTGGAAATCTTTAATCTTCGAAAGCAAATACTTGGTTGCTCCCTCTATGTTCTTCTTGAACGACTCTTGCTTCTCTGGCTCTAATTTGGGTGTCAAGTTCTTGATGTACCTCTTCATGAAGGTAACAAACTGTTTCTTGTCAAAAGCAGGTTGCTCCTGCAAATCACACCACCCGCAAATTTTAGATGATAGCATCAAAATAATTAAGCTGTAAATCATGGAAAGCATGTGTTGTTGATTTACCTGAAGTCTGAAAGTGTCGACAATGTCGACAACCTTAACGGCCTGGTCATCAACACCTTCATCTTCATCACCACCTTCTGCTGAAGGGTTAGCCCCAATGTCTACATTGACAGCTCCTTGGACAACCCACTGCAAATCAATCCGAATATGTTAGTTTAACTCGTGAAAACTAGGAGTGAGCAATTAATCAGTTTGGTGGATTTAATTTGAAAAAATTAATAATCGAACTAATCAACTTTCATTTAATAGTAATCGAACTGATAGAAAATTTTTAAATAACGGATTATAATTGATCCAAAATTTTTAAATAATTGATCACAACTGATCCGACCATAACCGATTCGATCGGTTCATTTATTAATTTTATGATCCTAAAACCGATTGATTTAACCATAACCAATTTAGTTGATCTAAAAAATCCACTATAACCAAATCGGATAAACCAAACTGAATTGATATTTTTCATCGGTTTCAATCGCTTAAATCGGTTTGAACCGATTTTTGCTCACCTCTGGTGAAAACATGACAAACAAAGACAGATCATGTTTGTTTCAATAAACCCACAATTGAAAACACAAGAAAATAAAGAAGGAAAGACTCCGACCTTTCCTTCTACTTCCCATAACATTCCATTCTCGATTTCCTTGTATGGGAAAGAGTCTGAGAGGAGCTCATCACCTGAAACTCATCAACAAGAACTTAAAATTTGATAACTAACAATCAAATCAAAAATCAAAAATCAAAACATCAACCAAACAAAAAGAAACCCAAAATTTCAAGATACATAAATACAATTAAAAGAAAAATAAATTCAATAAGCAAAAGGACAAAACATACAGATCTTGGAACCAATAAGCACAGCAGCAAAGAGATCAATTGAAGACGAAAAAAATTTTAAAAAAATTTACCTGTGAGGATATCCTGATAAACTAACATATTTGCTGAATATTAAATTATTAATTGATTATTTTCTCTCTGTTTTTGAACTTAAATTTCGATTTCTATGATTTATTGAAGAGAGAGAACCAGAGAGCGAGAGAGCCTAGGATGTAAACCGGCAGCGAGGATTTATAGCGGGATGATGTAAATTTACTAAAATAGCCATATGGGTTTCTTTTTGTCGAAATCCCCATTTTGTCCTCCTTCAGCTTTTAACCGTTACGGTAACTTGTACGGTAATTTTGGTGAGATTTACTGATTTTTAGCCACACTTGAGTCAAACAGTATAAAAGTAAAGTTAAAATTAAACTCTTTAAAATCAAATCAATTCAAATCTTTGTTTTTCTAACCGCAGATGTGTTCAGGGGAAGCTATTCCGGTTATCTGGCAGGCACTTAAGTAAGGTTGCTGAGTTTGGCTTTGCTTTTGCCCCAATCCCGACAGTTTCCTTTTCTGGTGTCCAACTGGGTCCCACCATATCTAGGTTCTCAGCATTTTTTATTTTTATTATTTATTTTTACTAGTTTAGTAGATTTGTCTGAACAGATCGGAACCGTATATACATGTAAAAATATTTCTTTTTTTTTTTTTTTAGGGATGGAAAGAAAAGGGAATTTAAAAGTTTGAACCTCCATCCTTTATAACAAGTGGCTGTGCTATTGTCTTCCATCCTTTAGTAGCTTCTTTTTTGCGATTAAGCAATTATATTTATTTTCATGAGTCTATCGTTGAGGACTAATGTTGATGCCTTTAAAAACATAAATAGAATAAATTAATATTAAAATTGATTTTAAAATTAAAATCTCAAATTCAAATTCAATCATTACTAAGAAAACAGAAAAAGATAAATGAGTGAAACACTAAAAAGAGAATATCCATTGAATGAAGACATATTCCATTGTAAAAGCTGTAGTGGGATTAGAATAAAGGTAGGGCTGAACTTTGACTTGGTTTGGACAACGATTTTGACCCCTAGTGGGGCACATCCCATGTTTACTTTGAAAAAAATATTAAATTTAATAATTAAAAATATAATATAATTATATGATATGAATATAATATAAAAAATAAAAATAATATAATTTAAAATTTTAATATTAATTATATAGAGATTTAATAAAATAAAAAAAATATTATTTTATATTTCCGTATCAATATAATTTTTTATATATAATTTTTATATATAAATATAATATAAATATATAAATTTTAATATTTCACATTATAGGCATATATAAATTATTAAAAAATATATCAAAATTATTTTTTAATGCAAAAATATTGCATAAAAAAATTACAAGATCCAATTTTTATAAGTATTTCAAAAAAAATTGCAATGAAGTCGTTATTTATAATAGTTTTTTATATTAAAATAATAATTGATAATTAAATTATAAATTTTAATATATTAAAAATAAATATTAATTAAATAATAATTTCAAAAAATATTTTAAGAGTATTGATTAATAATTCCTTTTTAAAATAATAGTAACAATCAAACAAGACATAATAAACGTAAAGAATCAGTGGTATTATAAAATGTAAATATACTTTATTTTGTTGTAAAATTTTATATAAAATTAATATACTTTATTTTATTGTAAAATTTATATAAAATCTAAGTACGAGTATAAATGAGAAATTAATATTTATAAATTATTAAAGTTTGATTCAAATAAAAATTTAAATTTAATTTAATTATTCTTAAGTTAAATTTAAATTTAAGTAATTTAATTTATTGAGCAAATCTAATTTAAATATTTTAATATTTGAATTGAATAATTTAAGAATTTAATTGAATTTTTATATTTTAATTATTTTAATTAAACTATTATTATTTATTTATATATAAAAATTTGAACTCAAATTTAAAATTAAATATAAAAATTCAATTTATTTTTAAATAAATTTAATTGAATGAATTTGAATATCTCAATTTTTTTAATTAAATTTGAATTTAAAAATTAAAAATTAAATAAAGTTTAAAGTAATAAATTTGGAGTTCAATTCGAACATCAGTTTAGCCAAACTCAACAACCAATTACCGCGCTTTCCACAGCTGAAGATCCAATTAACTGTATCGGGTCTGAACAAAAAACCCCTAACTAGCAGCATCGCCGCCTCCAAACCCATATCAAAGCAAAGAACAACCGAGAAATCTACAGCCGGATAAACTGATTATGAGAGTGAACCGAGCGAGAAGACACGGAGCCGCTCGCCTCCCTCTCCATGTTTCTCCTTCTTCTCCCAGCCACCGCGTCTTTGCCGCCGCAAACGCCATTTCCTGCTGGTACTGCGACCTAAAAATCTCCACCCTCAACGAACCTCTCTTCCGGTTCGGCCGAAACCACGCCACGATTCTCAAAATCTGGTTTTCCATCGGAACCGGTTTCGGCCTAACCGCACTTGTCGGAGTCACTTCGATTCTTATTTGGCAACTATTCCTTAGCTCCAACACCCATCTAAGCAACCTTTTCAGCTCCGTTTTGTTCGGCTTTTCCCCTTCTTTAAGAATCTCATTTTCCGACGCCGGATACTTATTCGTCTCCACTTTGGTCTCCGTCTCCGTACATGAATTTGGCCACGCCATTGCCCTTGCCAGGTCAAAATTCAATTTCTATTTATTTGATTGAATTAAAAAAGAATTAAAATGTTTTAAGTTGAAAATTTGAGTTTCAAGGTTAGGGTTTTGCTCATGTTTGTTATCATAGGTGAAAAAACAGTGAGGGAATACAGTTGGAGTACATTGCTGTTTTTCTTGCGGTTCTGTTTCCTGGTGCTTTAGTTGCTTTTGATTATGATTTGCTTCAGGCATTGCCTCGGTTAACTTCTCTTCGCGTATATTGTGCTGGTATTTGGCATAATGCAGTGGTAATGTCCCAAATTTATAATCAAATTTTCATGTTTAGATAGTTTATTGTAGTTGTAGTTTAGCATTGTAGTTGGGTTGCAAAAAACTTTGGGTAGTGAAATCATGGTGCAAAGCTGCAATTTTGAATCCGTATAGCATTGTCATTGTGGTCCAGGTTAGAGTTTGACAACCTTACTTTGATACGAAACTCAGCCTTTCTTGATTGGCTTAGGCTTAGTTTAGCATTGTAGTTGGGTTGTAAAAAACTTTGGGTTGTGAAATCATGATGCAGTGCTGCAATTTTGAATCAGTATAGCATTGTCATTGTGGTCCAGATTAGAGTTTGACAATCCTACCGTGATACGAACTCAGCCTTTCTTGATCGGCTTAGGCTTAGTGTAATATTTTAGTTGGGTTGTAAAACTTTGATTTGTGAAAACGACTGTGCAAAGCTAAATTTTGAATTTGTAAATGATTAGCATTGTCATTTTGGTCCAAATTAGAGTTCTACAACCTTACTGTATTGCGGAACTCAGCCTGAATCTAACGCACCTCTAATTTTTTTTTTTTCTGCCCTTATAGTTCTGTGCAGTTTGTGGATTGTTGTTGTTCCTGCAGCCTGTGATCCTGTTTCCGTTTTATATACATGCTGAGAGCCCTTTGGTACTTCACTGCAAGTATTTGCTTGTTTCATTTCATTTTACTTATTGTATGTTTAGATTGAAAACATTAATGGTGATAGGCTTAACTTGTTTTAGCTTTCTCCTGTCTTGAATAGGTTTTGGATGTAGCTCCAGCATCGCCGTTATCTGAGTTTTTGTCTCCTGGGGATGCAATTGTGTCATTGGATGGTGTGCGCATCCATGGTGTACAAGATTGGATGGAGATGACTGTTCTACTAGATAAAAAGATACTTCAGAATTCAAGTGATTCCCATTATTTTAAAAGTTTTGGTGCAGTAGATAGCAGAAAGGGGTACTGTGTGCCTAATGCCTTGTTGGAAGACAACAACAAGGTTCAATTGGCTGACAACCAATCTGTTTGTCCTAATGATCTAGTAGCATTTGTGAAAACTCACTGCTTTGATCTTAGTCAGTCGGAAGATGTGGGTGGTGAAGATGGTCATCTTGGAAGAAGAAAAAATGAGCTTTGTTTGAATGCAAAGGGTATTGTCAAACTTGAAAAATGTGGTGATGGATGGGGAACGGTAATGACAACCGGAAGCAGCTGCATGTGTTCCCAGGTAGACGCTTATCTTCGGAAGCATACATTAGCTTTTTCCTATCTCTTACTTGCTTCAAGATGATGCAAGTAATATATTCTTTTTTTATGCCCGCAGGATGAGTCTTGCTTAAGTCCAGTTCAGTTGCCAGGTTCGAATTGGGTTGAGATTACATATTCAAGGCCCTATTCAACAGAATGCTTGCAACTTAGAAGTTCCCTTTTAGATTCCAATACTTCTTCTGGTGCCGTAGAACAGAGCTGTGGTGGAACTTTTGTTTTTGTTGGTGATGTAATATCTATGGCGCATTCAGTTCAGTTAACCAAATATCAACCTCGGTGGGAATTTTTTCTTGGTGAATATCTTCCAAATAAGCTGGAAAAGAGCTTAATATGCACATTCCACGTATCTCTAACATTAGCTCTTCTCAACAGCTTGCCAGTAAGTATTACATTTTCACTTCATGGAAAATTTACCTTCTGTTCAAGCATATGTTTTTCCAACTTCACTGCATTAACAAAAAGATATATCTATAAAAATGAAGGTGAATGTGAATGTGAAATAGATTCGTATTTCTGCGGTTGTACATAGATTATGGATTGATGTCTTGAGTAGAAGAGTGTATTTGGAGATAAGCCTGTGTATTTGACTGCATGATCAATGCTCATCTAATTCCTTTTTTCTTAATTAGGTATATTTTCTAGATGGTGAATCAATTTTGGAGGTGACTTTGTCTCATTTCACATCATTGAGCCCAAGGAAAAGGAGAAAAATTCTTCAACTATGTCTTGTGGGAGGGACTTTCATTTCAGTTATGGCCTTCTTGAAAATCTTCTTTATCAGTTTCTTGTAAAGCAGAAGGTAAATACTAATATAGAAAGATTTTGTAGTTTTCCTTTTCACATGTGCTTTTAACTTCACCTTTTGTTTTAAACCCTGAATTTAACAGTGCCAATGTTGCTGTGGGCTGTGCCGTCCAAAATGGATATGGCAGCCGACATATCCCTTAGAAACCGTGCAAGCAAAGCATGGCTGGCTCCCTTTCATCACCACCTGGACTCCAACAATTTAATTTATTTTGTATGTATGTGAATATTCCCTCATTTGGCCAGTTGGGTTACTCACGATCAATTGGATTCCCTGTTGCAAAATGTTCATTGTCAAAGGATAACATTAATAGGTTCGAATTTCAGCACGCACAACTTTTTTTCTTGTCTCAAAGTTAATGGTCTCAACTCTCATAGAGTGTTGTTAATGCACTTCAGTCTTTTCTTTTCACTCTTGAGCGTTTTTTTTTTTTTTTTTCTTCTTCTAATTTTTTATAAATAAAATTACTTTATTATTTTTTTCACGTAAATTTTCAAAAAATTATAAAATTTTTTGAAAATAAATTTTCAAAAAGTTATAATTTTTTTGAAATAAATTTTTTTCAGAAAAAAAATTTTGAAATTTTTTTTGATGTTTTAGAAATTTAATTCAGAAAAGGTTTATAATTTTTTGAAAATCTATTTTTTAAAAAAAATTATAATTTTCGAAAATTTATTTCTAGAAAATTTTGATTTTCTGAAAATCCATTTATAAAAAATTATAATTTTTTGAAAATTTAATTTCAAAAAATTATAAAACTCTAAAATGTTGTCAAAGGTTAATTAAATAATTTTACTTAAGAAACAAAAATTGAAATGTGAAAAGAAAAAATGAGAAAAAAAAAATCTATGTCATAGCCAGGTTTTCTTAAATCTTTTTCTATGTAAATTCAAATTCACCATAGACCTTCTTGATCCAAAATACATTAAAATCATGAACATATTAGATGGAGGGGAAGAAAGGAAATGGAATGACATTGGGAGCATTGATGTTGATGTTGACCCTCTATAGTCACCTGTTTCTTTCATGCTTGCATGCCTTCTGCATTTGTAGGTTGCCTTGTCATTTCAGTTGAAGTTAAATTTATTGTGGCTGGTAGTTTCTTGTTCATACTCCATCCCCACTAAAATTTGTTAGAACATCTTTCAAGATTTAAAATCCATCAGAAAAAATTAAAAATGGAAATGATAAATGTGATGTGTAAACAAGTTAAAATAAATCAAATTTACAGCAATCCCTTCTCTTTTTTTTTTTTTTTTTTTACAAATGTAGGCACAATTAATTTATCTTTCAAATTACATTCAAACATTTAATTTATATAATCAGGTATTTTTTTTACTTAAAATTAGAATTAGAATAATTTTTATACAAATAAATAAAGGGTAAAAAAGTTTAAAAAGTTATTGAATTAAAATTTAATAATAATTTAATTTTTTAATTAATTAAATATTCAAACATTTATTTTCATTAATTGAATTCTTATTAAAAAATAATTAATTATTTTTATCAGGTTTAATTGAGTTAAAATAAATATATAAAAGTTTAATTGGATGAAAGTAAATATTTAAAAATTTAATTACTTTGAAATAAAAGATTGAAGTCTTGATTATTTATAATAAAATATTAGAGATTTAATTGATAAATAATTTTTTATTTGAAGATTTTTTTGACTCTTAAATCTAAACAAAAAAAAATTCACAAAATATTTTCAAATCTAAAACAATATTTTCTCGCATGCCAAACAGTTTTCTATTGCTTCATATATGATTTTTAACTGGATTCAATCCGATCCGATTAAATTTTAAACTGTAACCATTCAATTTTCTCTTATATTTTTATGTAACAACAAAATTAGAGCACATAGATAAGAGACAATAGTAATATTATAAAAATTAATAATTGAAATAATAAAATACTATTATATTATTTTTTTCAGCAACAACCAATGTCAACCAAAAGCAATCCAATCGCAGAACGTTATAAAAGAATCTGAGCCGTCGGATGACTCTCATTCGGACAGCGGTTATTTCGTCGACCTAAACAGTAAGCCAAGACCCTGTCCAAATCTAACGGTCCGAAATTAAGATTTTTTCGAAGACAAAGAAAAAGAAAGCGAAAGAGAAAGACAAGAACCCAAAAAAAATTAACCAAAAAAAAAAGAAAGATAAGAGAGAGAAAGAGATTTTTCACTTTCATTTCTCATTTTCCTGCAAAAAAAAATCTAATTTTTCGGTTCTTCTTTGCTCAATCGAAAAAGGAATTTGAAACGACGAGTCGTTTTTGTTTTTTTTTTTATTTTCCTTTTTTTTTTTTTGGTATTTTATCCGATTGAAATCGGAGGTCGAGTTCTTAAATTAAAAGAGGGCGAGGAGGAAGAAGAGAAGGGTGATTTAAACGGTGTCGTTTTTTTTTAGGAATTTACGTTAATTTTAATTTTAAGTTTATAACTGTTTTAATTATGGGATTGGGGAGTAATGGTGGGGATGATGTGGTGGTGGATGACGGTGATGAAGGTGGTGGCGGCGGCGATGGTGTCGATTGCGGAAATGGAGGGAAGTCTATTGATTCGGTTTCATGCTCAATTTGCCTCGAAACGGTTACTGATGATGGGGATCGATCGTGGGCTAAGCTTCAATGTGGTCATCAATTTCATTTGGGTAAGTCAAAATTGTCAAGATTTGGAACTGATTTTGGTCAAGGAATTTTCTTTTTTCTAAAAAAATTGGGATGGTAAGATCTAGCCTCAATTTGCTAATTTGATTTCTTGGTTGTGTTTAGTTTTGGTTTAATTGAGGAAATCATAAAGATTGAACCTTTTTTCCTTTTTTTTTTAAGTTTTTATTATTTATGCCATTTTATTGGCTGGAAATGAAAATTTAGCTTCATAAAGAATAATAGCTAGTTTAATCAGGCTCAATCTAATGGAGCTTTGATGTTTCAATAAGTTGCTCCTTTTTTTTTTTCTTTTGTCAATTGCTATGGCTGATTACATGATCAGAGTGAATTTTGCATTGCAATTAGTTTTGGAGACTATTAGTAACAGGAAATCAGATTAGAAGAAAAAATTTTCTATGTGGTTCTGGATTGTCCGTATTAGTTATATTGATATATTTTGATGAGCTGCAGCTTGGGAGATGGCTACTGGCATGGACATTAGTTGAATTTGAAGGATCTGAGAGTAGGTTGTATGCTATATTTGTTGGTGTGGTTGGTAGACAGCGTTGGGAAATGATTGTTTAAAATCTGTTTTAAAGGTTCTAATTGATTATTCTTCGTTTTTGTAATGATTGTCTTCAGATTGCATTGGTTCAGCATTCAATATAAAGGGTGCGATGCAATGCCCTAATTGTAGGAAAATTGAAAAAGGTCAATGGCTTTATGCCAATGGTTGCCGTTCATATCCAGAATTTAATGTGGATGACTGGACACATGATGAGGAACTTTATGATCTCAGTTACTCTGAAATGGTAATGGAGCGATATTTCTATGCGAATTCTTTTCTATGCAGTTTCAATATTCATGGCATACAAAAATGGTCTTTATTGCCTTATTTGTATTTACATTTCTTTATTTTTTGCGTCTGGATCAGTCATCTGTTGCCCTCCACCCCATGTCAATTTAAACGACCATCAATTTTACTGGTTATGTGGTGAGGGAAATTTGAGTTTTGAAGCTCTTAGTTAATGAACCAAATTTCTTTTACTAAAGCTGAACCAGTCTTCATTATGTGGGTTTCTTAAGTTCAATCATTTCTGCCGCATTGAAAATTTGACAGATTATGGTTTGAGCTGCACTGCACACTCTATTCACTGCTTTGCAAACCTATACGATCATTTCTCCATGTTAGTGTTTGTTCTTTGCCTTCTTTGGCGCTATACTAGCATTCACTTTAGACTGGCAGATGAGTTGAATAGATTTCAATTTGCTCCTTACTTATTTTGGTTTTTTTTATTCTTTTACAGTCATTTGGAGTTCACTGGTGTCCATTTGGAAGCTTAGCACGACTTCCTTCATCATTCGAGTAAGCATGACCTCACCCTTTAGAGGTTAAATCTGAGTAGTTTTTTGCTTCAATTTCTATGCTGAAATGTGGTGGTCAGTTTTCTCTTCTTCAACATTAAATATTTGCCACCATATATTTTGCATGTTTTCTAGGATGAATCTTTGTGATAAATAACTGCGAGAGAGAGAGAGAGTTTGGTGGAAAGTTGGTATCTTCTTAGCTAGAAACTGATTCAGAAATTGGAAAAGGTTCATCCTCTGCTTATTGGAATTCAAGCAAGTAGTGGATCTGCCTTTAACCTTTATATCAAGATTAATATAACACTAGCTTGAATGTAATATAAGTAGCTTAAGATGGTTTAAAGTCTGCAACTTATGTCATGTGACCCAACTTTAAAAACCTATCTTGATGGTTTTCTCTGTCAGTTGCAAATCAGTTCTGTATGAGATACACAAGATGAATTCCCAATGTTAGGCGAAATTAGGCAGCAGAATCGTCTTTGGGCTGGTAGTATTTCCTAAGCTTAAATCAAAGAAGCATAGCATATCTTGGCATAACTAGAGCCTATTGTTTACTTTATTGGAAGTTACAATATGCTTGTTATTCTAAGTTGGAAAAAACTGTTGTTCTATATCATCATTAACTCTCCCATAGGTAAATGTTCCCGTTTTATTTCTTTACGCATGTCATTACAGTTTCATTTGCCTAGTTCTTCTTGCCTTGTTCAAATTTCAATTATTTTCTTTCCTTAACATGTCTTTTTTTTTTCTGTTCTTTTTTAGGGAAGGAGAGTTCTCGTCAACCGCATGTAAGATTTTTCTTTGTTTTTCTCATAATGCTTGTCTGTTATGGCTTTTATTGATGGACGTTTTCTGGCCTAATATGCTGATATAAGTTATGTTGGGATCCAGATCACGAGTTACTGGGACAGCATGCCATCTTTGCTGAACATTCAGCATCTGCTGCTCATCCATGTCCATACGTAGCTTACTTTGGGCCAACAATTCATCCCTCATCTTCAAATTCCAGTGGAAGTGTTTCAGATGGTTCTAGTTTCAACAGTCACTGGAATGGTCCATCAGTGCCTAGTGAGATGTCTACATCTTATGCTTTTCCTGCAATGGATCTCCATTATCATAGTTGGGAGCATCATTCCCCTCCATTCTCCACATCTAGCAGTCGAATCAGTAGTTCTGATCAACCTTCAAATCCACCTGTTAGTCAAAGGTCCACCAGGAGCAGTTCTGATATGCCAAGATCAGGATCTTTTATGCATCCATTTGTTGTTGGCCACAGGTATGCCTCAACGTGATTGACATTTGTGATTGGATTGAATTTTTATTGTTCTTTTATGTAAAATACAAAATCTATAGAATATTTCACCATTTTGTCCAGCAACCATTTTTTAGAAAACAGTGACAATCACTTACCTCAGAAGAACAACCCCTCCCCAAAAAGTGCTAAAATGAGACACATTGAGGAAACATAGAGTTTGATTTTTATAGTCTGCTGCTTCATTTTTTTGGACTTAAAATATTATTCAGAAAACAAAAATTTAGTGCAGGGTCATATTTTCTTAATTATACAGACAACGTCATACATAAGATGTTCTGTTCTTTCTCCTCTGCTGATTATTTTTATTTCAATTGCTGTATTTCCACAGTTCTGGTGCTAGAGCAGGGAGTTCAGTTGCTTCCTCATTGATCCCTCCTTACCCTGGTAGCAATGCTCGGGCCCGTGATAGAGTTCAAGCTCTCCAGGCATACTATCAACAACAACATCCTAGCACTTCACCAGCTATACGGACACCTATTATTTCTGGCTCCCGAAGGTCAAGCAGTCATAGAAGTCATGCTCAAGTTGGGCCAGCGGCCTCATCATCTGACCAGGTGGGTGGCTTCTATTTCATTCCATCTGGTGCTTCAGGCCGTAACTTTCAAGAGGCGGAAAATCCTCTATCAACTCGGTTCCATGCTTGGGAAAGAGATCATTTGCCTTCATTTTCAATAAACCAGGTTGACAGAGATTCAGGTTGGGGTGTATTCCATCAGTCTGCTGGTGCTTCGGATCCTGGCATAAGATCCAGCAGCTTCCGCCAAAGGCACGGATCTGAAAGGCCATCATCGCAAAATCGTTCATAGTCTTTCTTCCTTTTTACCCTTTTGGGGTGAAGCAAACCTTTTCTATGAATGAAACCAAAATGTTTATGTATGCTTGAGAGACGATATATGATGCTTGAGACTGCCGATCCTGGCAGGCTGAAAAACTGTGAAGTGGCCCGGAAACAATCTTTTTGGTAGCCACATGCAGTGTGCTGGACTTTGGCTTTGAGGATATGAAATAAAATTTTTCAAAAAAAAAAATTTGTTGGTAGAAGTGGGATTTAAGCTACCCTTTTGCATGATTCTCCTGCATAAAAGCACCTGTTGTAATAGGAAATAATGTGGCCTTGACCGAATAAATCCTCGTGAACCCACGGAATGAAATCATATGCTTATAGTATACGACTACGCCTCTAGTTTAGAAGTAGATTGGACCTAGACTCGAGCAATTTGGCTTTTAAGGAAATGCATTTTGTCATCCACATATACTTCTATAAGGAATTGAATTGTTTTCCTAAGATTGGATAAGGAGAACAATGAAAGCATGTCGCCATAACCTTGTTACCGTATAGAATCTCTCCTACAGCAAAAGATCAACCAATTTTATGATCTTATTGAAACTTAGCCTCAATCCAGTCAACACCATAATTCAAGTCATTCGTTCTTATTATCATTTCATTTATCATACGATTTCTCATTAAAATAGGTAGCAAAAACCAGCTCAATAAAGAGAATGTCAGGGTTGAAGTCCGAGACATAATGTTGAAGCAACAACAAACCGGATGATGTTTAATCCAGCCAAGGTCAAAATCCAAATATAACCGATAGTTCTTATGCTAACAAAATATTACAATATGCTAAAGAGATAATCTTGTGCTCCTTGGAGTTCAATCCACTTCAATCAGATTTCACCTGTCAACCAAACAGCAGTTATCAGCACCAAGCAAGGAGATCAACTGCCGGAGAGGAAGATATCAATGATGGGAAATCTATAATAAAAGTAGAAACTGGGATGTAGTTAACCTACAGATGGTGAGCGAGAACGAGATAAACTGCGGCTCCGGCTCTGGCTCCTGCTAGGGCTGCGTCTTGGTGGGCTTCTGCTCACATGTTTACTTTTAGGCTGCATATCAAGTAATTGCAAAATACCAAGGTTTAAGAACACTCAATCCTACCTCCCTCACAAGTCAAAATAACTAAACCTGAATTAGATTCAACTTACAGATGGAGTTGGTGATCTGGATCTGGACCGAGATCTGCAAAAAGTTCCAGAAACAATGAATTCAATATCCAGAACAATCCTCTACTTTAGTACCAAGGCCTCAACATTACTTCCACCTCTGGATAAGCATAATCATAAAAATGGAATATACCATCCATCTTAAGCGGCCACCAGCAGAAGGAGAATTAATATACCACTCATGATCTCACCATTTGGTAATGATCTTATATACAAAAGGTCATGACAGCTAAATGGAAAGAGAAATAAATGATTGAGCACTGACAGACATAATTACTTGAAACAATGAAGAACATCATCCAATTCTCTATCAGCAAACTCAAGCAGATTCCTGAGCACAAAAGAGATAATGTTGGAGTAGTCCCAAGTATGTGTCCTATTCCCTGATTGTTGAGAATGGTGTAGCAAAAGTAAAAGCACTTAATTCAAAGTAGTCCGGCATTTAAATTGCAACCCATCCATTATATACTGATCCAGTCTAGCTCTCTTTGTGCTCCATACATCACATATCAGAATTGTTAGACCTTTAATGGTTTCCAGAGGTGCTCGACAACAACAATAGAATTACCTCAACAACAAAATGAGTTGCAGGCATTTGAGCACCACATCACATCAAGTTCCTAACATCCAATCCCCAAATCGCCGCAAAGAGCCAGATCTAGCAAGGAAACAAGGCAATCCTTATGAAAAAGGTATGATAACTGGCGAACCAAGTAAACCTTTTTCACAATCACCCCCTCCAGTTTGGAAAAATATTTTTTTACTTAAGCCGATAAAAGAGTTTAAGGGTTTGCATAACACAGATTAGGACAAGATGATAAGCTTTCTAATCTGAAATAGATTAGAAAACATCAATGTAATTTTATCTCACATTCAACATAATAAAGATAGATCGAAAAACCTCTGTTTTTCTTGGCGTCTAAAATTGCAAGGCACAACTTGATAGTGAGAATGATGATGATTAAAATATAACACCCCTTAATCCAATTACTCGATTAATTTTGAATTCTATAAGAAGAATAAATGAAAAAGTGAAGATAAGAAAATATTAACAAATGGACTAGTCTGAAACCGTGAACCAACATAAGCAAACCAAAGCATGGACATCGGACAAACACTTAACTACATTTAAGGAAGACTCAGATTCAACTAGAGCTTGACAGCTGACAAACACTTAGATACGTGTAAAAACTCAGCTATATTTAAGGAAGGCTCAGATTCAGCTAGAGCTTGACAGTTGACAAACACTTAGATATTTGTAAAAACTCATGGGATGGTATTAAGCAATTTGATGTCTACACAATAACTAAGGTTCACAAGCCTTTCTCTGCCAAGCCAAAAGCTGACATCCAATCAAACTGCAAGTAAATTGTAAAAAGTTAACACCATGCACAAGGAACATGAAAAATGTACCTGAAGATTCTTCGAGAAAAGGAATCCAGTATCAATGAAGTATTCAATTGAAGTAAAAAAGGCCCAAAGAAAAAGAAGTGAATGGCTAAATAAAATTAAATTCCAGTGCGAAAGAAATTTTTGATTTCAGCAGAAGATAAAGACTTAGATATTGAGTTTATAGGACTTAACTATTAGGGGCAAACTAAGATTTTTTCAAAATAAGAATGCTATTAAGTCCACTTATAGAGATCACAAATGGGAACTTACAGAATAAGTCACTTGGAAATTCATTTAAAAACTAGTTGAAAATAAAAGCATCAACAACATGCAGAGGAAGAAAAAATAAAATAAACTTAAGCCATACCTTGACGTAGAGGGGGCAGCTGACATTGAGTGGGAACGCGGTGAAACAGACCTAGATACAGATGGAGAACGATGCGAGTATCTGGCCCTAGGAGACTTGCTGTAGAATAGGTCAAATAAGGTAACTTGAATATGGACTAAAACATAAATATTCAAACTGATATTTTCATCGAATAATGAAGACTGACCTCCGGCTCCTGCTACTATAGCTACGGCTGCGACTAGGGCTGTGACTATATGGGCTATGACTTGGACTTCTAGAGTAGCTGCGCCTAGAATCATATCTTGAATCATACTCCTTCACCTGAATAAAACAATAAGATATTTGATCAAGTAGTGTTGCAAAAGCATGGATCGAGAATTAAATATGCACCATAACATACCCGTATGTAAGCCCGGCTAAATGCATTTCGAAACTCAGAGTCATCAAGCTTCCTTATCTGCAGAGTCCAAATAGAACTCATTAAAGAAGTATTGCCATTCATTGTTAAGGAGGTTACACAAACCCCAACTCCACATAAACAAGTTAAAGCTTAAAGGTTCGCAAGGTTAAAGCACAGCAGCTTACAGCATATTTCATGTCATCATAGTTTGTGTAATCTACAATCCCTGTCATGCCTGCAAAGAAATTGCAATAACATTAATATGACAGCCGCATAAAAATTTCTTTCCAAGATAACCGTCAAAGAAATGTAATCCACAAGGCAATCAAGTGCAGGTGCAAATTTGCAATGCATCATATTGATATGAATAAATAAAATCTCATTTGTTAACCCATGGACGGGGCCACATTATAATCAGAGATGCCCCTCTCATGCTGTATAGCCCTAGCATTCTCAACACAATCAATTTAGTGTGAATTGATCCTAGAGGAATCTAAGCTATTTCAACTGATAGTTAAGGAAAGAGGTGTTAATGCAATAAATAAAATGATAAGGATTCTACTCACCTCCACGATCACGAAACACTTGAGAGAAACAGACATCCCCGGCTTTGCGCATGTGATCCTGGTCATAAAGCAAAAACAATTTTAACAAGTACAAACCAGGTCAAATGAACAACATACTCTTAGGCATTTCAAAAACTTTTATGCATAGAATATGTTACTCCATATGGATTACAATTCAAGAATTCTACAATATTTTATTATCATTCATCATATTATAATTTATGCACTTGATATGTAATTTGATTATTTGAAAGGAATTAAGACACATGGAAAGGCAACAATCAAGGAAAAATTATAAGCAAAAAAAATGAATTAAGGAAGTTACAACTAATGTTGAAACAATAGCTAATCAACTCACTTTTAGGTCTTGCCAAGAGGCAGAAGATGGTAAACCAGTCACCAAAACTGCATATAAAGGGATCATAAGGTTAAATTAAATTTAAAACAGCAAGCAGTTTGCCAAACTACAAAGATGATTTCAAAGGTTATATATACCACGATAGTCAGATCGCCTGGAAGGTCCGCGGCTACTGCTGCCACTGTAACTGCTATGGCGATCCACAGATGATGAAGGCCTTCGCCCACCATGAGCAAGTTCAACCTAACAAACAGAACAGAATAAACATGATCAGATAGGCAAAAACTCTTTAAACAGAAAAGAGACTATAACCCGAATATATGAACAGGGCAATATTAACTACTAACCCGTAAACGATACCCATCCAAGTCATAACCATCTCGACCACGAATTGCATCTTCAGCATCACGCGGATCCTCAAACTGCAATTTTTCACTGTCAGAATACTGAAACCTGAAAACTTATTTCCTCTTTCCTTGGCCTCGTAATAATAAAATATGAAAACTCACCTCAACAAAAGCATAACCAGGGGGCCTTGGTGGGATCTTCAAATCAATATCAACAATGGGCCCATACTGAAATATAGAAACACAAACAATAAGGAAGCAACAAAAACAAAATTAAAAAGAATGATGCATTGAACAGTGATTTGGAAACCCCAAATTGTAGTTTTGAGCTAAAATTAATTAATATAAAGACACCCTTTATTCTTTTTCACCCTAACAATCATGCCATATCTCCATCCATCCACAAATAAACCTATAAGAACAATTGAAGACAATTTTACAGTACACTACTTTTTGCATATATTTACTAAACAATGAAGAATAAAAATATAACATAAATTATAAAAAAAAACAAAAACAAAAATAAAAATAAAAAAAACCTTGTAAAACAAATCTTCAACTTCTCTCATACGAGTGTCCCCAGGCAGATTGCCTACATAGAGCGTGCGGCTTGAACGGCTCATCTCCCCTGAAACAAAACTCATTTAAAAATGTATATATATGAAAAAAAAACTAATTTTTTTATTGTCAAGCTAACTTTATCTGCAAAATGTTTTTGAATCTATATATATATATATATATATATATATATATATATAACAATCAAACATCTTTCAATCACCATCAAACAAATACTAAAGAAAGCTAATTACACACAAAAAAAAACTTTATTATAATAAAAAATGGAAATTGCCGTAATAAACAGGTCAATCCAAAACATAGATATAAACAAAAAAATAATTACAAAAAACCAAAAAAAAAAAAAAAGGAAAAAGCTTCCTTTTTCAAATTCAGTAGTTGAAACAGAGCACAAAATTTAAAAATAAAATAAAAAATTAAGGAAAAAAAGGTTACCTTGGAAGAGAGGGTTGAGAGAGAATGGTGAAGTTCAGGGAAGTTTTGTTTCCAAGAGGATTTAGATTAGATTATTCTGGAAGGCTTCGTGGCTTCGGAGGAGTTTAAAAGGAAGAGGGACAGACGACAAAGGAATCCCATCGTATGTTGTCACGTGTTCGTATTTGATTTTTCTGTCTTACGGTTACAGATTCTCAACCATTGGATTTTCAGATGCAAATGTTTTACGGTTTTACCCCTATTCCTTCTGAAATTATCTAATGGGCTGGATGCTGGCCCATATGGGGGTGCCTTATGGGCAAGCCTGAAAAATTTAAAGGCCGCCGCGTTTATATACAGGCCTGGTGGACCATTGGGCTATGCCCGTATTTTCTATTTATTATTATTTGGATTTATAAATTTTTGAATTAAATAAAATTTTAATATGAAAAAATATATAAATTTTTTGGTTTAATTGTCAATTACGTGGACTTTTAAGATTGTTCCAATTTGTAATTTTAGATGAATAATGAAAGGCTTATTTTCAAAATTAATAAAAGAAAAAATCTTTTTTGAATTAACAGTTTAAAAAAAATTTATTTATGTTGATGTAAAATTAATTTAATTTTACATTTTTTATAATTTTTATACTATATATATTTGTTTAATCAAATTATTGTATTTTATGCTTTATTCATAAAAATTATGCAAGTCAAATTTTAAGTTAATTAAAAATGTTTAATTATTTGTTTAATATAAAAAATTTTAATAAAATTAAACATATATTAAAAAGGATAGTATCTTCAATCCAATATAACAAAAATATTAAATTAAGTTTGAAACTTTAACTGAATAATGTCATTATATTATTAAGTTCAACTACCTATTTGTTAAAATATTAATAGTTTATAAAATTAATAAAATGGTATAAAGTTTTCACTGATATATATCTCTATCTCTCTTCAATAGTTTATTTAAAATAATCATATATAGCAGATGAGCAAATGGGATGTGCCAATGGTTTTGGTTTAAAAAATAGACAAATAACAAACTTACAATAAACTTGATTTTAATAATTTTTTAAGAGAAATTAGGTAATTATATACCTAAAGTTTCTTTAATATCAAATAAAACTAGAAATTATCAAATAAATTTTGCTTTCTATTGTAAATGTCTAAAAAGTTACTCTTTGAGGCTAAGAAAAATTAAAGTATAAAATTACATTTTTAAATATATTTTTACTTTTATAAAAATGTACTAAAGATAATAAAATAAAAAATGTGAAATAATCAATTGAAAGGTTTTAGATGGCTAGGGATGTAAAAAATAAATCAAAAAAATCAAAATTGATTTAAAATTTTAATATTTGATTTAGTTTGGATCGAATTTTTTTATTTGATTAGGATTAAATTCAAATATTAAATATATATTTGATTTATATTTAATTTTAAATTGAAAAATAAAAAATAAAAAAATATATAATTAAATTATATATTTTTAAATTTTATAAAATAAAAATAATTACTTTATATTTAAATTTATTAAAAATTATATTTAAATAATATATAAAAAATAAAATTTAAAATTTAAAAACTGAATAATCCAACTATAATATTCAAATCAAATAATAAAAAATTTAATTTAAATTTAAATTAAATTTTAAAAATTCATAATTTTATATATTATTTAAAAAAACCAATGAAATTTAATATGACTCAAACTCTTTGTGCCCTTACATACGGCGGATTTCCTCCGCCGACGGTTTTCTTTTCTCCCTTCGCCAATTTCGCTTTGTCTTCTATCTTTCTCTTCTATATAAAGAGGAGAAAAAAAGAAGACACTTGTAATTGTTTTTCTCTTTTATTTGTGTCTTTCGAACAGGGTTATTCTCTCTCTCCAAAATGGCGGAATTTAAGAGCAAGTTTGAATCCATAAGGGAATGGGTTGTCGATCACAAGCTTAGAGCTGTTGGTAATTATTTTCTTTTTTCAATTTTCAAGGATTTTGTTTGGAAAAATTATGAGTTTCTTTTGTCAGGATCTTAATCTTTTTTTTTTTTTTTGTTTCAAACAAAAGGGTGTTTGTGGCTTAGCGGTATTGCGGGTTCCATTGCTTACAATTGGTCTCAACCCAACATGAAAACCAGCGTTAAGATCATTCACGCTAGGTAAGTCTTTTATCTTTTTCATTTAATTTTCTTTTATTAGGTTTTTGAAATTTTGATTCATTTATATATCTTTTGTTGGATTCATCCAGAAGGGCATTAGAAAGTAATGAAATTTGTCCTCTGGAAGCTTGGAAAAAGGGAATTTTCTATTAGAATTTTTCTTTTTTCTTGCGTGTTTGATAATTTTATAGGGCTTCAAATCATCCCTCTATTCCTCTTGGTGTTGGGTCGTAAATGGTTTGATTATTAGTGTTTCTAGCTGTTGGTTTCGATTAGATGAGCCAAATATCTCCCACCACCTGTGCTAGGTGATGCAAATTAGAGCTATGGTGATTTGTTGTGTCTGGAATTTTGTTGCAGAAGATTTCTGATATCTAATTAATTGGACTGTAAGAAGGATTAGAAAACTATTTTTCTAAACCATAAAAGAATTTGAACCATTGGAATGGTTTTCCCCGGTTTATTATGAGGGGATTTTTCTAGGTTATGGTGAAAATACTGCAGAATTTTGTGTGATACTATCTGTTTGATTCTGCAAGTTTGCTTGAACTCTATGTGATACCATCTGTTTGGTTCTGCAAGTTTGCTTGAAGGTCATATCCTTACCCATTCGTCTTTTAGCCTTAAAAGTAGACCTGCCAATATAAAACATGATATAATGACATGAACACCATTCGGAAAAAAGACATGAAAATGGTGAAAATGGTACGGTTTAAAATTTTAGCAATAATTATATATGTATTTAATAAAATCAAAAAAATATATTTCATATTTTTATATTAACACGAATTATGACACGTAATTTAATTCTTGTGTAAAACATAACACTAACACACAAATTTTAGTATTTTACATAATATGAATTCACGATTAGTCAGGGCTACCTAAAAGAGGACAAAAATGGTTGAAGGGAGGGGTTGAAGGGGCCTCCAACAAAATAGTTCTGTCTTTGTACATGCGCAAGGTTGATACCTCTTTAAAACGTGCTTTACTCTTCTTTTGTATCTTCATATTGCTTATTATGATAGCTTCTTTTATGGCGCATTTGATTTGTATTTATTGCAAAATTAATGTTTGCATAATCTGTCTTTCTCGAGATTGACTGTCATTTTGTGTTTCCGAGCTTGTACTAGCTTTGGATGTTTACAACTTGCTTTACTTACTGTGCCTCATTGTTAACTCATTGTCCTCTGCCTTCAATTCAGGTTGCACGCACAAGCCCTTACATTAGCTGCATTAGCTGGTGCTGCAGTGGTTGAATACTATGATCATAGGAACCGGACCAAAGCCGATCCGTATGCAAGTTACCTCTCAGTTGATGCATACTCTCACAAGGAGTAGATGATATGTTTTAGTTCTATAACTTACTCGGTTTAATATATATATATATATATATATTTGTTTGCCCTTAATGGATGGATGGTTAATTCCAACTGTGTCACTTGTCTGAATTCTATGAAAATGAACACATTTGAATGGTTTTAGGGAGGTTTTGCAGCCTTGGGCTGAGGATCTAGTACGTTCTCCTTTGTTGCTTGTGGAGTCGGTCGATTTTCATCAACAAAGAAAATAAGAAAAAAAATAAAGGCTTTAAGTCAATATTGACCGTTGATCACCATTCCTTTGTACAGCAAACGGTGCACAACTGCCGCACTTGACAAAACGAGTCATAAGTACGCTTAATAATTTAATAAATGACACAATAATTTAAGATATAATATGCAATATGGCCACAATATAAATTCGATTATATGAATTATAAATAAAAATAATATATTTTAAAATATTAATAATATTTTTATATAAAATTAATAATAATATTTTATATTTTATATTTTTATATCAATATAAATTATAATATATAATTTTTATATGTAAATTTTAATATTTTATACGTTTAATTACATCAATCATCAAAAGATCTTCGGGTACAAAAATAAATGCTCTAAAAGGTAAAAACCCTAAGTTGTCTTAGTCTTCTGCGTCAAAGTCGCCGCCTTTCCCTTCAGTTTCAGCTTCAACGCTTCTCGATTGGTAACTCTCTTTTCCCTTAATTGATAACATATGGTTAATTTTCTGTGTTTCTTTCCGAGAAAATGGATGAAATTTTGATTGAATATCCTACTGAAAAAAAAATCAACAAAGGAAAATTCATTGGTTGCTCAAAAATTTTTACTTTTTTTTTTCTTTTAATTACTTCCATAGTTTTGATGTAATTTAGTTTTTGCAGTGTCTCAGCCACAAAAGTGTGTATAACTCAAAGATAGGCTACTTAAATATTGTCACTGAATCATTGATTTAATCTTATCATTAAGACTGGGTGGAAGAGTATAAGTTTGGGTATCAAGAAAATGAGGGAAAAATGAGAAACTTTAGTAAAATTGGGTTGATTTTAATCTTTTTTTTTTGTTGGCTAATTGGCATAGGATAAATTGAAAATGAGTAAAGGTAGTGCAGCAGGACCCAAGGGCAAGAAGAAGGGAGTTACCTTCACTATTGATTGTTCGAAGCCCGTGGAGGATAAAATCATGGACATTGCCTCACTGGAGAAGTTTCTACAGGAGAGAATCAAGGTTGGAGGGAAGGCTGGTGCACTTGGTGAAACTGTAACTCTCGCCCGTGAGAAGAGCAAAATCACTGTTACTTCTGATGGTGCCTTCTCCAAGAGGTAAAAAAGAAAGAGAGGATGTTTTATTGGCTTTTAAGTTAGGATTATATTTTTCTATACTTGTATCAAACTGTTCAAGGCATGAGCTTTCTTGGGTTATGAGTACTTAAAAATATTCAGGAAAATATTTGATTAACCTATTGTGCTTGTATATATTCGAATTGAGGTTGATTTTGATTTGCTTCTCTTATGATAGCATTATTTTCTGCGACCTCCGATAACTTTGGTGTTGGCATGCTTGGTCTTTTTCTTGGCTGACTGGTTTATGTCTCTAGCTATGGCCTTTATAAGTAAAAAGAAACTTCAATTCTCTGATTGAGCCAAATTTTCCTGTGTGGTTTTCAGATAAAATATAATGTGTGTAGGGACTTAGAGGAATCTTTTGGTTGGCGTTAGGCTTTTATAAACATGGGGGATATTTCTATTTTAGTTCCCTCATTGTTTCCAATTGCCTGTAAAGTCTTAAAATGGCATTTTTCTATGTTGTATTGCTCATAGTTTGCACTATGATTTGGATTATGTGGCATTGTGCTTGAACATATATACTTTATTGTACATGTTCATTCCCTCAGTCGCTTTGTACACTTTTGTCCAGGTATCTGAAGTACTTGACCAAAAAATACTTAAAGAAACATAATGTACGTGATTGGCTCCGAGTGATTGCATCCAACAAAGACCGAACTGTTTATGAACTAAGGTACTTCAACATTGCTGAGAACGAGGGTGAGGAAGAAGATTGATACCTGGGAACAGTCAGTTGTCATGCTAGTTGCTTTGTCACCTTTTTTATTTCAGTATTTGATTATTTGAGGCTTTGAACAATCAGGTTTTACAAACCTTTTGTTATCTATTGAATATGAGATTTTGCAATGCCTCTGTTGTACCAATTGAACGTATTTTATGTTGTGATTTTGTCATTAAGCTTAGAATGATTTGGAGTTTGAACAGATTATGCTATCAATTATGATGATTGGAGGCATTCCACCTATTTATTATAATCGTTGCTATCAATTATGCGATCGGTGGTTCCAGGTTAATTATAATTGTTTCTAGTAATTATCTAATATCCTAAACCTGATCGGAGGTCCTACCAATTTCAGTGGAGCATGTCAATGAAATTAACATGATTCCTGAATAACACTCAATGAGTTATATGTATATGATTGACAGATTCATTCAGTAAGAGCTGCTTTCTAATGTATTTCATTGGACTTCGGATGAGTTTCATTGTTTGAAGGATTTGGAATGGTGGTTCTTTGATGAAAGATGCAAGGTTTATACATTCGGGGCAAGATCAATTATGCTATCGGTGGTTCCAGGTTAATTATAATTGTTTCTAGTAATTATCTAATATCCTAAACCTGATCGGAGGTCCTACCAATTTCAGTGGAGCATGTCAATGAAATTAACATGATTCCTGAATAACACTCAATGAGTTATATGTATATTATTGACAGATTCATTCAGTAAGAGCTGCTTTCTAATGCATTTCATTGGACTTCGGATGAGTTTCACTGTTTGAAGGATTTGGAATGGTGGTTCTTTGATGAAAGTTGCAAGGTTTATACATTCGGGGCAAGATGGCCCCTTCTCAACACCTATCCAAAAGTGGCAATGCAAATTCTCGACTTTGTTCTGCTTGGTCAGGATTTGATTAACATTTGCATCTTATTTCACTTATGTTCTAAGCTTTACATTTGTTGCAAAGTTCTGTATTTCAATAGAGCACTTGTGTGGGAATGTTCAATCGTTGCAGCATTGCTCAATGATATGCTTTTTCAATTGGTTTCTTTCTCTCTTGGTAAAACATTTATAAGACAACGAGTGATCCTGGACTTGGTCAGATGTGAAAACTACCACAAACTGTGGGGGGGTGAAGCAAGGAAGTAAATTCCTGCCAAATATAGGGAGTCACATCTACATAGGGATTCTCCCTGGTCATCTGTTCTCTCCAAAACCAACACTAAATCCTTCTTTGAACGAGGCATAAAAAAAAACAAAAAACTTTTTTTTCTCTCTCTCTCTCTCTCTCTTTAATCAAAAACTTGGGTCCAACACGCAACCCCAACGTCTGCCTGTGGTTACTGCAGCATCACTTACGCTCACCACCAACATCTACTCTTTGCCATGCCAAAAGCCAAGGTCTCTTCCCCCCTTTTGCACTACCATTCAATCTTTCATAGCCATCAATCCTTTGGTCAAATGTCAAATTTACCAGCCATTCGATATTTGAATCTTCAGAATCTAATAAGATTAGGCCTGCATTGGATGTATTTTTACTTGAGTTACAAGGAAACTAGATTGCTTTGGAGATTTCACCACCCAATTCGACATCTCGCTCTTAAAAACAGTGTTCGATTCAATCATCAAACTCAATAATTAATGTATCCCTAATAATACTTGGAAAAAGGAGCATAGTCTGAATGTATTAATGCAAACAGGATGACAGTAGAGAACCAAAGAGGACCATTCTCTCTCTCAGTGTGTTCTCAGCAATGCCAAAAGCAGCAATTAGACTTGAGTTTTGACAGGAGTTAAACAAAGATACGGCTTGATTTTTTTAACAAAGATTTGAACTCAGAGTTTAGGCTAACAAGTTAACTGATGATCAGATCAAGAATTTTCAAGTTTCAATACAGATTTGTGATGACATGATGAGCAAATTTTGGATAAAAGAAGTGGGTTTTGGTCTATTTGGCGGCAGACAGCATTCCCACAAAGGCAGCAGAACTGACCCAATTCATACGTAATAGGTAATAATATCAACCCACTAATCAAAACCGGTAAGAATAAGACTCACTGGAAGCTGTGTCAAATTCAAGGTCATATCTAGACCATTTTCAAAATCCACTTTCAGGACATTGCACTTGCATGTCACGTGCAAGAAGCGTAGGACCACACTGCTTTGATTCTCATTGATAGGGCGAGTGCTGATCATGTTTCTGACCTGAGAGGAGTGAATATGGCATTGTTAATTAATTGAAAGGGGCGTGTTTTCTATCATTTTCATCTTGAAATTCATTAAGAATGGGGTTGTGGTGGTGGGGTGGGTGGCATGGCTGGCTACAAAGCAATCAGATACCTGAAAACTTACATATGGGGGAGGTGTCTTTAAAGAATGCCCACTTCTAGACTCAATCTCAATAACTCCTTTTCACCTTTTCTTTTTTCTCTTTCTCTCTCTTGCAAAAACTAGTATAAATGCATGAGAGTTTCTCTAGTTTCTCCACTCATCTAATCACTAAAATTTCTTCTATGGTTTTTTGTCATGGTGGGTGAGTGGCTCTTGTTGGAGAAGCAGGGCACGTGCAAGTTCTGTATAGCTTATCTCAGTGTTTTTACATGTCCCAAGTGATGAACTTTGCACGTGCTCCTCTTCTCCACCATGAGTTCCTCACCTTTTTCTCTCACTCTCATTGGTGATTGCATTGCTAAGTCACTTGTGAAAGTACAGATATGATCAAGAAGGTAATTATAAGGCTCAATTTTCCTATCTTTCACTGCCTTACTTCCCCTTAATTAGTTTCTTTCTTCACTTGCCATGGTTAATTCTTCTTGATTTTGCATTTGTGAGTCTTATCTGGAAAATCAAGGTTTGATAGAAACACTCAATCAAGAGGATTCACTCTCAGTTTTCTAATAACAGTATAACACTGCATGCAGACAATTCAACTTAAGCACGATGATATGTGTATGTGTATATTTGTATATGTATTATATAGTCAATTTCTTTGTCAGGTTATTTCATGTTTGCACTATGGCAATAAGCATCTAATTTCATCATCGAAGACATATTCTGTAACATGCAACTGTTGCAATTACATATGCATGGCCTATATTATGAGACAAGGAGTAAGACTTTCTTACATTCATGGTAGCTGTCTTCACTGCGACTAAGCTGCTAAAGATTAAAGCAAAAAGGTTTTATTTCACACAAAAGAAAATGAGAAATGGAACACCAATGTGATAGAAAAGCTAGTTTCCTTTTATCTTTTTAACAATTTTTAAGCAATGAATGTTCACAGTTCAGAGGGCTTTTCCTATACAGTTATACGTACACCAATGAAAGGGGGCATATTATTTGGTCTAAGTTGTGCAGTAACAAGAAGGAAGATCAAAAGATCAATTCCCCAACAGAAAAAATAATGTAATTTACTTTCAAGGAAAAACAAAAGGCAAATGCTCATTTGCAGAAGAAATGACTCTGGGTTTGACCAATCCAACATGTTGCATACAAATTGTACATTTCGTTGTTGACTTGTCCCTCTCTCTCTCTGTTCCTCCGACCCTTTATTACGTGGAAGAGCGTACGGAGCATGTTGAAGGATTGAAGCTGAAGCAGATAGCACACGCCTGGTTGGAACTGTCCCATTTGTCACACAAGGAAAGCAAAGATGGCGTAAGAGTTTATATAAATGGGCTTATTTTGGCAGTCTAAAAGTTGGGTCTACCCTTCACTTTGCCTTAAAAACTGGGGACTCTTCCTCTCACTATCGGTATTTATTTCATTTTTGGGTTTTGTTTAAGGCCTTAACCAGGGAGGAAAAAAGAAGCTTAATTGGATAAGGCAAATTAGTGTTGGAAATTGAAAATAGATAATAGTGAAATGAAGATTGTGCATAACCTTAAAATGCAAGCAGTGGTGTAAAAGAGAAGGGGAAGAATCTGAAATGAAGATGAATTTAGCGCGTATTTTGATACGCAATGCACAAATTTCTAGGCTTGTGAAACCCACTATTGAGATGATGATTTTATCTCATGCAAAGGGTATCTTTATATCTACTTGAAGTGTGGTTGGACCACCCTGGAAGGACAACCTGGCAGCGGAATTCTTAAAAACTCTGAATCCATTGCCTGTTTGAATGTAAATCGATGATTGAATACTTGTTTTTCTTCAATCTCTTCCATGACAGCGCAATATTTTTCTCATCATTCAAAACTTGATATCGAATTCTGACTTTCTCTACGTTTGATGCTGAAGGGAAGTGAAAAGGACCTTTAGATAATGAAAGAAGAGAAACGTTTAATAAGTTTCTGAATTTCCTTTGCATGAATGCGATCGTGCAAGTTTCTTTTATTTTGTTTTTTTCTTGGCACAAAAAAGTTGCTTGCATTTATTCTTCGTTATATTTTTGCATTATTATCATTAGATAAAAGCCATATACAGGTTTTGCCTCCAAAATATCCCATTGAATCATTGATTTTACGATAATATCATTGTTACAGAACAGCTTGACTTGAGAGACAATATTTGCTTGAGAAAAGAAAAATTGTCATTGTTTCATTCAGGAATGTAATCGAATTGAGTTGTTTGAATTCGACTCGGTATTTGAAGCTTGAAGCTCAGCTGCAAGTTGATCGATCTTCATAATTTTATTTGTATTTTTACTCGAATTCGGCTCGTAATTTGTTAGCAATGTATTATGAAAGTGGGCCTCAGCAAACCCAACATATCGGTGCATAACTTCACTTTTCCCATGACGAGTTTGAAATGGCTTGCATTTTGATTTGAATGTAAATGATATATCAGTGTTTTTAAGTTAATAAGGTTTAATTTAAATAAAATTTAAATTTATTATTGTTAAATTAAGTTTAAGTTTAAGTAATTTAATTTATTAAATAAATAGAATTGAAGTAGTTCATGAGCTTAATTTAATTTTTATATTTTAATTAAAAAATTATTATTTTATTTATATATATTTATTAATTTAAATTTAAATTTGAATTCAAATTTAAATTGAGTTTGAAATTGAACATAAAAATTTAGCTTTTTTTTTTTATCGCATAAAAGAATTTAATTGAATGAATTTAATAATTTAATTTTTTTAATCAAATTTAAATTCTTAAATTTAAGATTAAATTTGAATTTTTCATATTCGTTTCAACTTGAATACACTTTTAGTTTTGACAGTTACCGGGAAACCAACAATAACTAATGTTCTTCTGCTTCAGAATTTGAACCCGTCAGTAAATCAGGAAAGCTTTATAAAACTACGAATCTACATATGCAAATATGCAATTTTTTTGTTTCATTTTCTGGTTATAAAATCAGAGTATTGTTAGATTTCACGGAAACATTTATTTTTGGTCGTAGTGGTTTCTGCAATATGCATTTGACATGTCACAAACACGTTCGATAAAATGCTTATGAGAGAAACCAATTGAGTTGCGGTATAAGTTTAAGGAATCTTCATAATCCCTTTTTTGTAAAACTTTTTTCCTCCAAGTTGTAATATTTGTTCAAGGTACTTAGATTCTTCATCTTTTTCTTGGAATATGGCTGATTTGGTTTGCTGGGTATAAGAATAGTTGAAGTCAATTTACTAATAATCTGTCAAAATTCAGTGACATTTTCTCCTTAGATCATGCTTGTATTTATTGGAGTTGATCTATTTTTTCGTGGACAGAGATGGTTATCCCTGTACCTGCCAAATTCTCGATCTATATTTTATGATATTTAAAATTTAAATTTTTAAAATATTTTTTTAAAATAAAATTATAAAATTTTTATATCAAAATAAATAATATTTTATAAGTTACGTACTTACGAATCTATCTTAATATTATTGATATTTCAATTGGTGAGCTGAACTCTAAGGTATTGAATCAAACACTTTTCCTGGCCTAAGGCAAAGTTGAAGGACCTTCCTATTCTCTGATGAATGATCAAGTTTATTACAAGGTCTCTAGTGTTATATGCAAGGCAATTTTCAATAACAACTTGGAGGTTTGTAGTGTTCAGAATGTCTGAAGCTCTGGTTCAATTGTTTCCTCAGCCACAACATGAATAAGACTTTGTCGAGTCGTGACCCTTTTATTATTTTCCTCGACCTTTTCTCCTTCCATTGCGACAAAAATAATGAAATTGTTATTATCGCAACCAAAGTGTAACACAGTTTTTAAGTTTAGATTGTGAAATAGATATTTTGTTATGTTTTGTCTTGTTTGTTAACTAATTGGTCCCATTCATTGAGCTAAAAACCAAAAAAATACAATCATACCTTTTTTTTCTTTAATAATTGTCCTTTTTTAATCATTTGAGTATATAATTTTTTTCATTTTTGATAAATAAATATATGAAAGTTATTGGAGTTGTAATAAACCAGAACGTGTCTGCAACAAATGTCTCAATCAAAGGCTCCATTTGGTAACCAAAAGCCGATTATCCTGTGAAAGATATTTTTCGTAGAAGATATTTTTTGAAAAATTAAGGTAGTGTTTAGTTTTAGAAAAATAAAATAAAATTTTTTTATTCGTTTAAAAAATTAAAAAATAAATGAAAACGTGTTTGATAATTAAAAATAAAAATAAAAATCTGTTAGAATATAAAAATAAAAAATTATTTTTAATTGTGAATATAATGGATGAACATTACTTTTTTTTTTTAGTTTTACAAGTTATCATATTTAAATATTTTTTAATATCATTAATTAATTAATAAATATTATATTTATAATTAGATGACATTAATAGTAATATCATTAAATACTTTATTTATTTCTTTATTTTTAAATTTTTAGAAAACAATTTTTATTTTCGTTTATCAAATACTTTTTTTAAAAAACAAAAAATAAAAAAATATTTTTTCAAACCAAAGGAATCCTAAATATTTTCTAGTGTTTGGATAATATTGGAAAAAAATATTTTTTGTTGTTTGGATCATGTTATGCAAAAAATATTTTTCACCATGGATAATCTTCAAAATTTTCTGTTATTTAGAATAAGTCTGCAACTTGATCTGCACATCAAAATCAGAAGCTGTGATTTGTTGATTATGAACAAGGCTTACATTCCCATTAGATCTGATAGTTTTTTTCGAAGATGTCTATGGCATGGAGTTGTTAGTAGCTGGGAATATAATTTTTATTTTGATAAATAATATAATTTCTCTTGATTTGAGCTTAAAAAGGATGATAAAAGTAAAGTGAAAAGTTGAGTAAAGCTTCGGGGTTTTGTAGTTAGGAAAAGAATTTGACTTAAAAATCTTTTTGGATGAACACAAGAGGAAGAAATTAAAAGAAATCGATTTGGCAACCTAATGTTTTAATAATTTATTTAAGTTAAAGTTGACCAGCGAAGTATTAGTTCAGTAATAAGTAATCTGATTTTAAGCAAATTTTATTTATCAAAAGGCAGAGATTTGAAATCTGAAGAAAATTTTTCATTGAGAGAGAAAGTAACCTAAGTAATCGTTGCTCTTAGATTATTGATGTTCCACTCTTCGGAATAGTAACACTATTTTCATCATCATTTCCTTATAAAAAAATTATTTAATGTAAAGTCAACTTAATTTTTCCATCAAAATTTCTTAGACAATAAATTTGGGAGACGGTATTTTCTTTTAATTTTTTTATAACTTGATGAATAGAGGTATTTATCAATTAGGTCAAGTTTGAGTTGAATTTAAATTTAATATTGATAATTTGTATATTTATTTAGATTTGATTTGGTGTGATATTTTAAATTTAAAAAATTTTTAAGTTCGACTTAAATTAAAAAAATATATTTTAAATTTATTTATTAAATTAAATTAATATAATAAATAATTAAAAAATATTTTTTAAAAAATATAAAAATATAAAAATTATGTAATTATAATATTTAATTATATATTTTATTTTGATTAGATCAAATTCGAACTTTAATTGTTTTATTTAAAATTTGATCTAAAATTTAAAAAAATTTAAAAATTATATTAAAATTTATTTAACATAATTTAATTCTTATATTTAAATCTTCTAAAAATTTGAATGAATTTACAAATTTAAATGAATAATATAACACTTGAATAAGTCTAACGATTAAATAGATTTTTATCGTATTCTGACATTAATTTATAATTAAATTTCATATCGTTTTATAATTAAATTTTATTGTTATATTATTTTATGATTAAGTCTTATCACAGTGACGTTTTATAATTGGATCCGACAATCAAGTGTGTTCGATTTTTTCTTTTCAATGATCCTTAATCTACTAGCAGTAGATTAGTAAGATAATCACTGTATACAAGAGAAGGATTAATTATTGTCTCAAGATATTACTTTCTCGTGATAAATACAACATTATATCAAAAGGCCGCTGAGAATCTATCATGCCAATGTCGTAATTTCATTCAACACCCTGACCATTTACAATCCAACTCGATAAAGTTAAGGGTATTTTCGGTTTTCAGCCTTTGTAAAAGATAACGAAGTCACGTGACATGGCCTGACTCCGAAGAGCTCCGAGTTTTTTGGTCCCACCTGTCACACCTGATCTTATCGCCAACTACGTGCTCCTCGATGCATTTGCCACGTAACTACTTTTTCTCAGATATAAATCAACGGTCCAGATTTATCCTAACTTGTTCGACCTTTAACCCCTTATTTCGTCGTTAAATTCTTCCTCACTCTCTTTTATTTCCTCTCTATCCTGGCTATCGATTTCGTTACAATCAAAGAAGGGATCTTAAGATAAGCCGGATCTGCCAAAAACGCCGATCTCCTGCTTAGTTTACGATCATTATGGGGTTACTTGACCAGTTGTGGGACGACACTGTTGCGGGTCCTCGACCCGATAACGGCCTCGGCAAACTCCGAAAGCACTCCACTTTCACTTTCCGGCCTAACTCCGCCAAGGGTACGCCTAGGCCACCCCCTCTCCCTCCCCAAACGCTTCTTATTTTACATCGACAGTGGTGGCTACACACTTTACTACTTTAGCTATATATAAAACGACAATATTGTCTCACTAAAAGTAATCAAAATCGTCACCAAAATAATTGAAAGTTTTCAATTGATCTGTCAAGCAGTTATCAATAAAGAAAAAATCCTTACGAATTTTAACTTCATTATTTTCGTCAGACCTTTAAGATTTTATTCTTAAATCTTAGCCTTTCGTCTCTTTTTTTTATTTGGTTTCGCGATCTAATGATCAGAATCAGATGGCGGGAGTGTGAAATCATACGGTGATGTGACGTCGGAGGAAGCGACGAGAGTGACACGTACTATTATGATCGTAAAACCACCGGGTTACCAGAGCGGATCGCCCCCGGTTTCGCCGGCTGGGTCGACTCCTCCGGTGTCTCCTTTTTCTGGTAATATATTTTCTTCCTCTTTAATTGTTGAATTTATCCTGATTTATTACTTAAATCCCAAAATTGTCCTCTCCCGGAAAGGTGGAGTGGAAATGTCTAGAAACATTTCCATAAGTGGACTGTTGAAGGGTAGTTTTGTCAATTTACTTTTTTGTTTTTTTGATAAGTGGACATTGGGAGGGTAGTTATGTCATTTAATAACTCTGTATCTTTCCTCAAAGGATAAAGACAATGCAATGTTGGGTGGATGCAAGCGTGTATTTTGTCTTAGAGTTATGAAATGACAATAAAGTCCTCGTTGACGTACAATCAAGCAAGGATGTAATAAAGTTTTGAGTAACATATCTGCCCTAGTTTGGTCCATTTAGGTTAAAGATTATTTACTTGTTAAATCCAACAATAATTCAATAGTGTCTTTAATGGAGGTCTATTAATGTATGGGTGCCTTTCCACTGTGGGGCCTAATGGCACATCAATCCACATATATTGATGTTAATATCATACCCATATCACACGAAGGTTTTATTTTGTGTAGCAAACTTATGTCACAAACTTTGCCACATTTATTTTATGTTAGATGTCGACTGTTGTACCAAAGATTTTGCTGCTTTTGGGTGCATTTGCCCCAAATTTAGTGAATTGTCTGTCTGAACTTGGGTTTTTGTGTTTTCGTGTATTTTACAGTTGTTAAGATTGAATTTATAGCTTCCATAAACAACTCTACCATTCTCATAATTGCATTTAGTTAATTATGATTAGATTTGATAATTCGTATTATTGTGTTGTGTAAAATATTATATTTTACATAAAATTTACGCGTTATAGATTATGATGACACAAAAATATAAAATATAATTTTTTTAGCTTTATTAAAATTATTTATAGTTTTTTTTTAAATTTTAAATCGTATTATCTTCATAATTTTTATTCATATCGTGTTTCAAACTATCACGTCTAATTATGATTAGTTGTCTTAAGTTATAAGGTCATGAATATTGTATATGTGGTAATGGAAATATATATATATATATATATATGTGTGTGTGCGCGTGCGCGCGCGCTTGTGTGTATAAACATAGTTACCGAGTAAATTAGTTGTTAACGTGGATGAAATGTTGTTTAGGAGGCAGAGAGTCGTATCGGTTTCGGAGAAGGTCTACATCGGATGCATATGAGAAGGCCAACGAGGTTGGACCAAGGAGCCCTCGTCCTCCTTACGACGTGTGAGATATGAGCCTCTCCCCTTTTCGGCGACAAATCAAAGCTGTTTTCTACGTCTGTGTAGCTTAAGTTTATGAATGTGATCAAGCTGAGTTTGGTACCGTTTGCATGTGTAGTTCTTTTGGATGTATATCTTTGTCATGGGATAATGTTAGACAGATGGTAATGTACGAAAGTATGTACGTAGTTTGCTACTTGTATAAAGAGCTTGTATCTTATCTCTCTGCAGTTTGTTTGTTCTCTTGAAAGTTGAAACTTGTTGGAATAAGATTAATTTCAGTGTCGGCTTTCTCTAGCTGATCATGAACTTCAAACTGTTGTGTTTTTCCTGTTTCTGTGGAGCCAGCATCATAATGGAGTTCAATGTTGGATGCATGAGATAGTGTTTGCTAAAGGTAGAACGGATAAGATGTTGCTGGTGGTTGTGATGTGGTTATATCAACAAATGGTGGGGGCTTTTAAATGTTTATGGAATATGCAGATTGGAATCTGTCTTTGTTGGATGAATTTGGTTGTGTGATTGGGGCAGGATTTGAAATGTTTCTTTGTATTTTTCATGGATCCTGCAGTGCGTTAGCAAAACTCCTTGCAGTAGTTTGATGGTAGTTGAAACCGTGGACAACATTCTCTTGGTTTTTTAAGGAATTAACACAAAATCTTTGCATTCTCATGTGGTTGAATCGTTTATGTTCCATCTTGTTTCATGATTGGGCTCAACTTATACCGAAGAAAATGGTTGGATCAAGCGGTAAGAATGTGTTTTTTTTTTTTTGAATTTACTAAAATATTGTAAAAATTAATTTTTTTATAAATTTATTAAATTTGATATAAATATAATATATTTAAATTAATCCGTATAAAAAATAAGATTAAATATGATAATTTCAAATATAATATATTCACACTACAATAATAAAAAAAATTAAAAAATGATACAATTTAAAATTTTTATAATAATTGTATATAGGTTTAATGAAATTAAAAAATATATTTTATATTTATGACATATAATTTTTGTATAAAATATAATAAAAATATGTAAATTTTAATATTTTATATGATATAAACACACGAATTATTTAATTTAAATAAAATTCAACAATTTTTTACTATTTAAAAAACTCTGTTTCACCGGTGAGATAGGCGCCACATACTTATTAAAATAAATTAAAATAATTAATTTTTTTAATAAATTTATTTAAAATGATTAATTTAATGAATTCATTTGATCCTCAAAGGCCCAAACATGTTTAAAACCGTTTATGGAACACCTTACTCGATCTGGTTCCTATGTGAGCCCAAAACCAGCTTTTTTTGTTTTGCATGTGGGACAAAGCCCACGATTATTCAGCGGGTCGAATCTACATACTTAGGCAAACGAATACCCAAAAACCCAGGACGACCAGACATGTTTGACAATCGCACGTATGATTAACGTTGTTTCAATCTCTGCTGATCTGTTCTAGTGTTCCTGTTCCTTCCTGTTCCTGCTTTTAGAACGCTGTGGTGTACTAAAAGTTTCCCGTTTGGAGCCTTGGTCTTCTCAATGATTCACAGCTCAAAAATCCAAGAAGTAAAAGCAGTGAAGAATATGGAGCTCGGGTTTCTCGTATTTCTTCTCCTTGTCAACCTTCTTTTTCCCGTTTCCTCTGGTAAATAAACAACTTGCTTCCTTTTATTGTTTTATTAGGGTTCATTAGTTTCAAATTTTCACTGGGGTTTCTCTCCTTCATTGATTTTGGCATGGGTTTTATTTCAAGTTATATATTCATGGCTTAGAATTGGGGATTGGGCATTAGTTTTCTATGTCGCTAAAGTTTATGCTTTGAATTGTTGTTCTTTTGATGAAAGGCGATTGCTTTGGCTTCAATCAATTGAACAGTGATTTTAACAGGGCTTTATTCATTTATTTGTTTGTTTATTTTGCTTCAAATTGTGGGAAATTTTGTTGAGGATCGAAAGTTATGCTTTTTTTATTGTTAGCTCATATCTTAGTGATGTTAAGCTTCAAAGTTAGCTACTTTACCCATGTTTTAGATAACTCTCCATATAGACATTGCTTTTAGCTTTGTTGTTGTTGTGTTTTTACTTTGAAAAGCCTCTCATTTTTTCTGACAAAATGACTTCTTAAATATAGCAATTTATAGTTCTAAATTTTGCCCTCAAAGTTGCAGCATGTGAAATTCATTCACTTGGTATCTATATGCAGGAGAAACTAGTGGTGTGTGCATATCGCAAGGTGGTCGTTTTCCACCCTTCTCCTCTGAGGGGAAACCTCCAAAAAAGGTGGGGAAGGGACACAAAGATTTGACACTTTGTAGGGTGTTTCGGAAAAAGACTTGCTGTGATACTGCCCAGACACATCCTGCTTTACTTTCTATTAGGAGGCTGGCTTTGACAGGGGAGGCGAGCCAAGAGTGTTTGCATTTGTGGGAATTGCTGGAATGTTCCATCTGTGATCCACAAGTTGGTGTTCAGCCTGGACCCCCACTTATATGTACCTCCTTCTGTGATAGAGTATTTCAGGCTTGCTCTAGTGCTTACTTCTCGATGGATGTGAAGACACAGGTACACAAATGTGTCTAATCTCTTCTAGATTGTAAGTTTCATGTGCAGATCATGCACTAGTGGGGTTGGGGCAGGGTTGCCTGTTGATACAATTTTATAGGTCCTCTGCAGGCCTATCAGCACTTAGGATCTGGTGGAAGATTTTTTTTCTTTTCGAGCTTTCATTTTAAATTGTTCTTATTTGGTGGCTAGGATGGTTACCCTCATGGTGCTTCCCATCATCTAATGAGGTCGATGATCTTTGCTGTTGTGCTAGTGAACTAATGTGTTTCATCCTTGGAGCTTTATTTAATTTTGCTTTGTGACATGCTGTTTTAGTATCTTCTAGATGAGGTGTATTTCTAGATTTAATTTAAACAAAGAAATTTGCTGTCAGGTTCTAGCACCATGTGGAGTAAATGACTTTGTTTGTGGTAGAGCATCTGAATGGGCATCCAATGGCACAGAACTATGCCTTGCTGCAGGTTTCGGTGTTAAACAGTCTGATCTCATGCATGGTGGTGTTGAAGAAGTGACTTGTTATGGTGGCAAAGCCAGTCTTGATTCAATTGCTGATTCATGGGGAGCTTCACAATCTGAGAAGCCCCACAAAACTGGGAACTTTGGCCTCTTAGAAGATTTCCAGCAGTGGTTGAAGGATATTCCATCTAATGAAAGAGTTTCTTGGGCAGTGGGAGGCATGGTTCTTACGGCAGGCCTGCTATTTATAAGGTTAAGTTTCTTCCTTCTTGTGAAACATTAAGTTTTCCTCCTGATATGTAAGATTTAGTTTCTCATGGATCGATGACGAAGTCCTTAAAAGTATTGCAATGCTAAAAGCACATTTAAGTTGTTAATACAATTTGAAATGTGATCTGGCATTGTCTAGTTCTTTGTTTTATTTTTTTGAATACTTTATTACTGACTGTGCAGCAAAAGAAAGAGCCATAGCCAACGCCAAAAACTCGCAGCTATTCAACGCACTGCAAGAAGACTAGAAGGCAAGATGTACCAGACATCATCCCCTTCTAATCTGGGAAATAGGAAAGGAAACCGAAGATGAACATCGCCGCTGTTCTTGCAATTAAAACTATTGGAATTTGTAAGAATTCAGGATATAAATTCTTCAACATTTTGTTTTTCCATTATTGAGTTCTTATTATTAACATATTCTGTTTCCGCAATTTCTGCAGGATTACCTTTGCCGGATTGATCAAGTTTTCAAGATGTTGTTTAGGTGGAATGAGAAATTAAGTGAGTTTTTCAGTTGTACAATAACAAAAATCATTTTGATGATGGCTGACAAAGTTCTGAGTTAAGTAAAGAAATTTATAGAAGATGGAGAAAGTTGTTTTTTGCTTGGTACACACCTTGAAACAGGATATCCGAGAAAAAGCAGTTTCCTATTTGTTACACGTTTTATCCTAGTGATGCACTTTCATTGTGGTATTGTAGCAAAAATAGAAGTTTGCCGTTTCCTTTTTGGCCTTAAAATCATTGAAAGTTTTTCCAGTTTGGAATTTCCGAATGTTATTTACTTAAGGCGAAGCTGTAGTCTAAGCCTAGTTGATACACTGAAAAATTTCAACTTGTTTTGAAATTTGTTGTTTAAAATTTAGTTTGAACTCGAGTTGGATGGAATTTTAATTTTTAAATTTAAGTTTAATTTAAGATAAAGATTAACTTATTTGAATTTGTTTGATTAAATTTATTTATCGCATAAAAATAAATTTAATTTTTATATTTGATTTCAATTTTAATTTTCTGTTTTCAAATTCAAATTCAACTTGAATTGATATATAAAAATAAAATAATAATTTTTTGATTAAAATAAAAAAATATATATTAAAATATAAAAATTTGATTACATCTGTGAATTATTCAAATAAAATAAAATATTAAGATGTTTAAATTTGACTCATTCAATTAATCAAATTGTTCGCGCTTGAATTGATAATAATCAAATTGAAATAATTAAATTGAATTCAAATAATTTATTGAGTATTGATTTATTATTTACACTCTTATTTAAGGCTAATTTATCATTACTGTTGTGATTATTTATCATTACTATTGTGATTAAAAAAAACTTCAGTTAAGAAAAATGCGTTAAAAAATGTGGTTACAAATTTTAAATGTTTAATTCTACTAAAAAAAAATTTGATAATTGAAATATTTAAAAGCATAAATAAAAAATAAAAAATATTATTATTATTATTATTATACTAAAAAGACTTGTTTATTACAAACGAAGTTGTTATACATTACTATTATTCTTTGATGCGAACTTTTGAATTCCGAATATTATATAATAAATTATTCAATAACTTTCACAAAAAAAATTGAAATGAAGCCTTAATGACAACGATTAAAATAAAAAATATTAAAAATGTGTCATCTTTAATTGAATCAAATAAATTTTTGAAAAAATATGATATAGTTATGTTAAATTTTACCAAAATTTTAAAATTTTTATTTAGATATTCGAGAATCCACTTAGCATAATCTTGGTCGTATATAACTTTTGCTCAATGGTCTCAATTTTTATAAATACTAATACTATTTATTGTTGTGATAAGACATAATACACATTCACAAATTTTTTATCTCCCATAATACAAGTCTCACTCAATAATCTATCCAAATATACTACAAAATAATATTTAGAAAAAAATATTAATGCTTAAATATCAAATATTTAAAAAGAAAAATATTTAATGATACTTAAATATTAAGATTATAATATTCCAGTAATTTTTTAACAAAAAAAAAAGTTTTAAATAAGAGAATATGGGAACAAAATTTGTAGTCAAGGTGAAAAGTAACCAACTTTTTAATCCCGACCTCTTATCTTTTAACCCCAACCTCTATTATCAATTATATTTTAGGTAAGTTTTCATGGATACTGATTAGCAAATATTTATTGTCATATGAAAATTAACCCTTGAAATTATAAGGATGAATGGAAAGCTTAACCCCCAAGTATGAGAAGTCATAAAATTATTTTTCTATTTTCATTCATTGTTAACTCATTTTTAATTGGCTAATGATTGTTTTAACATTGATAATAGAAATAATTATTACTATTAGAAAATATTTTTTCTAACAACATGCTGGTTTTAATTAATAATTCATTTATCTTAAAAGTGTATTTCTAAAATAGTTTTTTATCCTTTAACTTATAATTAAACCTAATAAGTATTTGAGATTATGAGGGTAAAAATAATCACCAAACAAACCAGAGATAGTTTAGTTACAAATATATTCAATTCAAATCAAAACCACATACATCTATACTCAAGTTATTGCTAGTAAGTAACTAAAATACAAATGAGTAAAAAATGTATTCAATGCAAAAATTTTTGTTACTGCACAGAAGTGAAAATGGTTGGTTAATTTACAAACTTTCCGACAATTTCCTTACAATTAAATAACCAGCAAGCATCAATCTTATAGAAGGTTTCTTATAAAACCCTTCATGTATAATGAGTTTGAAAAAAACTTTTTGTTTAAATTGAACTTATCGGATTTCCTATTGAGCAGAATAACCTCAGAAACCCCTCCTCATATAACATCAAGTTTTCCCAATCTTTAGCGGCTGTTCAGAACAAAGATACAAGACAGGATATCATAATCAGTTATGCATAAATAAAAGTGAATTTTTTAAAGTAAATCAATTACACTTTTTTTAAAAACCAAGATACGATACTATTGCTTGGGTATGCATACCTTCTTCAGAGGCAACTTGTTAGAACTGCTTGTTGATACTTTATTATCAGCTGGTTTCAATATTTCAAAGGAGCACACAAGAGCTTCGTCAACACTCAATAGAGCACCGGCATTATCAAATTCCCCTCCATAGTTTGGAGCTGAAAATATTGTTACTAATCTTCGTTTGGCGAAAAACTCATAACCATCCTCCACAACCTGCAATTCACAACTTCAAAAATCTAAATCCAAAAAATTGTATAAAATAACTATAATCTTGTTAAGACAGTACTGATACAAGTTTATGCATTGTAAAAGATATATCAACCACCAACCATAAATGCAAAAGGATAACTATTGCACTTATTTTTGGTTTGGAATGGTTAATAGGGATCAAAATGCATGCTATCATTTAGCTTTTTCCAATTAATATTTTGAATTAATCTAAAATTAAACTACCAGCATGAATTACAAAAATATTCATGAAATGTTAGGCAATACCATTCCTAAGCGTTGTTATGTTGATTTCATTTCTATGCAAACAGAGACAAGAGATGCTTAGTTCCATACTTTAATCACTAAAAACTAGATTGGTGTTTTTAAACAATCTCCTAGAAAGATCTAATCTTAACTGGTTTGTATCTTAACTTAAACCTATATGATACTGAAATTTTATAAGTAATAACAAGTAATAAGGTTTTGCTGGGTAGGAAAGATGGAAAATGTGATGATGGAAAAGTTGTAAATCTAAAGGTTAAGCTACAAAGTACGAAAGTGGTTATGAATTTTAACCATTAGATTAACAAGTTTTCCATCATCACTTTTTCCATTCTTCCTAACAAGCAAAGCCTAAGAGCTCCATTGTATGTATAAACCATACATTCCTAATTATAGTTCAGCTTGCAAAGCCAAAAAGCTCCATTGCATTTATAAACCATTCATTCCTAATCATAGTTCAGCTTTGCTCAAAAGAAACTGGCTTACCTGATGACCTCGGCAAATGAGATCAAGGTCATTCTTATCCAAAAATTCAGCAACTATATCAGCTCCAAAAGTACATGAAATTCCTCGATCACTATCTGCCCAGCCCTCAACCTTGGGATCAGGATCAGACCAAAGTAGATCGCAGAGAAGACCATTATCAGGAACTTCTGTTGGCCTTTGAATTTCCTTTATTTGATCCAAATTTTCCAACTCTGGAGACAACCCTCCATGCATACAAAGTATCTTCTCATCAATCAGTGCAGCCACGGGCAAACTGTTAAAGCAGTCTGTAAATATTTTCCAAAGCCTAACATTAAATCTCCTTTTACACTCATCATAAAACCCATAAATCCTATTGATCTTTGCATCTTCATGGTTTCCCCTTAAGAGAGAAATTCTGTGAGGATATCTTATTTTATAGGCCAAAAGCAAACATATTGTCTCCAAACTTTGCTTGCCTCGATCTACATAATCCCCAAGGAACAGGTAGTTTGCAGCTGGAGGGTAGCCACCATACTCAAAGAGCCTCAGGAGATCTTGGTATTGTCCATGTATATCACCTGTAAAAGTCCTATAATATTAGAATTTCTGGGTGGATTAAGGGGACAATTGATCTCAAATGCACATTACTAAGGCATGTTCTATAATAGGCATTGTTTTTTCCCAGGCATGATTAAGAAGTGTTTTGGACATCATTAGAACATCAACATAAACATTCCAAAATTGCATACAAAAAGCATCTCATCCGATCAACCTATATCCTTAATTACAATTATTTCAACACAGAAAGGAAACTGAATTGCCGGAGTTATCCAAAAACAGGGCAAAAAAGATCAATTGCTGGATATTTGCCATTCCTGACTTTTCAAAAGGACCTGTTTGTAAACAAGCAATATCCAAATGAACCTACCATACAAATTATCTCAAATTGATCTCCTAATCATATGAATTGTTCTACAATTTCCCACAAATTACTATACAATTTAAACGAGAAAGCAAAAACAATTCCAAATATCACTTCAAAAATGGATGTGCCATAAAATCTTACCAAGGAAATCTATATCAATACATTAATCACCACCAACACCAACAACAGATAGAAAATAACAAGCTTTGCAATTTCATAATTCAATAGAAAAGAGAGAGAGAGAGAGAGAGAGGAAGAGAGAAAGCTGACCACAGATTCTGATGGGAGCATGAATCTGAAGCAGATTAGGCTCTGAAAGGAAGATTTGACGAGCATTAACACAAAGCTGACGGATCTCTCCTTCAGAAAGCTGAACCTGCTTGCTTCCTCTACCTTCCAACAACCTTCTTATTATATCATCCAATACTCCCTTATCCATCATTCCTTCCATTGTCATCATCATCATTTTATCCTTCAAATTCTTCACCACCACCAAAAATTCTTTGCAAAATATAGATAATCCAATTCAATTCAGTCAGCTTTTTTTATTGAGAGAGAGAAAAACAAGAGACCAGAAAAAAGGGTAAAGAGAAAAAGAGAGAAATGAATCAAAAAAGACTTAAATCTAATTGGATTGATTAAAAGGGTATTGTTTGAAATGAGAAAAAATGAAACAGGAGGCCAAAATAGAGAGTCAACAAAAAGAACGAACCTTTACAAAAAGGAAAGAAGTTGATTAATGAAGAAAGAGATTTTTAGGGTAATTCATGGATCTTGGTTGTCATTTTCTTTTATGAATCTTTTCCCTTAAATATATAAGCTTTTTATCTATACCAACTGCCAATAAAAGGTTCAAAATGTCCAATAGTTTGAAACCTTCAAAGGCATTTGGATCTATATCATAAAAAATAAAAATACCAAATATGGTAAAAAAATACACTTGGAAATGTTTTGGAGCTATAAAGAAAAGAAATTGGATACTGTATCATAGATTCAATTCAATCACTGCTCTTTTGAATGTAAAAAAAGATGTATAAAACCGCGTTTTTTGACAAGTTCGTTTGTCTGGTTTATACGTGTAGATATACTTGAGATGGGGTCCATTTTTCATATCTTTCTGTGTAATTTTTGGGTTTTTTTTTTTTTTTTGGGATTCATTTCTTTTATTACAGCTGACCAACCAAAGACACACAACTTGGGTGTTGGTAGCCCATGGAGTTCTGCCATGTCCACGGAAATGGTAGTGGGCTCCAACTATGCTGTTGTCATAATAGTTTTCCATGATTTTAAATTAAGTAGATTAGGTATTAAATATTATTTGTTTCCCGAGTCCACCAGGTTTGGTTTTTTCTCAAAAAAAAAAAAAATCAATTTTGTTGTGAAGCAAGCATGAGTCTTCGTTTTGTTTTTGTTTTTTTTTTCCCTAATGATTAGTTCTTTTAACTAAGTCATGGCGCTTTTGAAAATATGTTCTTTGCGAGCCAATTAATAATCATCGAGATAGCTAAGTTTATTCGCTCTTAGTGGTGAGTGTTGGATGAGGGGCAGTGCTCAATACGTATACATTTCATTTTCTGCTACTTTTTCTTATTATATCCGTTTAAATATGTGTCGTATACTTCAAGAAAAATGAAAGTCTAATCCTGTGATGAATTTGAAATTTAATTCAAATGATTTATTTTTTTTAAAGGGTGAATTATCGTAAAGATGAAATTCGGTTCCGGATTTCAGGGGCAATCTGGATCCAGAAAAGCTTATTTATTTTTCAAGGACAAAATTCCAAACTAATAGACGTTTGATGTTGAATTGATGGAAGGTAGCAGAACTGAAACGCTGGTGCATATAGAATGCAACAAGATGCATGGTCACTAGTCAGGGACGCGCAGGAACTAACACCAAAGTCACTTCTATCTGGAAGGCCTTCCCTTTGCAGCAAGACTGGAGTTATGGTTTATATGGAATCCAACTATTTTGTAGTCATTGAAGCAAAATGAAGTCACTTTCAAATTTCAATGTTGGAAAAAATGGTCCCTTTAACCTTGCAGCAGTTACAGGAAAAAGATAAGAATTGAGCTGGCTGAGGAGTTATTTTGGTTGAACCCTTGATCTTGATCTCAATGGAGTTCTGAAGATACCATGTGCAAAAGCTAGGGGCCAACTGGAGAAGTTCAACTGTAAAACTGAAATGATTTTAGTAAACTATTAACCAGCCTGTATTACCATATGCTCTCCTTAATATCTGATATATTCTGGGATTCTGGCTGGCTGAAGCAGTGTATTTGACTCATCTGCATCTTCACTTTGCAGAAGTTTTAAAGCTGTCACAGTCTAATTTCCATCAAGAATGGCTATCTGTTGGAATTAAACCCAAGACAACAATTTTTTGTTTCTTTTTTCCCAGATATCTTCAGCTTAATCTGTTTGCAGAATGCAAAGTACAATAAATCATCCATTCATCCTAATACTGAAAGCAATGCAAGGAAAGAAAGCTGAAGAAACATGCAGAAATTGTGTCTATCTTAAGCTCTCAACTAATGCAAAAGACATTGGCCATCTCAAGTTCTCAACTAAAACTATAAATACATAGTTCAGATTCTGGCAAAATGTCTCCATTTATCTCTATTCCAACCATGGTTCACTGGCCATAATCTAACTTGGCTTAGTTCAACAGCTCCATTGGAAGCAAATGGCACTTAAACATGCTTCCCGAACAGAATCCCAAAAATAAAAATGAACCATCCATGTGGTTCCCATCCTAGAGCCATGCAGGTAAACAAACTTCAAGCACAAATATTGAGACACTGTTACAAGATTCTATGAAATAGCTATCCATCCCAAATCCCATCCTCTCATCAAAAGACTAATAGTTTCAATATTCAAGCAATAAGCAACCATCAGAAAACAATATATCCTACAATAATTCTACTATAGACAAATTACCAATTTACCAAGATAACCACACCCATTCCATTGATCTGCACCAAAGCTCAACAAGAACCCAAAAATTCATGACTCCGCTGCTACAGTTCTCTCATTCGAACTCATAATAAGAAGAAACCAAAGGATTTTTCGTAATCTTTCTTACTTGCTGATTATTGCAATTCAATCCACACCCACATTGAGGACACTCTTCAAAATTATCAAAAGGAAAACCAGCACCAGTCATCCCTAGAGAAAATTCAAGATCATCTCCTCTCCTTGAGACCTCGACAATATTAAGCCACATGAAAAAAGCTTCACACTAGCACCTTCCAAGCTTACAAGTTTACCCTTTGATATGTACCTTTAATGGTATTCTTGTATTTCAATTGATAAGATCCTTAAAGATGTTGGGCTGAAGCAATAAATAAAATAATATAAATGTAGACACCCTAATAGGTTCGAGTTCAAGCTCATTGGACTTGGCTCAATAAGACACAAATTATCAGGCCCAATTGGTCATTCTTTTATTTTTTTATTATCTTTTGATTTTATTTTTCAGTTGATTTTTTATTTTTTTGATTTATCTGTTTTTTGGATTTATCATTGGTTTTTAGGGGATAAAAAAAAAGTTAAAAATGTGTCGTGCATGGATAGTGGCAGAGTTAAAGTTGGTTTCAATTTCTATTAGATAAATTTGGTATTTTTGTGGTAATTTGAAAGTTTGGTCAGTAGTGGATTCTTGGAACACTTCTGTTAGGCCTTATAAAATCACACGAACACAGAAAAGGGAGAGGACAAAGAACACAGAAAAAAACAGAGGGCAAAAAACAAAAAACAAGAATAAAAAATTTTTTGAAAGAAGTCAGAAGCAATTTTAGGATTTTTTAGGAGTTTTTCAAAATTTTTGGCATTTTTTTTCTGAAAATTTTTTAGAAAATTTCTAGATTCCGATGAATTTTTCTGGCATCGATTGAATTTTTCGACAAGGTTTTCAGACTTTGGTGAAGATTTCGATGAATGTTGAATTTTTTGACGAACTTCGGGCGACCCAACCCAGATTCCAGCGATAATTTTTAGAATCCAATTGATATTCAACCGGTGTTCATTCGACTAGAGAGAGGGAGAGAAGAGAAAGAAGAAGAGAGAGAAAGAGGAAGGGAGATCTGAAGCAAAAAAGGCTGAAACTTGAGCTTTTATAGCCTTACTAAAACGATGTCGTTTTGAGTTTAAAGAAGACCCATGATCTGCGTGTTTTCTATTCGGACGACTTGACCGGCAGTGCAACCCGCTTTTGACCTGCGTCTTAGCCAATCTTTTCAGCTGAGCCGAGCCGCCAATCCGCATCATCCAAGTCGTTGTCTGTGCCTGGAGTCGAGTCGCGCCAACCCTCTAGCCGAGCTGTTTCGATTTTTTTTTGGTATTTTTTTGTTTATTTTCTTTGGTATTTTTTGTATTTTGTATTTTTTATTTATGTGTTTGTTTTTTTTAAAGTATTTTTTGCATGAACAAATTAAAAAAAAAAGAATAGAAAAAATATAAAATAAAATTTTCAAGAAAAATATTTTTTAAAAAAAGTTAAAAGTATCAATTTTTCTTGAAAATAAAATTGTTAAAAAATATTTTTGAGAAAAAGTTGAAAGTATCAATTTTTCTCAAAAATAAAATTTGTAAAAAAATATTTTTGAAGAGAAGTTGAAAGTATTAATTTTTCTTGAAAATATAAATTTCTAAAAATGCTTTAAAGAAAAGTTGAAAAGTATCAATTTTCCTTGTATAAAAGCATGAGTTTTTTTCTTATAAAACAAAAAAAAAATCTATATCAAAAGTCGAATTCATTTTGAAAAATTTTAAATGTTAAATAATTTGACGATAGATCTTATGCAAGTGAAACAATAGTTTTCTTGCATATTCTTGAGGTGAGAGAATTTTCTTAATTTTTTGCCAAAAGAATTGGAGTCAATTAAGAATAATTTTCAATAATTAATTACTTGATAAATTTTTTAGGCTTAATGGATAACACGAAATCAAGCTGGTACCATCTTTCGATGGGCATGTGAGGGTGCTATAACCTTCTCCATATATAACCGACTCCTGAACCCTGTTTTGGTTAGTAGACTTGAATCTATTCTTTTAGGGACTCTTATTCAAGCTTAGGAGTTTCTTGAAATGATAGATTCTTTAGGTGGCCAATCACACCCAAACAAAAAAGATTGGTAGCGACTCTTTAAGTCAATGTCTAGTGATAGGTCTATGGATCTAGATGTTATGATAGTTTGACGATTCCACTGGAGATAAGCCAAGAGTCAAGCCAGCAAATAAATTTGTGTTATCCAAAAGCTTAATAAAATTTTAAATTTTTTTTGTAAAGATTTTTATGCATTCATTTTGTTTATTTGTTTGATAACTATGTCATTCATATACATGTGCATACATGAGTTCTATACCTGAACTCCGTCCTTCTAGAAGGGAGTAAAGTACCTATACTTTTATGAGGTTTTAATACCTCCGTAGTGGCTAGCAAAATACTTTCACTCAAATTAAACATTTTTCACTTGCAACCTGTAATGGGTGAGGATTGAGGTACTTTACTAGTCTGTGACGGATAATGATGTGAGGAACAATTTGAGAACCTTTAGACTTTAGCCTTAAACCACATATAGTGAACCTTATAAGTGTCTAACCCTAAGACAGAGCCTTCCTACCCAATGATATATATACCTTGAAACTAGGACACAAGAAAGAATAAGTTGTGTTGATCTAACCATTTGGATTATCTAACTTTGTGCATCATTTTCATTATCATATGTAACATTGTGCATCTGCATCATTTCATTCTATGCATCATTTTCGTGATCATGTTTTAACATTATCATTTGCATTATTCTCATTTCATCCATGAAGATTCACATCCCATTCATGCATCAACATACCTTACATAAAGCATAGCATAACATTTCTAATCATAATTATAGTGCTAAAAGTTCAAGGATAGCTCTACCAAGCAACCTCACTCACCAATACAATACAAGAGCCTAAAATGCTTTTATTATTTGCGTATGTTTAAGACTATTGTGTTGTTACGAGGCCAAAATATAAATACATGAGATTAAAATTATTCAAAATGTTAATACTTGATTGACAGGCTTGATACGCATGAATAAGTTATGGTTGATATATATCATATCAAATAACATATGTTTTTGTATAGAAGAATGAGATGGGTGGTACAATTGGACGTGTGAAATTTTTTCGTATAACACACACAAAAAAAAAAATCTTACATGAATGTCGAAACACAAGAAATTGTAGTAATTTATATTATCTATTTTAACATAAAGTAAATATTTACTCTTTTTAACATATTATCAATTAATCATTAAACTTGATTGTTGTATATGACAAATTCACAGGAGAAAGCAAAAGAAAAAATGGCTGTTAAGATTGAAGTAGCATATGATGGTTCTCTCAACATGCAAGAAATGAAAATTTAGATATTTATAGAAGTTACTGAAAAAGAAGGGCATGGATGAGTCCGAGGCCTTGAATTGGGTCCAACATCATCTACCTACTATGGACATAGCTCTTAGTAATTTACATTCTTAGCAAGTCAGTTTTCACAAGACATTTCAATATTAATAGGGGAATTGCAAACTATACAACAACGTTTTCAACAAATAAAAGTAGAAAGACAACATGAGCGTGCCAAAATTGAGGAAGAACGTGTTAGAATGGAGCAAGGGCATACAAAATTTCAACAGTTGCATGATCGATTCGATCATCTTATGAATTTTGTGCAACAACAATTTTCAGAAAATGATCTTGGTGCTCCACCAACTCAAGTATTATATTTAGTAAATATTTAAATTTTTAAATATAAAAAAGCTTACAATGAAGTGTTAAAAATTGTATAGTATTATTCAATAGGTTCTTCAGCACGCTAGTGACCAAGGTGAAAAATTTTCTTCATCAATTGGCAGCCAGCAAAATGTATGTAGTCATCCATTTCATACATTTTAATTTTTTTATTTGTTAATATATTAAAAATATTTGAATGTTATTATACTAATTATTAAACTTTGCATTAATTAGATGCATATTTAAACGTGAATTAAGTTTATATTAATTTCAGTTTCTGAATTTAAGCTTTTTAATGAAAATAAAATTTATTAACAAAAATTTTAAAAAGATATGTTTATATAATGACGGCGTTTGCATTCAACAATATCGCTAAATGAATAATTTAGTGGCGTTTGTATCATAAAACACCACTAAAAGTAACGACGCTCTTGCCAGCAAACGCCGCTAGTTAAGTGGCATTTTTATACAAACCTCACCAAAGCAACGGCATTTTTTTCATAAAAATATCACTAAATTAGTGGTATCTCAAAGATACAAACACTGCTAATATAAAAGCGTTTTCAAATATAAACGCCTCTAAAGTAGCGGCATTTTCAATTACAAACGTCACCAAATCAATGACGTTTTTCTCATTAAAATACTACTTAATTAGCGGCGTCTCAAAGAAAAAAAATGCCGCTAATATAGAGTCATTTTAGATATAAATGCCTCTAAAGTAGTGACATTTTTAGTTACAAACGTCATCAAAGCAATGACATTTTTTACATAAAAATGTCACTAATTTAACGGCGTCTCAAAGATAGAAATGTCGTTAAAATAGTGGCATTTTCAGATATAAACGCCACTAATATTGAGGTGTTTTTTAAAAATACCGTTATTTTTTACTACTCGTGTATAGTCGACACTCTGAGTGGTGTTTTTCGCAAACACCGTAAATCTTTTAGTGGTGTTTATAAACGCTGCTAAACGTTAAAAAAATACCACCAAAAACCTAAACCCCTGTAGTCAAGGAAATTGTCAAAGTGTTTCCTTTGATAGCAAGATCCCGTAAATTGTAATCTAGAAAGAGTATAAAGTTAATATACCTAACAACTTGTATATTTATGTTAAATATTAAAATTTATGTATTGATATTATATTTTATATGAAAATTATATATCATAATTTATGTTGATGTAAAAATATAAAATAATTTTTTTATTTTATTAAATCCATATATAGAGTTATTATTAAAATTTTAAATCATATTATTTTTATGTCTTATTTTTATGTCATTATGTTATATTTTAAATTATCAAATTTAAAAGTGGATGTGATGCTTGGGGTTAAATATTTAGTTCTTTAGATTCTTGATGATTTGGGTTAGATTATATTTTGGGCTTAACAATATTGTCAAGTGTAGCCCACCAGGCCTTAAATGGCCTGCCCATATTTCTTTTGGTGAAAACAAAACCATCCACTTGTTTTTGTTTCATATTTTATTACAATAATTTTGCTTTATTCATTAAAAGTAATAAAGTTAAGGCTAAGCAAAATTTGATTAAAACTGAAAAAAACCAAAAAAAGCCAAATTTTGAAGGAAAATTAGGTTGAATAATTCGGGTTATATGAGCATTTCAGTTATTATTTCAATTTAAATGGTTAAAAGGTTAATTTTTTATTTTGAAATACCTAAACCGAATAAACTAAAATACTTTACTTAATACAAAATAAATAATTAAAAAAAGTATGATATAGATATACCTAATAATATTATATAAGTATAGTTAATGCAGAAAACAAAAACTAGAACCAATAACCTAAGAAAATCGACTAAAATTGATCACCTTAATTTAGTTCGATTTTCTTTACATATATTGGTCGGTTTAGTTTTTTTAATAGACTAAGTTGGTTAAGTTGTTTATTCGGTTTTTATCATCGAATTAATTGAACTAACCTTTGCTCAACTTTAAGTGAAGTAATGATCCAAAATTTTTAAAGAATAATCATACAAAAAAGAAAAAGAAGAATGGTTTCATTTGGTTTGTTTCAATAACTCTATATATATGACATTCAACATACATTGATTATACAAGAATTAATTCAAAAACTTTTATAACATTATAACTTGTCTCAAAAAAATCTGAAATACAACCTCAAAAAACATATAGGAATCCTCAAAATCATCTCAATTTATATTATGATGTTGCGAGGATTCATTATGATATATATATATATATATATATATATATATATATAAAAAGACTTGAATACATATTTACAAGCTATTTTTTTGAGAAAAAATCTTGGGATTTTTAAATGAAAATGGATAATAACTTGTAACTTGATTATTAAGTTTAAAGTGAATTTCTACAATCAAATTAATTATGACAATATTAAAATTAGAGCATCGAGTGAATGATTTCAAACAAATGATTATTTAATGAAATAATCAAATTATTATATTTCAGTCAACTCCAGGATAAGTGAATTGCAGCAGCTCAGTTGTGCAATTTTATTTTTAACAAGTGGCCTTAAAACAATTATAAATATAGATCTACCTTATTAAAGATGAAAAGTTGGAAAAGTTCATTGGTTTAAACTGTTTTACTTAATTGATTTTCAATTCATGAAATGAATTAAAGAAGAAATTAACAGTTTAAGTATGAATTTGTACTAATCATGCAGGGCTCATTGGTATGATCTGACCTTATCCACATTTGTCCATAGGCTATCTGATATTTTGTTTTTCCACAACTATAAGTCAATTGTACAATAACCAATCAGTCAATTACTGAAATTTAATGAACATGATCACTAAAAATTCTGTTAATATAGTTGGAAATCTGATGTATTTTCCAACATTCAAACCCAACTATCAAGAACCCTTTGATCTGTTTTCAAGATGAAATGTAATGCATGGTTTCTTGAAATGCTGAAAATAGTACAGCTAAAGAAAGAGACCAAAGCTATAGCTAGAAAAGCATTGAGATGCCTATTTTGATTCAGAAGCTTGAAATCCAGCATGTTGGCTCGTTTTCTCCTCTTCGTTATTTTCCTTAAGATGCAAAATTTTTATGAAATTAGTCCTCAGCTCTGCTCTCATTTTCCCTAGCTATGGACCAGAATCGGCTATGAGGTGCTCTTGCCATCCATCTTCTACATTATCAGATGTTGTCTTTGATTGCTTAGGCTTCCAATATATTGCATAGAGTATCAGTTGAGCTATTCCAAGAACAAATCCACTTCCATTTGGTATCTATAAGGAAAATCACCATTGTTAGGGTCACATGTTTCTTAATACTGTTATATGTTTTGAATTTTGACAATAGCAGTAAAAGAAGAGTTGAGGGAAATGACCATATTCCAAAACATTAATTTCTTTCAATTACCAATCAATAATAGTAGTGCGGTGAACAGTTGTGTAGCCTTTGGTAAAGTGTCGGGCACTTAGTTCCAAATCTTGATAGCCTCAAGTATAAATAACAATTATAATAGTATGATTATATCCAGGGGAGGATTGTGGATGGGAACTCACTCCAATAAACCAGTCACTAGTAAGCACTGCATAGACAGTCCAGGTTAATCCATTGATGAATAGGATGAAAGAGAGGAGGAAAGGCATGTACTCCACGCTCTTGGTTGTCACAACTGTTTTCTGCACTTTACAAACACAAACTAACATAAAAATTACAAGCATTACTGTAATCAATGCCGATTACTACCATGGTCACATGATCAGTTTTGCAGCTTTTGCTTTATTTTAAAGGCAAATAAACCAAAGAAATGCTACACTTGATTAAAATGCTAGCAGTTTGAAAGCAAGGACTCGTGGACCAATTATCGGTTGTTTGACGCTTGATCAGATGTGTTTGATCTTTATGATCAGTAACAAAGCTTTTTCAAAACTTCATCTAGTTATAAATTTGCAGTCTAGAAAGTGAAGGGACTATTACCATGATAGAAAGAGGTGAACCATAGGTAACAACACTGAAAAGAAGAGACAAGAAGCCTGCAATATTGATTTGCATTTCTCTATCAAAGGAGAGCTGAGTAATCAAAACAGCTGCAATTGGGAACACCACATCCAGAACACCAAAAAGTATGGCAGTTATAGCCTGAAATTTCAGAATCCAAAGAACATGATTGCTTACTTCTATTCTAAAAACAGTGTTGTTATCATCTATAATGAAAACTATAACTTACTCTCATTCTTGGAGGTGCAAAGATTAGGAATATGATCACATATATAAGCTCAAGGAGGGCACCAAAGCCATTAACAGTGGCCACAAGAACACTGTTAGGCTTGACAACTCCATAGTAAACCCACATGTATCCATTTAATAGCTTGACAACATATGGAAGACTCTCAAATTCTTCTGTTGATCGACGCTGCACAATGTGCCAAAACGTTTTCCTGGAAAAATAACATTCAAATGGTTCACAAACAAAACATGGTTCCTATAAATTTCAATGAAACATGGATTCATGGTCTTTAAATTGCGAAAACAAAAGAAAATTCTGTTCTTACACTGGAGCAAGGTAAACCAGCCCTGTTGTTATGTTCCCTGCGAAACACATAACTTATTAGATTTGTTCATATATCGAAACAGCAAAACATAAAACGAGTTATTGGTATTACCTAGCAACCCAAAAATGGTTACTACACTAAGCATGTTGATGAGAATTCAGGAACAAAAGAAAAAGAAAAAAACCATCAAGAGATGGAACTTGGAAGGGCGTACATATCTATGATCTATCTATGGAAAAATGGAACTTTGTAACCTTTGAAGGTCAACTGCAATTTCATGAGTTATTGTGGTCTCTAAAATTTGAATTGGTGACAAAAGTATAAATGTCAGATTGGTCCAGGGCAGTTAATGATATGGTCCTTCCTGTCGTCTTTTGCAATATTTTATTGTAGATATATATTAGATTAGAATGTACTCAGTTTCATGCAGTTTTTTTTTATTTAATTTGGTAGAAAAGGGGAAAGCCTACGGGGAAAAAGGAATGCAAGCGTTGGGATTAGAATCTCAAATTTACGATAAATCTATCTAATAATATAAGTGGATGAATCATTTAGATTAAGTGTCAATTTAATTTAATTTCAAGTTTTGAACTATAATCCTGCACCATTACCACTATTCTAAATTCTCTTTTATCAAGTAAAGCCAAGCAATAAAAAACGTCGATTTTTCTATTTTCTATTCGAAAAGAGATTCAAAAGATTATGATTGGTACAAAGAAACGTCTTCCACTTTGCCTACCACTTTGCCTACCATTATTGCAGATATTTTATTGGTTTAAGACTTTATATCACAAATTATTAATTGACAGTGAAATAGACAATACAGTGAAGAAAAATCAGTATGTCATGCAATGATCAAATCTCTGTTACTCTCATTGTGCTGGACAATTTTTGGCCCTGGAAAAAATTATTAGCTTAGTATTTGTTTAAATCCATAGTTGTTAAATCGAGACAAAGACATGTAAGTATGTGACTGAAGATTTTGTCCTCTTAAGAGTCATGTTCAAGCTAATTATGCAATTTTTTTTTCGGAAATTGAATTAACAAATTTGAGGGGGCTCTGGTATTGGTTTTTGATCATTACATGGAAAAACTCTAACATCATGTCAAATAGTGTTGCTTCATTCTAATGAAACTTTATCAAACATTTTAATGATGTTTTTAAGGAAATCCCTTGTAAACCAAGAAAGAAAAGATCAAATTTTGAGGTTGAATGCATGGTTCTTAATTTGACTGACTGGTTTTCGACATTGATGAAAGTATTTGTGTACCTGTTTAATGGAATCATTTGTATTTAGGTGGAACATGTTCAGGTTTGTGCTTCTATTTTGATGTGAATCTGCCTGGGTCATGTTGAGTGAGATTAATTTACTTTACTCTCTTAAGAAGTGAAAAATAAAAGAGCCTCAGTTCAAGCTGTAGAAGAAAAGAATGAACCAAAGCCTATAGCTGTTAGACTTGGTATTAAGCAAAGCAGCCCAATGATCTGGATAAAGCCCAAGGAAGAGATTCAGAGATATATAACAACTTTCCAAATCCAATTTGTTGCCTTCTGATTGGTCCTGATATCCTTCTTGTCTCTAATAATGGCTTCAATTGCCAAGAAAAAAAGCCTTCAATCTGCACTTCATTCAGGCCATGTTGGGGGTGGAAGCTGAAGTGATTAGGGGCTGATGCTGCCATGATCCTTCCAGGAAATTGTCTGACATTTTCTTCAACTTTTTAGGTTTCCAATAGATTGCATACAGCAGCAGCTGAATTGAGCCAAGGAAAAATCCACTTCCATTTGGTACCTAAACAAGAAGTTAATGATATCATTTGATTTCACAAAATCAATTGGCTCACAATGTACTAGTCAAAAAGCAAAAATTTTACATTATTTTTTCTTTCATCTGATTTGAACTTACTCCAACAAAGTAGTCCTTTGCAAGGACTGCATATAAAGTCCAAATTCCTCCATTTATGAAAAGGATCAGTGAGAGAAGGAAAGGCATGTACTCCACACTCTTGGTTCTCACTACTGTTTTCTGCACAATATTACAAGAAATTGTAGCAGATTATGATCATTCACCCTTTTCTGCAGATCTAATATGAAAAAAATCAAGATTCTTACCATGGCTGCTAGTGGAGAGCCATAAGAGATCATACTGAAAAGTACACACAGGAGCCCTGCTACATTGATCCGCTTATATCCATCCAACATCAAGTGAGTAAGCAAGATTGCAGCAACTGGAAACCCCACATCCAAAATCACCACAAGAATCGCACTCCTTGCCTAGAAAGTAGAAACCATGGATAAGTTCTTGCCAATTTGATCATCAACAAAATGATTAAGAAGTAAGAACTTACCCTCATTGTTGGAGGAGCAAAAATCAGGAATAAGGTCAGATAAACAGTCTCAGCAACAATACCAAAACAATTAATGGTGGCTACAAGCAGGCTATTAGGCCTAATTAGTCCGTAGTAGATCCAAAAGTAAGCATTCAGTAACGTGCAAACTGTTAGGAAAATAGGGTCCAGCCTTATGTAAGTAGTTTTGGACCAAGTAAAGGTCATGGGCCTTAATCTTTCATTTTACATAGTGCCCTAACTACTTAATAAAAAAAAAGAGGTGGGGTTGTTTTAAGGGTGTGTCGAAAATCAAGTAGAGAAAAGAAAAAAGCCAAAAAAAGCAGAGAGAAAAAGGAGAAGGGAGAGTTGATTGAATGGAAGTCGATCCGTGATCCGATTGAGTTGGAACCTTGTCAGGAGGTTTATGATTCAGAGTTCTACATTCTGAACGGTGAGATCAGGTTTGAAGCTCTCTAGGAATAAATCCAAGGTGTATTTGTTGAGTCACTTATTTGGTGAGATTTCTCCAATTGTTTCTCTAGTTATTGTTTAGCTCTAGTTTTAGCTAAAGAAGAACTTTGTATACCTATTATTTGATAGTGAAGATTTTTCTGGTGGTCCATGGTTTTTTCCCTTTACACTGGAGGATTTTTCACGTAAATCTTGGTGTGCTTTATTTTTCCTACGTCTTTGATTATTGATTGTTGTCTATTGCTTCTGTATTATTGTGATTATTGCTTCAGGCGCAACAAGTGGTATCAGAACGAGGGTTATTTTGAGACATCGATACAGAAGCAACTCAGGATAGAAGTAAATTTCGTTTGAGATCATGGAGGGTGATACAGGTTTCATGATGAAATTGACAGCATCGAATTATTCAATTTGAAAGCCTATGATAGAGGATTATCTATACTGATACAGATTTTATGATGAAATTGACAGCATCGAATTATTCAATTAGGAAGCCTATGATGGAGGATCATCTATACTGTAAAGATTTGTATGAGCCAATATTGGATGATTCGGCTAAACCAGCAAATATGAAAGATGAAAGCTGAAAGGAGCTAGGTAGAAAGACGCTGGCTGCAATAAAAAAATGAGTTGATATCAGCGTGTTTCATCATGTAACGCATGAATCAGATGCTTACATTGTTTGAAAAAATGGCAGCATTATATAAGAGAAAAATAAGTATGAATAAAGTTATGCTTGTTAAAAAGCTTACAACTTTACAGTACAGAGATGAACAATCTGTTATAGAGCACTTGAGTGATTTTTAAGATATATTTAATCAGATGACTATTATGGAGCTTAAGATAGATGATGAAATTAATGTATTATTTCTTTTGGGTTCATTGCCAGATAGCTGGAATACTCTAGTTATGACTGTTCTTAATTCAGCTACTGATTATAAGGTGACATTGAAGATGATAAATGATAGTATGCTTAATGAAGAAGCAAGACGAAAAGATGTAGACCCTGAGAATCAAGCTCTGGTAACAGAGAACAGGGGTAGAAACATCAACAGAAGTTAGGACTCAAAAGATCGTGATAAGTCTAAACATAAATCTAAGTGAGGTAAAGTGAAATGTTTCTATTGTGGTAAGGCAGGTCATATAAAATGAAATTGTAAAATCTTGAAGCAAGAGCGAAAAAATGAGAAAAGCAAGAGTTCAGATGATGGCAATGTTACAGTAGTGAATTTAGATAGTGATTTAGTTACTTTGATTTGTACACATGATGATTGTAATCATGTTAGTGATCTCGACATTGAGTGGATAGTTGACACAGGAGCGACATATCATTGTGTTCTTAAGAGAAAGTTGTTTACAACTTACAAAGTAAGGGACTTTGATTATACCAAGATGAGAAACAAGAGTGTGTCACAGATTGTTGAGATTGGTGATATTGTTGTACAAACTAGTATAGACTGCATGTTGACTTTGAGGGATGTTAGATATATTTCAGATATGAGAATAAACTTGCTTGCTATTAATGTCATTGATAAGGAGGGATATGAAAGTCGATAAAAGAATGGACAGTGAAAGCTTCTCAAAGAATCTATGATAGTTGCAAGAAAAAAACTATGCTGCACAATATATAAGACATGAATGCAATTGAACGGTAACCAGGTAAATACCATTGAAAATAATGCTTCAACAAACTTGTGGCACAGGAGGCTGGCACACATGAGTGAAAAAAGGTTACAGATTTTGGCAAGACAGTCTCTTATTCCCTTGACCAAAGGTATGTCTCTCGATTCATGTGATTATTATTTGTTTGGTAAGCATCATAGAGTTTTTTTTTCGTAAAAGTTCTCAGAGAAAAAAATAGATTGAAATTAATTTATTATGACGTATGTGGTCTCATTGAGGTTGAGTCATTAGGTGGTAGCAGATATTTTGTTACTTTTATTGATGATGCTTCACGTAAGACTTGGGTGTATATGTTGAAATACAAAAGTCAGGTATTATAATATTTTTAAAAATTTCATGCCATGGTTGAAAGGATGATAGGATTACCCTTGAAGTGTATTCGAACTGATAATGGTAGGGAATACACATCTAAAGGCTTTAAAGAGTATTGTTCAAAGCATGGGATCAGGCATGAGATGATAGAATCTGAAACACTGTAGCATAATGGTATAGCTGAAAGAATAAATCGTACCATTATAGAAAAAGTCAGATGTATGTTGAGGATGACAAAATTATCAAAGCCATTCTAGGGTGAAGTAGTCAACACAGCTTGTTACTTACTTAACAGGTCACCATCAGTTCCTTTGGGCTTTGACATTCCAAAAAGAGTGTGGACAGGGAAAAATACTTCATACTTTCACTTAAAAGTTTTTGGGTGTAAAGCATTCATGCATGTACCGAAAGAACAGAGATCAAAGTTTGACAGTAAAGCTATACAATATGTGTTTGTAAGATATGGTGATGAAGAATTTGACTACAAGGTATGGGATCCAGTAAAGAGAAAGATAGTTAGAAGTAAAGATGTGGTCTTTCATGAAAAAGAAATCATAGCAGACCTTGAAAAAATGAGAAAACTACATGGGTTACTGTTGAGTGTGATGTTTCAACACTGACAAAGATTTCACAAGAAAGAGCCACAGATGATGAAATGAGCAAAAATAAAACTTGAAGATATGAATGAGCCAGCCACAGTTAGTGATAAGTCAGATGCTATTAGTTTTGAGTAGGGGGAGTAATCTTCTTTACCTGAGAGTGTTGAGCAGGGAGAGCTACCTTTGGTATTAAATGATGTAGAGTCTCAACCCAGGAGATCTACTAGAGAACGTAGGCCATCTACCAGGTATCCAAGTTTAGATTTTATTTTAGTTACTAGTGAAGGGGAGCCAAAAAGTTTTCAAGATGTACAGACTACTCCGGATAGAGAGCACTGGTTAAAAGTAATGAAAGAAGAGATGGAGTCATTGCGAAAGATTGGTACTTATGATCTTGTTAAACTTTCAACAGAGAAGAAGCCATTAAAAAATAAATAGGTGTTCAAGTTGAAAAAAGATGGTGACAAACTAGTGAGGTACAAAGCTCGATTGATAGTAAAAAGTTTTTCTCAGAAACCAAGCATCGATTTTGATGAAATCTTTGCTCTAGTTGTAAAAATGAGTTCTATTCGAGTGGTACTGGAATTAGCAGCTAGTTTGAATCTTGAGCTTGAGCAACTTGATGTTAAAACTGTATTTTTGCATAGTGATTTACAGGATGTCATTTATATGAATCAGCCTGAGGGTTTTGAAGTGAAATGGAAAGAGCACTTAGTTTGCAAATTGAAGAAAAACTTGTATGGCTTGAAACAAGCTCCGTAATAATGGTACAAAAAGTTTGATTCTTTTATGGTGAGTCATAGCTATAAAAAAATAGCAGCGGATTCTTGTGTGTATGTTAAACAATTCCCTAATGGTAACTTCATTATCTTATTATTATATGTTGATGTATGTTGATTGTAAGACAAGATGCTAGTATAGTTTGCAGGTTGAAAGAACAATTATCTAAGTCTTTTGATATGAAAGATTTAGATCCAGTAAAGCAGATTCTTGGTATGGACATTATCCGGGATAAGAGAGCTAAAAAGTTGTGGTTGTCACAAAAAAAATATGTTGAATGAGTGCTTGGTAGATTCAATATGCAACATACTAAATCAGTTAGCAGTTCACTTACCAACCATTTTCATCTAAGTAAAAAATCTTGTCCAGTGTCTAAGGAAGAGCAACTAGCTATGTCTAATATTCTTTATTCTTCTGCAGTTGGTTTTTTAATGTATCTTATGGTTTGTACAAAGCCTGACATTGCTCATGCAGTTGGTGTAGTGAGTAAATTTCTTTCTAATCCAGGGAAGGTTCACTGGGAAGCAGTGAAATAGATTTTTAGATATTTGAGGATACCTCAAAAATGTGCTTGACTTATAGAGTTTCACAACCAGTTCTAGAAGGATTTACGGATGCTGACATGGCAGGCGATCTTGATGGTAGAAAATCTACTTTAAGGTATTTGTTTACTTTTACAGGAGGAGCTGTATCTTGGCAATCTAAGTTGTAGAAGTGTGTTACTTTGTCAACTACAGAGGCTGAGTATATTGCAACAACTGAAGCATGTAAAAAAATGCTTTGGATGAAACGTTTTCTTCTTGAATTGGGGTTGAATCAGAAAGAGTATGTGATATCTTGTGATAGCTAGAGTGCTTTAGATTTGAGTAAGAATACCATGTATCATGCTAGAACAAAGCACATTGATGTTAGATATCATTGGTTACGTTCAGTGATTGAAGAATAGCAGATGCTATTGAAGAAAGTTCATACTGATAAGAATATAGCAGATATGTTAACTAAGATACTTCCTAAGAAAAAGATTGAGTTTTACAGTAACTTGGTCGGAATAAGTTCCTGGCCAATGTAAGTTCCAAATAAAATTGCTATGGTGATGAATCTCCTCCTAATGGGGCTGGAGGGGAGATTGTTAGGAAAATAGGGTCCAGCCCTATGTAAGTGGTTTTGGACCAAGTAAAGGCCATGTGTCGTGATCTTTCATTTTACACAGAACCCTAGCTATTTAATAAAAAAATGAGGTGAGATTGTTTTAAGGGTGTGTCGAAAACCAAGTAGAGAAAAGAAGAAAAGCCAAGAAAAGCAAAGAGAAAAAGGAGAAGGGAGAGTTGATTGAACGGAAGTCGATCCGTGGTCTGATTGAGTTGGAAACCTTATCAGGAGGTTTATGATTCAAAGTTCTACATTCTGAATGGTGAGATCGGGTTTGAAGCTCTCTAGGAACAAATCCATGATGTATTTATTGAGTCACTTATTTGGTGAGATTTCTTCAATTGTTTCTCTAGTTGTTGTTTAACTCTAATTTTAGCTAAAGAAAAACTTTGTATACCTATTATTTGATAGTAAAGATTTTTTTGATGATCCATAATTTTTTCTTTTACACTAAAGAATTTTTCACGTAAATTTTGATGTATTTTATTTTTTTTATGTCTTTAATTATTAATTATTATCTATTATTTTTATATTATTATGATTATTGCTTCAGTTGCAACACAAACGTAAGGAATACTTTCAAAATCTTCAGTTTATCTGTGCTTCAGTATTCGCCAAAATGTTTTCCTGCATGCAGATTGCATTTCAAAATCATTCGTCTTAGTCATCGGTAGGCCCTGGAAATTATCTGCTGAAAGTTGTAAATCATGATATAATTAATTACTCACGCAGGAGAAAGGTAGACTAGGCCTGACATGATGTTCCCTGAAACATGAACAGACAGTCAGGTACAACATGAAAACTTTTCCAACTCTTCAATTTATTGCATTTAAGCAAAAACTCTAAGTTAACAGAATCCTTCTCAGAAATTACCTATCACACCGACAATGAAAACTAAGCTTTCCTTTTCCATGCTGATCAGAAAGGCTTAGTTTCTGATGCAAAGAAATGACTATGATGATGTTCCTTCTGGTAATTTGATTCTCAACTCTCTTGGCTTGAACAGTGCTGTGACTGTAGTCTAAGGAATCAACAGGACTTCATTTTAAAATGACTCGATCGGATACAACAAATTACACTAAGCTGGCTTAAAGGAATACTTTTACTAAGAAAAGGAATCAACAAATTTAAAAATCTTTTATTTTAATCTTGGATGAAGAAACATATATTTTTTTTATGAAACCTTTAAAAAAGCTGGTATCAAATTTCTGCACTAATTAATTAGAGTTCAAGAACATGTTATCTTTAGATAATAATGCACATGGTAAACAGGCAGAAACTGTACTATCATAGGCTACATATACAGACATATAATACATACGAATGACCAGTTGTAAATGTTTAATTGATTACATTACATGTGCCAAAAACACAGTTAAGGAAAAATGTCCGTTTGCTAACAAATGCGAAATCAGACTGGCTTTTGCCTGCCTTTCATATGGACTATCCTTTTATTAATTATCTGAACTTTTTGTCTGGATCATTCTTGCTGCTGATCTGAGCCTTAGACCAGATATTTGAAGGGGTTTTAATTAATATGATAATATAATAATTTATCAAATTCTTTTAAGATATTGAAGTCAAAATTTGAACAACATTTAGGTGATTGCAAGACTGCCATGTGTGACAAAACATTATAAATTTTCAATTGCAGCAATCAAATATTTGTACAGAAGTTCATGTAATTTTTTTTTGTAGCAATAGCTAGTATAAACTAAAATTTGCACACCACAAAAAAACATATACATTGCTATATATAAGCAAGTGACAAGTTTAAACCGAAGTTTATGACCCGATTATCTGCCTTTCAAGATATGGAATGGAGTCATCCATCTATAGCTAGCTCAAAATACTTCATATATAGCACATCTGATATAAGGATTATTCTTGAAGGCCTCTTACATTTACATATATAAACTCATTAACATGATTAATTAGTACTTTAAGCATGCTTTCAGTTCGAGTTCTCTAAGATGAAGTCTCTTATATGTTGTATTACTTTCTCTGCAACTTCAGAGAACGGATGATCAGTGAAAAAACCATGTTGCTCTCCTTCAAACTCCACAAATTCAATCTTCTTCCCCAAGTGTTTCAACCTTCTAGCATAATCCTCCACCCTATCTCTCAATATTTCACCCCCACCCACCACCACCAAAATTGGATCCAAAGGCACCTCTGCAAGGCTTTGGCTACAAGGTCCAAAAGGGTTCACCAAGGGATGATCCAAGGTATTTCCTGCTGGAATGGATAGCCTCCAAAACCTGTGGAGAACATAATTTTAAGATAAAGTATCTCCTATCAACATTATGAAATTAAATATGCTCAGTACTGTCACCTATATTGTGTAAGCATTCTAAGAAAAAAACATGGAAACCATCATTTTTGGTCCTTTGAGTGTGACCTTTCATTAATTAGTTGGCCTCTCACAATTCATTAGTTTCATTCTGCAAATGATATATACCTCTCATCATCATCATTTTCAAATGTCTTGCCGTTTTTATGTTCTTTTTTGTTGCTCCAATTCAAAAGATTCTCATAAAGTCATAATTGTTTCCACAATTGATATGAATTTGACTAGGTATGCTTGACATGATTTTTGAAAATAAGCATGCGAGTGAGATGCAAATTAAATGGCCATGGCTGGTTCTTTTTGCATTTTCCTACATAACAAAAAATTTTTTCATTTCTTTTGCAATGTATGGATAAGGTCGAGCTACCACTTGATTTTATGTAATTGCACTAAAGAATCCACTATCTTAAAAAAGTAGGTGAATCATCTGAATTAAATTTCATATTTGATTTTGATTTTTTTTTAATATTAAAAAAGGTTATAATTTGAAATGCATTATGAATGTGACAATATACAAAATCATTCTGTCTAGGAAAATTATTGACGATAGTTGAGATTATATATCAATTCCTTTTTGAAAAGATCTTTAAATGTTAATGTGCCACAAATCGTGGAAAACATTGAAGATTCTACATTTTGATCAGCTTATTGATGAAGAAAATAGAAGGTATATACCCTACTTTTTGAATGAAAAGGAATAAAGATCTTCATGAATTATTTTATGTTTAGGTCAATCTCACAACAGTGAAGTTGGCTCCACCTATTATGAATATGGGTAGGTAGCCTAAAATTCTTACTAATACATATCTTCATGTGGAAAAGAAGAATTTATCATGCAATTAGTGTGCTTAAAATTTTTGATTATTCTAATCAAATAAATAAAAGAATGATAGAGCAAATGACTAAATACAATTGTTTAGCTCATCAACTGAAATGAGAGTAGGGTTGCCTTTGGCTTTCTTCAAGGAAACACCGACAGGTTAATAATATGATTTGCCAATAACATCTTAATTTAATTCCCACTTGATAAATATAATTAAGAAATATATTTGAAAGCATGATGAGAAGGAATTACCGACATACTAATTAAATTTTTTCACACAGTGCTTTCAAGTACACTCTAAGATATGAATTATATAATTTTTCGAGACTTACAGAGAAGAATTGGCTTTCTTCAAGGAGCACTAATAGGCTAATAATATGATGCACCAAAAACATCTTAATTTAATTCTCACTTGATGAATATAATTAGGAAATATATTTGAAAGTGTGTTGAGAAGAGATTGTCAACGTATTAATTGAATTTTTCACACTGTGCTTTCAAATGCACTCTAAGATATGAATTATATAATTATTTGAGATTTTTAAAAAAGAATAAAGAGCAGCCTTCTATTTTAATCTACCAAATTGATTTGTTTTTCAAAGAAGTGATTGAAAAACAATGGTCTTATCTCTATTTAATTAATTCTTCCCTCACTTAATTAGACTCGTATCTATCAAATTCCATATATTTGTCAAGGAAAAGAAAAGAGTGTGCAATTATGAGCCTAACCTGTCATACATCTCCAAGTTCCAAAATGTTTCACAAGGCTGCTCCTCCTCAGTCATTGTTCTCACACTTCCACCAAAAAACGGAGCCAACAGCAGATACCCTCGAACCCTAACCGGTGCCAACTCGATCGAACCAGCCTCGAACCTAACTGCCAAATGATGAGCCAAGTTGCCTCCAGATGAATCACCCAAAACAAAGACCCTGTCAAAGTCAACACCAGTCAACCACGTATCCATATTCTCATTATTTCCATGCATGGCTTGTCCCTGCAGCCACTTCAAGGCTAAACATGCATCATCAATGGCAGCAGGCAGCCGGTGCTCGGGGGCTAACCGGTAATCTGGCGTGATGACAAGCACGTTAAACGCGGTCGCCAGGCGAATCGAAAGGTTATGGAAATGTGGGAACGAGCGGGAACCGAAACAAAAGCCTCCACCATGAAAATAGAATAGAATTGGAAGCTTCGTAAGAGAAGCGGACGAGGGTTTATATAGACGAAGATGAAGGTTATGGTTTGCATCGAAAAGAAGGTCTTTGTGCAGGACTGAATCATCGTTGAGAAGAGGAGTTGCACATGGGATTTCGGGATTACGAGAAATGGAGCCATCGCTGTAGAGCTTGAGGAGGCCGAAGCAGTCTTCAACAACATGAGGAAGAGAACCCATATCTGATCTCTCTCTCTTTTTCTATTCTCTTTCTTAGTTTCCTTTCTATGGAGGATTGATAAGATTGTTGCTGTTTATAAGGAAATGGAATTTCAACTGTTTATAGAAAGCTGAAATGACTAAATGAGGGATTATGCATATGCAATTAGCATCAATTTATTAAGAATTAAATAAGAGAATTTTTGCTGAGGGATTGGTCGAGATGGTAATATTTAATTATTAAATTCGATTCCGACTATCAATAGTTTTTTCTTAAATAATTAAAATTTCTTCGATTCTGACTATCAATAGCATTTTTTTTTGAACAATTTGAAATTTTGATATAAAGTTTCATGGAAAATTCTGATTTTGAAATAAAGTAAATTTTTTTCTCCAAAACCACTTTAGGGAAAAAGAGAAATTTTTAAATGTTAAACATGATCATGTGAGTTGTCCTCGAAGATTTTCCAAGATTTTTCCACATTTTTGATTACGTAACAATAGATCCTTATTCAAAGATTTTATCAAGTATGAACAAATCTATCTGTTACTCATGTGATTCAATAAAATTTTAAAAAATGACTTTCTCGTTTCAAATTGAATGTTTACTTTTTCAAATATGACAAAGTTTTAAGAACAAATTATTTTGTGTTGTAATTATTTTACAATTTTATCTTTGGAATATGAATGATTGAATGCTAATCTTACATGTATTCAAAGTATTCATTGGAAAATTAGATTTTTTTTATCCGAATAAATATGAAGACCAATATTAAATTTTGAAGATAAAAATGAAAATGAGTATGGATTTAAAAATTTTATTAGGTATGGATAATTTATCACTTACCCCATACTCATATCTTATATATATTTCTATATATAGTAAATAGATTTTTTATTTAATAATATAAATTTTTATTTTAAATTAAGATTTAATATATTTCTATTAAAATATATATTTATAAAAATTACATAAAATAATTAAAAAATTAAATTTTTTGTTGGATATGAATATGAAAATGGATATGTGAATGGATTTAAAATATTTGTTGGGTATGAATATTAAAATGAATATAATAAAAAAATGAAAATAGAGATGAATAATATTTTCTTGCTCCATATCCTACTCATTAACATCCATCCTTTAAAAAAATAATAGTTAAAGAATCTCACCTCAAATTAGAATTTCAATGAAAAACAACTTTAAAAAAGTGTTTTTCATTTTCAAAAGGTGATATGTTGACACCTCTTAAAATAGTAAAATAGACATGGCACAAAAATAATAGGAGTTTGGCTGAAAAGGATTCCTTTCATGTTTATGACTATCTCTAATTCTAAAATTATGTATTTAAGATGCTAAAAATTCTAGTTTTTTAAAGAAAAATTAGAGGTTCATCAATCAATATTGCACTATTTAGTAAGTAACAATGAATAATTATAACTTGTTGTCTCATTACAAATCTATTTATTAGTGAGATAAATGAACATGGCTTTATATTTTTATTTTTTGTTGAAATATTTTTTTTAAGTTTTATATTTTTATTCAAATCTTTTCAAATATCAAATGGATTTTTTTAAGCTTTATAGTTTTATTCGAATCCTTTTAAATATATATTTTTTTAAGCTTTATATTTTGATTTTAAAGCTTTAAAAGTCAACCATTTGAGGACAAATGTCATGTTTCTGTGATATGGACTGCCCTTTATAGTCCATCATATGAAATAACTAGAGAGGAATCGAATCCCATTAAGAACTAGCTATACCCATTACTTTGAAGAATATTATTTAAACTAATTAATAGGGGTTATCGGATAAGTATAAGGTTAATCAGTCAATGTGCATTGGAATTGTCAATATTATTTTGTCATAAAATTAGTTGTTTGATGCACATTCTTGGGGATCAATTGGGTGCTCAAATGCATGCTTGCACATTTCGCTTTCAAGCTAAAAGGGAGAGATGAAAAAAAAAAAAAAAAAACCATCGATAATCGTGTGAACTGTTATTAAATAATTAAATTGTTAATTTTAATAATCAAAATTCAATTCCGACAACTTTAATAAAAAAAAAAAAACCCAATATAATTTAACCCATAACTTATACCTTCACTTTCACTTCCAATAGCTCATGTCATAATGTTATTAATTCTTTTAATTTATATAGTATATATGCTTATTTATTTATTTTTGTTGAGAATGCATATATGGTGGGGAAAACTTTATATAGTATAGTTGTTTGATGCACTTTCCTGGGGATCAGTTTATCGGGTGCTCAAATGCATGTTTTTACATTTCGCTTTCAAGTTAAAAAGAGAAAAAAAATAAAGTCATGTCGATAATTATGTGAATCCTCATTAAAGTATTTAATTTTTAATTTCAATAATTAAAATTCAATTTTGATAACTTTAATTAAAAAAGCCCAATTTACCCCATAATTTATACTTTGACTTTCACCTCCAATAGCTCAAGAAGTTATTGTGTAATTAATTCTATTAATTTATATAGTATATATGCTTATTTATTTATTTATTTATTTTGGTTGAGAAGGCATATATAGTGGGAAAAACTTATGGAAAATATTTGTTAATTAATTACTGTGGTATGTCACGATGGCTGCTAATTAACATTTTATGTTCAAATTTTATTATTTAACTTTATTATTATATATATTAGTATTAAAGTGGTGACTGATGAGGATGGTTTAAACAATATTATCTAATGTGCTTGCATGCACTTGTGATAAGGAAATATGTCTAGCTAGTTACATTTTTACACAAAGATTTTGATGGTTACATATTACATATTTATATCAAATTATGTGTGAAGTCTAGTCACACATGGTATTGCATCACGATATTTTCTTCTATTTTTCTTTATTCAAAAATAGAAAATTAGATTCGAATCTTTCGAGCAGGGATACATATATTTTTCTTTACTTGAATACTTTGCATTTATAGTAAAGTGAAGAGAAGAAGATGTGAACATTTGTGTATGGAGAGGACACGTTTTTGCCTTTAACGTGATATGATTTGCGCTCTTTGTGCTGATAATTTGGATTGCTAATGGCAGTTGGCATTCTTAACACAAGTATATGTCTTCATGTGCTCCTCTCGTTGCTTTGGGATTTGCTTTGTCGAGGGGGAAAAACCATTCGTTTATGTTTCATTGGTAGCTGTCTTGGTCTTATTCATTTATAGTTATAGGTTTACAACGAAAAAGTGAGCGTAATGAAAAGAAAAAGTGGCAGAACCTTGAAAATCAGGGGTGATTAATGTGTCCATCCTCAAGATCTCTATCAAGAGGCCAACTGGATTTCAATTCATATGGAGTCAAAGAAAGTGTCTTGACGATCTTCTGAAAGCTGTATTGTCGATTAACGTGTGGTTTTGGGAGACTTTTGCCCTTGTTTAGACTTCGATTCTTTAGATCGTCGTCAAGTGAATGCATCTTGATGCCTCCTTTCACCAGGTGAGCTGAGCCTTCTTCTTCCGTGGCCTTGGTTGATTTTGCTGAAACAGAATTGTTCTTGTATATAACATAGAGGATCAACTGAGCTGACCCCAAGACAAAACCAATTGCATTTGGTACCTGGAATTGTTGGGGTGACCATGAATCTTTATAAAAAGAAGGTATATTTCATGTATTAGGAGATTATAAAAGGGAAAAGTGTGAACTTACTGCTATATAGATATCTTTCACAAGCATTGCATAAGCAGACCAAACACCAGCATTGAGGAACAAGAAAAACGAGAGTAAAAACGGCATGTACTCCACACTCTTGGTCTTTATCACTGTCCTCTGTTAAACATTCAAAATTATGCATCATTCCTTGGAATGTAGTTCAGTAGTTGAGTAGGGAGATTTAGATCCCTTCTAGCATACTGACCTTTTTTTTAATGTCATCCTATATCTGTATGAATTTCAGAAGTGTGGCATTTGATGACAAGAACTCTTTAATATTGAATTGAAGAAAATTGATGCATCTTTAGGCTAATGCAGGTGAAGAAACTTACCATGGCTGATAGGGGTGATGCATACATGCCTATGGTTAAACCAGCACATATAATTCCAACAAAGGTGAGTCGCATTTTTCCATGAATTGCCAGAAGAGTAGCCGCGATTACTGCTCCAAGAAAACCAACATCCAACACAGCCACCAACTTTGCTGTCTTAACCTGAAAAAACATCATTCAAACTCTAAGACTAGCAATATGGTTGCCACTTGCCATAAGCCAATATGTCAGATGCTTATATATATGAACTGTATTAGATTAATCCCTAGTTCCCTACTGATGTTATGTTAATCATATCATCAAACAAATTAAGTAATATCACCTTCTTATCTTTGGAAGCATATATAAGGAAGAGTGTTACATAGATGAGCTGAAAGATGGCACCAGCTCCATTTACTGTCATCACAAGCAAACCATCTGGATTGACAATTCCATAGAAAGTCCACAAGCTAGTGCACAAAAGGGTTGTTATGTAAGGAACTGCTTTGTAATTCCCAGTTGATTTCTTCTTTATCACCCCCCAAAAGGTTCCTCTGGAAAGGGAAAAAAACCAAAATTTTTTATTTGTCTGATAATGCCACTAGACAAATACTATAGTACTGGTAACATAAACCATTTGAAGTAATATTTATGCACTAACTTTTTATGTAGGTGCAATTATGTTGCTTAAACTCTTTATTTTCTTTGAAGTATTTGACATATATTCAAATGAATATGGATATTAAAGTCTAATCTTCCAAATATAACAAAATGTGAAAAACATTGAATGTACCAATGTCGGGTGCATATCTGTATCTAACATTCATTCCGAGTCCGAATATCATAGCCACCGGCATTTTCATTCAAAGATCAGTACAGAAGCAGAAAGCATGACAAAGAGAATGTGCATATATAAAAAACTGTAAAAACTAGACTTAGAACTGTTCTGAGTTGAATTTAGAAGCCTAACAGAAAATCAGCAACATCCTACAAACAAAATGAATCCATCAGATGGACATTCCTATTAACTTACTCAACATATTCCACACTTTTCATGGACAAGAAATTATTGTTCTAGGTGATTTTACTTACATGGGAGAAGCAAAAAACAATATTGAAATTACATTACCTGCAAAAAATAAAGTTGAAAAAGAAGGGAAAAAGCACTCAAAATCTTGCAATTTGGATAAAATCCAACAGAAAACAAGTCAGAAGCTAACACTAGATTAACTAAAGCAGGTAGAGAAGAGAGCTAACCAATAATGCCAATGATGAAGCTCAAGCTAGCCATTGAAGCAGAGGCAATTGAAGGAATGAAGCAAGTGAGAAGCAGCAGTTGAATAAATAGGGATCAGTTCAGAGATTTGGGATATTTGTGTTGTCCGGTAGGTGAATCAAGGTGGGTATAAATTCTCTGCAACATATAATATTCAACATCAATCCATAGTTCTATGACACGTTTTGGTCCCAAGACCCTTTATGTTTTGTACTTTTGCTGACGAGACCAATGTGGACAACCTACTAGGTAACATGATTTGGTCATTTCCCTTTGAATGTAAGTTCATTTCAAAGAGAAAAATCAAATGGGGAGTTTCTGTACCTACTTCGATGGTGAAAAACAACCTTTTAGGTGTGGATTGTTGTAAAGATTGGATATCAAAGAATGGTAAAGGGGTGCCTAGCTAGGCCAAAAATTAACAAACTGCCGATATTCTCACAAAGCCGTGGCCGAACCGCCCCTAACTGTTGTTAGAACTTTTAACAAGATTTTTTGGTGTTAGGGGAATGGATACCTAAATTGATATTGATGGTTTTTGGTTTTTGGTCAATATCAGAAGAAGACAGGTAAAACAAAGCTTGGGGAATATTTGATGTGATCCTTAAGCTGCTGATATTCGTTGAACCAGTAGTTCAGATTTATCTTTTTGTATGATAGCAAGAGTTCAAAGTTTCTAACAAGACAACGAATGTTAGTTCAAGTTGTAAGAGAGTTTGTTTTTCTTTTGATACTAAGTTCGGTAAAAATAAACTTAATTGAATCCACTTGAAAAAGACTTCACCAAGACTGTCTTCGTTGCTATGCAGATGATGGGATTTTGTTGTTTTTATTCATTCTCGCAAAATTCAATCACATATATTAACTATCATTTTTTTATTGTGCTCGTGATATATATTTTATTTTTTTAATTTAAAAAATCATAATTTGAGAATATAAAAAAAGATTGTAAGTATCGAATTTCAAATCTGTTAGATATTATTTTTTATAAATAATTATATAAATAAATTTAATTAAAATTTGATTTCTGTAATATTTTAATCAAAAATTGTTTATCGGAATTATTGTTAACTATGCTGAAAAAAGAGAACAAGAGAAGTGTGATTAAATGGAACAATATTTTCTTTTTTCATAATTAAATTGAATGAAAGTAGTTGGCTACATGGCATCTTTCTTTAATCAAAATGGTTAAGAGTTTTTAGTAGTAAATTTAACAAAATTGTTTCATAACCTTTTATTACACCCTAATTAAGGACCCTAAATCATGAATTTCTTGTTTCAATTACATGATTTCACAATCAAATTCATGTTTTTTTCTTCTTTTTATTGTTCGATAAAAAAATTATAATTAAAATTGTTACATAAACTCAAAAATTATATTAAAATATTACATTTTCTATAAAATCTATAAAATAATTTAATTAATTCAAATTAATCTAAATTCGAAAAAATTCAAACCCTTAAAATCGGAATCGAACTTGAAAATCAGCCCGAATTGACACCTCTAATGCTTCTATGGTTAAAGTGGCAAGCTTTGCAGATTTTCAAGGCCTATTAGAGGCCAATGAAAGACCCAATGAGACAAAACCCAGCTCAACCCAAGTGCCTTTCTTCTTCTCTGATTTTGGGTCGGTAAACACTGACAGCGTTAGTGCGTTAGTGAAAGGCAAGGACTGGCTTATTACCAACGCGTGGGCGCAGCTAAAGTGGGCCGCTGTGTGAATTATAACTGAAGTGCTACAGCCAGCGGCAGAGGTTTCGAGATCCCAACTCAGATCTCTTTCAAAACCTTTGCTTTTACAGTCCTAACCAAGATGTTCAAAAAGTAAGTTTTTTTTTCTTCATTATTGTTAAGGTTCTGGGTTTTGCTTTTTATGTTACATGTGAAAAAGGAATCACTTTTGCTGGTGAATTTTTTTTGTTATTGTGCATATATCTTTGTTTTGCAAAATCATGAACTGGAATTGTTTTTGGCTAGACACTTTGAAGTATTGGAGAAGACTGGGATTGGTCTAGTTGGTTTGTATAATTACAGCTTGTAGGTTACTAAGCAGTTAGCAATGAAGGGAAAAATTTTGGTTACTGTAATTGAGTTTTGGAATATATATAGTGTGTGTTATCTATGCAAGCATTTAATGCTTTAGAAAATAGGTATAACATTGGGCAATGATTGGTTTGCTGCATTCTTTTGCTGTGGGGAAAGATAACTGAACAAGGAAGCACCTCATATTGATCTTCATTTTATTTGCTAAGATTTTTCTATGGAGGAGGTTGCTAAAATGAGAATGCTTAGGATGCACTTGCATAAGATATTTTACGCTTGGGGAAAACTTTTAGGCTTTTTGTAATCTTGTATTTAACATGTTTATATGGAAAGGTTAAGTGTTGTTAGTCTGCCATTTCAAGGGAACAAAATATTGCCTGTATTTTGCTTATGGTTAATCTTGGTTTTCCATAGGTCAGTGATTGATTGCATGCAAGTTTTTCCTTGTTAATACAAGAATAACAAGTTTTTGACCATTTGCAAGAAGTATAACCATTGAATTACTGATAGCTAAGATCCTTTGATGTATAGTTTAATGTTAGGATACTATAAATGTTTTATTCATATTCTAGAAATGTTTATTATTTTGTAGATTTTCATCTGAAGATGTGTCTTCACAAAACCAAGTCAAAGCATCTGTGCAGCGAAAAATTCGGCAAAGCATTGCAGAGGAGGTCTAAAATCTCTTTGTGAATATTTCAGTTTGACAAATTGTGATAACAGTTGAATTCTGAAATTTCTTCACATATGCTTTTGTTTTGTTTAATGTATTGATGAGTTTATGCAGTACCCAGGACTTGAACCTGTGTTGGATGATTTGCTACCAAAGAAGGCACCATTAATTGTTGTAAAATGGTTTGTTGCTCTTTTGTTATTGTGTCTTCAAGTTAGATAATCAAATGTTTGTCCTATAGGAGTTTCATTTATGTGCAGTCAAAACCATTTAAATCTGGTATTGGTGAATAGTGTTCCACTATTCTTCAATATTCGTGATGGACCATACATGCCTACTCTCCGACTTCTTCACCAATGTAAGTTTTTCATCATTTTACCTTTTATAAATTGTAGCTCTGCTACTTCATAACTGGTTTTTGTTCTATTTTAATCCTCGTATATTTGAGTGATATTTGGACTAGATTATAGGATGACTTTGCTTCTGATTATCTGATTGTTTCTTAGCTCTTGCCAACTATAATATGTGGTTTTCTCATCCTTGATAAGTTACATTCTCTTCTATAATACTTTGTGCTTTACTCTCATGTATAGACATCCGTTAACTTTGTTATGCCTTTTAGCTGCATCCTATTGTTATGGCAATCCAAATATAACCATTCTGTATTTTGGTTTTGCAGATCCGAACATAATGAAAAAGTTGCAAGTGGATCGCGGTGCGATAAAATTTGTCCTTGCTGGTGCAAACATAATGTGTCCTGGTCTTACATCCCCTGGTGGTGCTTTGGATGATGAAGTGGAAGCAGAAACGCCTGTGGTATGAATCACCTTATCTGTCACGGTTTATATGTTCTTGCTTACGTTTTCCCAATATCTGATCTGTCAACTAATCCTCTCAGGCAATAATGGCTGAAGGAAAACAACATGCCCTTGCTATCGGCTTTACCAAAATGTCAGCTAAAGACATGTGAGTTACTTTCTATTGTTTCTGAGCATTTTATTTAAATGGATTGCCAAACTTGAACCTGAAAAGCCAAGTAGCTTCTACCTCCTGCCCAAAAGGAGAGTAATGTGGCTGAGAACATGGCCTTACTGTGCTAGGCTTCTTCTGTTGTTTAATTACTTGCCTCTTAGTTATAAATAATCTTTTTATGTGTAGTTCTTATTCTCCTCTAATGTACTTTCTATTTCCAAACTGATAAGCACTTTCTTGCTAGCTAAATGTTGTTGTTAAACTACAACAACTATGTGTTTATTATGTTTTACTCTTGATTAACAAGTTGCAATTTTTGTTAATTTGCAGAAAGGCAATCAACAAGGGAATCGGGGTAGACAACATGCATTATCTCAATGATGGTCTATGGAAGGTATTTATACTTAACTATGTGATCTTTGGAAGGTATTTCACGTTTAATTCTATGTTCTTCTATGGAATACCATATGTTTATTGGGGCATTGCATGGGATTAGCATTTTGTGTCAAAATATTTGATTATTTCAAAAAAAATTTTCTATCTTTGGTGTCCAGATGCTGCCTCTTGCATTTTACAAGTTAGTTTATATCACCTAGTATTTTCCCCTTGCTGTCTATGATTGATCTTAACAGCTGTGTTTGTATTCTTGACTTATAGCCGCATTTTCTGGCTGCGGATTTACCACAACCTGGTTGAGGCTTGTAAAATATTAGGAGGTTTCGAAGTTGACGTAAAATTAATCTTGAACTTTGTTTTGTACTCTTGACTACTAACAGCCTTTTTGGGCTAAGAATTTACCGCAACCCGGTTGAGGTTTCTAAAACATTAGGATATCTCAAAGTTGAAGTGAATCAATCTTTGCATTCTGTTATTTCCCAGATGGAGCGGCTAGATTGAGCATATCTGCTGGGAACAACTGCTGCCATGCCAGCCAAGTAAAAGTTAGAGAGGCTTGAAGAAAGAAGTTACATACTTGTGGTCCTTCTCTTTTGAGATGTTTGTATCTACATGAATCTTTTCGCTTGTGTTGATGTATCTTGTGTTTCCACACATTTCATGTAATTTTGCATTTGTGGGTATCTCTGCAGATATTCGAATGAATGCTTATTAAAACCATGGACTTTTTAATGGATTGAAGACAAATGCAGCTGCTAAAAGGCTATATGCTTATCTTTGCACATTTCTTTCTCTTTTTTTTTTTTTATTATTTTCTATCTTTTGATGCCAAGTAAAACTTGGGTTAAAATCACAAAATCAATAATTACGAAGGTGAAATCTGCATGAATAATGCAACCTTATCATGCTCTTTCCTATAGGTTAAATAGTTAAATATTTTAAGAAAGATTTTTACATTTAATGTATTATTTTTATCAAATTCAAGAGATGATTCTTATCATAATTTTTTTCATAATATCATTTTAATCATTATCATTACATTTATTTTACAATATTTTATAATACGATGACAAATATGTTTATGAAAATAATATATTTTAAAATTTTAACAATAATTATATATAAATTTAATAAAATTAAAAATATATATTTCATGTTTTTATGTCAATATAAATTATTATATGTAATTTTCACATAAATATAATATAAATATATAAATTTTAATATTTTATATTATATGAATTTACGAATTATCAAATTTATTTATCATCGTGTAGGATTCAAAAGAAAGGACCACCATCCAAGCCAATAAACCCAAGCCCACTTGAACAAACCCCAACCTCACAAGATAAAAGGCCCTTCAAAACCCTAACAACTTATCTCTGCTTCAGCCGCGGCGCTTCCTCCACTTCACCACTACCAACAAAGCTTTAGCAATGGTCCGTTTCCCTCCCTTCCCATATTTCCAAAACTCTTATTGTCTTTAAAACAACATAAAAGTTTTAATATTTCTTGTTGTTTTTGTGTCTTTTATTAACAGGGGATCGATTTAGTCGCAGGAGGTAAGAGCAAGAAGTCCAAGAGGACAGCTCCCAAATCCGATGATATTTACCTTAAACTCCTCGTCAAGGTCTCATCTTTATCTTCCACTCTGCATACCCATGTTTCCTTTATGTTTCTTTTTGAATAAATGATCTGACTTTTGTTCTGGGTCAAAGCTTTATCGTTTCCTTGTAAGAAGAACTGGGAGCAAATTCAATGCTGTGATATTGAAACGTTTGTTTATGAGCAAAGTTAACAAGCCTCCACTATCTCTCTCTAGGCTTATTCAGTTCATGAAAGGAAAGGTATTTTTTTTATCTGTGTTATGAAATATTTCTGGGTTTGTTAGGATCTTTATATTGTTATTGCTGTTGCGTTTAATTCTTTTTTTTATGTAAATAAATTTTAGGGGGATAAGATTGCTGTGGTAGTGGGGACAGTGACAGATGATACAAGGGTTTATGAAGTTCCAGCTTTGAAGGTTACTGCTCTTCGGTTTACTGAGACTGCTAGAGCTAGGATTGAGAAGGCTGGTGGAGAATGCTTGACTTTTGACCAGCTTGCTTTGAGGGCTCCTTTGGGTCAGAACACGGTATGGGATTCTTTTGTTACTTTCTTTTTTTTAGCTGTTTTCTGAAATTAGTTAGTCTTTGGTACTTTTTGGTTTAAATATATGTATGTTGATTTGAGTTCTCTTTTTATCAAATTTTCATTTCATTTCTCCTTTGTTCATTTGTTGAAGCTCCTTGAAATTGAAATGCTGATGTTACTTTCATGCACTATCGAACACTGAAAGCAATGGTTTCTCCAGAACACATATGCTGAAACTTATCTCTTTACAATGTGAATGTAGTGTGTGAAAGATTCTTGTTAGGATGTTTGATTCTGTTAATTTCTTTGTTCAAATTCTTTGTTTAATGCTACTTTAATGTTTTTATTCCTTCTTCATTTGAAAGGTAATCTGAATTAGTTGAAAATTTCTCCATGTTGAGTGTTTCTCTTTATACAAACAGAGAAATTGATACACCTTTTGACGGGAAATTAAATATGTTCTGCTCTGTCATTTCTAGCTCATCAAATGTTATCTTATTTAACTTTCAATAGGAAGTTATGTCCATTAGTCTTGCTTATCTTAAAGCAGATCTTTCTGGTTTCTTCTGCTAATTTATCTTCTGTAAGAAGAAAACGTTCTGTCTTGATTTCTTACGAGTTACTTTGTTTGGAATTGCAGGTTCTCCTCAGAGGTCCAAAGAATGCTCGGGAAGCAGTCAAACACTTTGGTCCAGCTCCTGGTGTGCCTCACAGCCACACGAAGCCATATGTGCGCTCAAAGGGAAGGAAATTCGAAAGGGCTAGAGGAAGAAGGAACAGCAAGGGATTTAGGGTTTAAGATGACTTCAGTATTTGATTATGCGACCTGTCTGTCATTGATTACTGCAAACCAAATTTTGCTAAACTTTAGGCTTCAATGGCATTTGTTTACTTGTTTATGTTTACTTCATGTTTGTGGATTGTTTAATTACTGATTTGAGTATCAATCTTTCCTATGCTACAAAGTGGAGCGTCGTTTAAGCAAATTAATTGAGTTATATTTACTTGGATATGGAAATGTCTGGTTGGAGATAACGAGTATCTAATAAGAACACAATAATTGAGCTTCAGAGATAACAAGGCGGGTTTGGGCTTTACAGAGTCTCCTCACGATTCATTCTTATCTCGACTACCATACTACAGGGTGACTATAAAGAGTAGATAAACAACATAGATGACTAGAAATTTTTTATGAAGTCATAAATGTGAGAGTTAATTTCCTCTGCTCTTTCTTGGTTGATGAAATGACCTACCCCTTCCATTACCACAACTTCATCTAACAAAGGCACGTCTCTTTTGAAACCACCACTTTGTACATATTCTTTCATCCCTGGGGTTGTATAGACGCTGTCAAGATCCCCCACTATGTACTTAACTGGTGCTTTCACTTGTACATCTGTCCATGGGGCTGTCAGCTCCCAATTTCTGCAGTAAACAGAAAACAAATTACCTATATAAGTTTGACGAAAACGAAATAACTTGGATGCTTTGCCATAAAGACCAGAATTGGTTAAAAATGTTTTCCAGGGAACATACAAATCAAAAGCTCTGTAGTAGTTCAAGGCGCCAGTGAAGCCTTTCTTATTGAATTTGTCAGCATAGTAGCTAAGATCTTCTTCAGAGAACCAAGAGGGTAAGGTAACTGGGTTATCTGGATTAATACCGAAAGCATTGTCTTTAGGCAAGCAGAGGGGACCTGGTTTGTGACCGGAAATGATTTTCTTTAGCACTTCTGAAGTTCCAAAACGAGCAATCTCTGCTTCAATCTTTCCAGGTTCCTACAACAAGTTTCAAGAATATGTCAGTTAATTACATTCACCCGCATGCAATTTTCATTTTCCTTTTTGGTGTCATTTTTTTCCCTCTGGGATTGTAAGTGGAGTTCATTTTTCTGAGTATTCATATTTCCAGTTATAATCTAGCGTAGTTCATGTCCAAGTAAACAAAAAGATCTGAATTGATTCAATTGAAACCTAAATAGTGTTCCTTGCCATTAAACTTGCTTAAATTTAGTACTATCGTAATTAATCATGCTACCAGGATCAGTAATTGTAAGAAACAAAAAACCTGAAATCTGCAAATATAGTAGTCCTCTCCAAAGAAGAGCCTCATGCTCTCCAAAGGTTTCATCTTTGGTTTTCTTGGCACGAATGGGACGCTGAGGCACACAAAAGCCTTGACTCTATCAGGCCGAAACAAGCACAGGTACCATCCGATTATGGCACCCCAATCATGAGCAACCAGAAACACCTGCTCTACACCAAGGGAGTCAATGAGTGCAATGAGGTCACCAACGATGTGCATGCAAGAGTAGCTAGTGATGGAACTGGGAGCTTCAGTGTCACCATAGCCACGGAGATCGGGTGCAACAGTGTGGTATCCGAGTGAGCTTAAAGCAAGAATCTGATGCCTCCAAGTGTACCACAGTTCAGGGAAGCCATGAAGGAAGAGGATAACTTGTCCTTGTCCTTTTTCTGCTACATGCATTGTTATCCCATTGACATTCACCATTCTGTGCTGTATTCCTCCCATCCTTTTTCCCCTTTCTCTTCACGTATCTCCCTTCCTTTCTATATGTGAACTGTGATGATGACTACTCGATATTGAGAGCAAAAGGTGACAGGGGTTTTAAGGTGGGAGTTATGGGGGCCGTTAGGGGAGTAAATGCAAGTCTGTGAAAGTGTTTAATGCTTCACTTATTGCTTTGGGAATAGGCTTAATGTCATGAGCCATCCTTGAATAGGGTCATGATCAGGCATAAGATGTCATGAGCCACCTATGTATAAGGCCATGACCGGGTAGAGATGCCAAAGGGTAAAGTAGATCTCATGTGCTAGGAAAAAGTATTTCCATTTCAAACATTGTAATGGTTCTTGGTAGCATAACTATAACCATCTTTTAGCTTTTTTTAGAGAAGCGTGAAGCATTGTCGGCTATTTGGTTGGGCTGCCTCACTGGTTAAGGTATGTGCTAAACTATCCATTTAGGGCTGCCCCTCTGACCCCGACGATGGTGAGTAGACTCGATATTCCTTTTGTACTCATTGTATTATTCTTGATATTAATAAAACATTTTTTATATGAGAACTCCGAGGGTCACCTTGGTATGTTTTCATTTTGCCCTGATATATCATTGTGTATTCTTAAGATTAACTTGTGATTTATTGATTGCCTATTTAGATGTCAAACTATCTTTGGCTGACTTGTGTGGAAGCGTTCATTTAAGTGATGCACGGTCTATTGCTTCATTGAAAGAAAGTTTAGCCCGTGACACATGGTATTAGAGCACGGTTGAGTAGTGCTAGAGAATTGATAAATTGGCTACAAGTGGTGGATTTAGTGGCTGACAGAGGATCAAAGAGCTTAACGCCCCAATGACTGCCCTAAAAGCTCATGTGATAACTCATAATCAACTAAGGGAGATCGAGACATCCCAACGAAAGTTGTTCAATACTCTACATAACTTGGCTGAGGAGACTAGAGATGCCGTGAATGTCCTTTAGAGAGAGTTTGAGGAGCTCAAGGCCCAAGTGAATGTGCTACAAATAGCTGTGGCCAGGTCGAGTTCTAGCTCGATGGAAAAAAAGAAAAAAGCCAAGGTGTCGGAACTTCAATGTTATGAGGGAGCAAGAGATGCCAAATAGCTTAAGAACTTCTTGTTTAACATAAAACAATACTTTTGAGCTATGTACACAGAATCAGATAAGAATAAGGTTGTAATGGCTTTAATGTACCTTGCCGGAGATGCCAAGTTGTGGTGGCATTTAAAATTTGTAAATGATGAATGCCCTATTAAAACTTGGGCGAATCTTAAGCAAGAGTTGAAAAACCAATTTTTTCCTAAGAACGTAGAATATATGGTCCGAAAAAAGCTTCAAGAATTGGTGCAAATGAAAATAGTACAAGAGTTTGTGAAGAGCTTTTCTACCCTGATATTGTACGTTAGAGACATGTCTGAAAAGAACAAGATGTTCTATTTTTTTGAGGACTTCAAACCTTGGGCCAAGACAGAATTGCAAAAAAAAAAGGTTCAAGAAGTAGCCACAACCATGGTTGCCACCAACGTCTTAATGATTATAATGATGTCTCCTCAAAACGAAAGAATCTTTCATTAGATGGCAGTAACTCAAACTTTAAGAATAAGAGAAATATGGCCAGAGTGGACCCTTCAGTAAATGATTAGATAATAGACCTTCTGGTTGAGACAATATCCAACCCAAGGTAAATAGTGTATCGAATTTCAAGTTGAAGCAACTGCTAGCTTGCTTCTTATGCTAGGGGCCACATCAGGTGGAAGAATGCCTACATAGAGGTGCCTTTAATGCTTTAAGAACATCTTTTCAAGAGTCCTCTAAAGTGCCCAAAACTATCAAAAAAGTTGAAGATGAGCCAGCAAAGATGGGCTCAATGCTGTTTCTTAATACCTTTCATACCTAACTAAACATGATAAGAAAGAACTTGAGAGAGGTCTGATGTATATGGACCTGATACTCAATGGTAAAGCCACAAAAGTCACAAAAGCCACGATAGATATGAATGCAATTGATACCTTCATCACACCAGAAGAAGAAAAAAGGTGTGGTCTCAAGGTTAATAAGGCTATGGGCAAATAAAATCGGTTAACTCATCAGTCTTTGCGATTAATGGAAGCTTCAAGAGCGTGATGACCAAGTTAGGGCCATGAAAAGAAATATAGACTTCACGATTTCCCTCATGGAAGACTTTGATGTTGTCCTAGGATTAAACTTTATGCTGTTGGCTCAGTCGATCCCAATCTCCACTATTAGTTGTCTATTATTCTTGGAGGAATGTCCATGTGTTATGTCAGCCTCAATCCTCGCTAAGAGTGGGAAAAATGATTTTAGCATTACAATTCGAGAAAAGGGTAAAAAGAAGGAAGCCTTCTTATGTGGCCATATCGATTTACAAAGATGGGATTGAGTTGGAATCGATACTCAATGAAGTACAAAAAGTATTGGAAAAGTTTGTGAAAGTGCTACCAGAATAATTACCCAAGGTCCTACCTCCTCAAAGATCAGTGGACCATGAAATTGAGCTTCTCTCGATAGTTAAGCTGCCAACTAAAGGCCCATATTGCATGGCTTTGCCAGAGTTAGTTGAATTGAAAAAACAATTAAATGAGCTCTTACAAGTCAGGTTCATTAGACCATTTAAAGCATCATTTGAGGAACCCATACTATTTTAGAGAAAACCTAATGGGAGTTTGCGATTATGTGTAGACTACAAACCCTGAACAAAGTCACTATGAGAAACAAATATCATATTCCCCTTATTGCAGATTTTTTGATTAACTAAGCCAAGCCAAGTACTTCTCTAAATTGGACTTGAGATTTGGCTATCATCAGGTCATAATTGTTAAAAAAAAAAAAGCCAAAAACTACCTGTGTAATCAGTATGGTGTATTTGAATTTCTTATTATGCTTTTTAGATTGACTAATGCCCCTATCACGTTTTGTACCTTGATGAATCAGGAGTTTCATGACTATCTTGATAAGTTTGTGGTCATCTATTTAGATGACATAATGGTCTATAATTCTACTTTAAAAAGCACCAAGAGCACTTGCCTCTTGTGTTTCAAAAACTACAAGACCACCAGCTATATGTTAAAAGAGAGAATTATGTATTTGTTCAAATACAAATTCACTTGTTATGCCACATTGTTGAACAATGCCACATTCGAATGGACATGAAAAAAGTTAAAGCTATCAAGGAATGGGTAAAATAAAAAAATGTCAATGAACTCTACTTATTTTTTGGATTGGCCAATTATTATAGGAGATTTGTGAAAGGATACTCTTGTAGAATCATGGCCCTCATGGAGCTATTAACAAAAGAGCATAAATGATGTTGGATAAGTGAATGTCAAGAGGCTTTTAAGGGATTGAAGAAAGTCATGATAAAGGACCCTGTCTTGGCTCTCCTTGACATTGAGAAGCCTTTTGAAGTTCAAATAAAAGCATCTAATTTCGCTATTAGATGAGTGTTTTTACGAGAATGGCACCCAATAACATTTGAAAATTGAAAGTCGAGTGAAGCCGAAAGGAGATATACAGCTCAAGAGAAAGAACTCTTAACAGTAATCCATTATTTGATAGCATAGCGACATTATTTATTGGGTTCATAATTTTTCTTTAAAACAGACAATGTAGCAGTTAGTTATTTTCTCACTCAGCCAAGGTTTATGGTTAAGCAAGATAGATGGCAGGAGTTTTTAACAAAATTTGAATTTTATTTTAAGCACACAGCTGAAAGAACCAATCAAGTGACAAATGCATTGAGTAGACGGGCAAATTTGGCTACCCTTAGGAGAATTGTCTTAATGACAGCTAGCAAGGTCACGACAAATGTCTGCAAGCTAATTGAAGATAATCTGAAGAAAGATCCATAGGCCAGTGCCATCCTGAAACTAGTAGAAGAATGAAAAGTCCAAGTACTTTTGGCAAAAAAATAGGTCTTATTGACAAAGGGCCCTCGGTTGTTTGTGCCGAAAATAAGAGGTTTGAGATAGATGCTAATGAAAGAATGCTATGACACACCATAGACGAGTTATCCTGGTGGGCAACTTACTTTGGTGTTACTGAAACAAGATTATTATTGGCCTCACATGCGGCAAGATGTGATGGATTATAAGAAGACTTATCTCATTTGCGAATAGGATAAAGTTGGAAAAAAGAAACCAGCAGGCATGCTTAAACCACTACCTGTGCCTACAAGAACTTGAAAAAGTATCTCATTTGATTTTATATTGGGCCTTCTTAAGGTTGGCGATTTTAAGGATAAATTTCTTAGGTGGCTAATCATACCTAAATAAAAAAAATTGATAGCAACTCTTTTCAATTAATGTCTAGCGATAGATCTCCGAATCTAAACGTCATGATACCAAACATGAAAGCCAGCCACAATTTTGCATCTTCAACTAACTCTACAGCAACAGACTTAACTCTATCACTGTTTTTTGACAGTAGCCAATAACTAAAACCTACACTTATTATTAAATTGTTAGTACAAAAATAACAATGCTGTAAAAGTGCAATTAAACATGCGAGAAGTACGTGAATCACATTTCTAGCTTGACTTTTCTCCAATTTCTTACAACCAAAGGCCCCATCAAATCCTTGCTAGGGCCAAACCAGGTGGGTGGTCCAGCCCTTCGCCCTGGCATGAAAGCCAGCCACAATTTTGCATCTTCAACTAACTCTAGAGCAACAGACTTAACTCTATCACCATTTTTTGACAGTAGCCAATAACTAAAACCTACACTTATTATTAAATTGTTAGTACAAAAATAACAATGCTGTAAAAGTGCAATTAGACATGCGAGAAGTACGTGAATCACATTTCTAGCTTGACTTTTCTCCAATTTCTTACAACCAAAGGCCCCATCAAATCCTTGCTAGGGCCAAACAAAGCACTCTTATGTCCCGATTTGGTCAACCAGACTTGCAACCAGGTTGCAGCTTTAATTCTAAACGCTATAATATGTAAAATTCCTTGGTGGTTGATGCTATTACTGCTGCAGTCATGTCAATCAAGCTTGTAATGAAAAATCAGGTCGTTTATCGCCTTAAGGCTATAACTAACAGGAACGATGTCTTTAACCAGCTAAGCAGATGAGTTTATCTGTATATTCTGGCCTGGCGATTAACGCCTGCCATTTGTTTTCTTCCTTATTTTTTCATCAATTCTTGGGCCGTAGGGGAACACTGCTTCTGATTTCTGAATTCAAAATTTCAATTTCAACCTTAATTACATTTTGCTTAACCAATCTTAGATTTGCCATCAGAAACGATAAGTTCTTTCTTTATTTTTTTTAAGTTCAATCGATGGCCTTCCATTTTTTGTTTCTTCTACTTTGATTTGCTTTCTAGATGTAATAACCTTTTTAAAGGTCAATCTCCACTTTCTTTGTTCTGCTTTTTCTCTGTTTCATAATTTCCTTATTTTCCAGGATATGAAAATACCAGAAAACTTCATAGTTCCAAAAACACAGAAAAAAGAAACACTTGTTTTCAATTTGAGAAATGTAATCCAATTACATTGGAGCACACCTCCATGAAAAAAACAAGAAGGCGGCTCAAGTAGAAAGGATCCAAGTAACACTTTTGCTTTACGCACAGTTAAAATCCTTGTAACCATTCATTGAGACAGTGGATTCCAAGAAAGAACTATATGCGAACAAAAACAAATTCGAAATCTTGGTCAGATAAATGTCGTTTTCAAATGTTGTAAGAACTATGGGTGGCGGCTACACAGATTTTCAGCAGATTGAAAAACCCTAACTTGAGAATGTAGTGAACTGGTTCTGATCTGTCAAAAGGACCACGACAACTATTCATTTGGAACTTCTTGAGTTGAAGAAAAGACCTCACTCCTCAGGATATCACATTACATGCCAAAAACATCATAGCCCATAATCAGCCATCACGTTGGCCAATTAAACAGATGTGGTGACAAGCTTTCTCAAATACTCATCAATTTGTAGAATTGATCACATAAACTCAACAAACTAAGGAAAGCACCAAATCCATAAAATACAACACTGAGATTTGAGCAATTCAACATTATTCTCACAAGATCTCAAGGCAGAAGTTACCAATATTCTACATTCCATCAGAACTGATGAAAACATGATCTATAAATATGACTAAAGCAATGATAACCTGATCTTCAGAAAGATACTTGAACTTTTATGCTGAGAAGATCTAACGCACTCCATCTATCTTACCTTCATGATACAATTTGAACTTCAGCTCCACCAAGTCAATCAAAACTAGCATTTAAGAACTTGAGTAATTCATTTCTTTTGCTCTCAGCCTCTTTATCCTCCTTTGACTTGTCAAGTTTCAATTGAATCTAGAAGCCAATAAACAAAAACAATAACAGAGTAAGAATTACCAGAAGTACCTATATCACTGCTTTTGGACAATACATTGAGACCACCTACTCCCAACATAAACAAAAAGAAGATGAAGAAGATTGCCTTGCCTTTTTTCCAGATACAGCACTACGGCGTACACCATCATCCTTGTCACGCCCAAGAAACTGTATAAAGCATATGAAGGTAAAGACACAGAGAGAGAGAGAGAGCATATCAAGAAGCAGAAACGCACAATGAACTACCTTAGAAAGTTGCACAGGGCTGCTACTTCCCTTATCCTGCTCCTTCTATATATAGCTCCGATTGCCAGGACAAATCCGACCGAAAAAAATAATCCAAGTCAATTGAACCCAGTCATCATGTCACAGGCCCCAGCTCCAAATTCAAAGAGCCAATCCATAGACAGACAGAAAGTATTATAAGCACCTCAGAAATTTCCTCTTAAAAGAATTTTCAAACATAATGAATGCTGGAAATTTTGCTAGATAACAATAAAACAGTAAATAATGCACCAAATCTTAAATGGATAATCAAAATGAAATCACCTATAAAACCAACAATATGTAAACTCATAACTTAGCTATACATATCACTCATACGGAGGGATGGATTTAAACATTGTGAATAGTGCTTACCTCTTTAACTTTGTGCTTGTAACGTTTATTTCTATGACTCTTGCTTCGTTCTTTTTCCTTCAACTAAAAGCCAAAATGGTAAAAAAGTGAGACACTACATTAAAAGGAAAAGCAAAAGTGGAGCACTAAACAATCACCTTCTTTGGCCGGTCACTTTTCTTGTGCCTCTTTGAATGATTAGACTCAGGCTCACTATCTGACGAACGTTTACTTCTGCAACAATTGAGCACTCAGAATGTTAGGAAACTCATCAAGCATCTGAACGAAGGTTACTAGCCAGAGGAAAACTAAATAACTGGATAGCTGCACATAATTTCTTGAACATCCATGTACGACACAAAGTTATTAAAACAAAATCTATAGAGAACTTGTGAAGGCAACTTTTACTCTGGCTCAGAATTACCAATTATTCCTAGTTATAAAAGGTGCATCACTTGGTTTTAAAAGCAAGAAATAATATCATGCATTGAGCTTCACATGCTACAGTTCACAATATGTTACGTTTAATGCACTATGTAATCCAAAACAACCCATTGTTCAAGCATAGGTAATACTATAATTGATTGATGACGACACTCATAACGCATTAAAAAGAACGTAAATTTGCTGAACATATAAATCTTTACTTAACTTTCAAATTTCCATCCTATAAAGTCTATGTAATCTAAATCAACCCATTGTTCAAGCATAGGTACTACTATAATTGATTGATGATCACACTCATAACGCATTAAAAAGAATGTAAATTTACTCAATATATAAATCTTTGCTTCCCTAATCTTACTTTAACCAGAAAAATTAATGTTAAAAATGAGATTAAACAATTCATTAGAATCTTAACATCAAAACAGAACAAAAAAATCATGATTAAAAAAATTAACAAAAATCTAAATTAAATCGCTTAGTTGCTAACCCTTAAGCAGTGAGTATAACAAATGGGTTATTTTTCTTTTTTACCTGGATGAATCGGAGTCGGAAGAAGAATAAGAATCGGAGGAATCGCGGCGATGCTTCCTCCGACGTCGTTTACCAAGCGAACGACTCTTCTTTCGGATCTTGAGAGAATCTCTGTCTCTGTCGCGTCGGTTGCTGCGGTGACGACGTCGTTTGGCGTGCGGGGAAGACGAGTCGGACAAGGAATCCGAGGAAGAGTACGAGGTACCTGAGGACGATGAGGCTGCCATAGACGCACAAAAAGGAGAGTTTTTTAGGGCTTGAGATTTGGGAAACGTTTGGGCAAAGGGCAAACCTTTATATATATTTTTTTCACTAATTTATTTTTTAAATAAAGAAATACTTAAATAAATGCTAACGCTTTCCCTTGGGTTGGCTTTTTTAAATGGCAAATTTTGAAAAAAAAAACTAAATTAAATGTTTAATTTCATCATAATTTCAAGAAAAAATTTTGGATTTTCCTTTATAATGTAAATATTAATTGATAGATCTACTATATATCATGATGATATGGGACATTAAAGACATGAAGGTTTGATTCCTTGAATTTGTGAAATTCTTTTCATAAGTGATTTTAAAATAATAATTATTCTATTTTTTTAAGTAAATTAATTTTAAAATTTTGGAATGAAAATTCACTTATGTTAATATTGTTTACTGGCAAACAAATAGTATTGTTTAATGCATTTGGAATGATAATATTATAAAGCAATTATTTTATTTACTATCAAATAAATTTTTAAATATAAAGTTAGTAAAATAATATATATCTCTTGTAAAAAAAACATTTAATTTTTTAATCATGCTTGTAAAATACAAAAATTCATTGATAAAATGAAATGTATTAAAAAAAATTTTTAAAAAAAACCTTTTTATTTTGTATACTTGCCTAAGAAAAATTATGAATAAATAACATTCATAATTTAATACATGTGATAAATCACTATCCATAAACAAATAAATTTGCAAATATATATATTGAGACTTGCTTAATCTTTTTTTATTATTTATTATTGGTATCATATTTACTAATAATATATTTTATCATTTTCCACTTTTTTTTTAATTGGAAAAGTTCTTAAAAGATTTGCATATGTAGTCCTCTCTTTTGATTTTTTAGTGATCTTTAACTCTTTATTAATTATTTCTTCAATTTTTAATAAAAAATTTTATTTAAAAAACTCCAAGTAAGAAAAAAATTGAAAAAATAAAAAATCGATTCAAAATAATAGTGATAGATTTAGTTCAGATTATATTTTTATTCTATTCAGATTATGTTCAAATATTAAATATATATTAAATTCGGATTGGGATATAAAAAATCGAAAAAAAAATAAACTGAACAAAATTATATATTTTTATTAGTTTTTATATAATTTTTAATATTTTATAAAATAAAAATAATTATTTTATATATAATCTATTTAAATATATTTAAAATCTTAATGAAGTAATATATATAAAGTAAAAAATTTTAAACCAAACCGAATCAATAAAATTTAATTTAAATCAGATCAATTTTAAAAAAAAAACAACTTGAATTTAAAAAAAAATTGATTTAAATTCGAATCGAATTTTAAAATTTATAATATTATGTATTATAAAAAAATCAAATTAAATTTGATCCGATATCACTCCTATCTAATGTTAATCATTTTCATTCTCTTGAATTCAATGCCCAATAGTTTGCTCATTAACATAACGTACTAATTTATGGTATTAATAAATTATAGTCCTGTTAAATGAATTGTTTTTATAAGCATTTCGTATAATAGATAATTAAGCATAGAACAATGAAGCAGTGAAAACAAAAGAAACGGTGATCATGATCTAGCCTTCTTTTTTTTTTTTTTTTGGTCAAAATGAGATTGTTCTTCGAGCTGAAAACTTGGCTACATTAGTATCAAAACTCAAGGATATTTATTGGATAGTTCAATGAGCTACAGCCTTCGATCGCACTTTTATCTGCAATTTTTTGTTGTGTATCTTGAATAAGCCTGCGGTGTAAGGCACTCTTCTAGGCTTAATCCAGGAGTCACCATCGAAGAACTTTCCTGGAGTGTATCCAAGTGCTGCCGCCTGTTTAATTTTCTTAATTCCACGCCATGTAACACGGCCTGTCGTCTTAGAACCAGGGCCATGGTTATTGAATTCAGAATAGAAGCAAGTGTTTAGGCCCCAGGGACCATCCCAAATTGTCCACCCTTCAGGTTTGATCAACTCATCAAGGTAAGACTCTATGATTATTGTCCTTGAGAAGTTTCCCCATGGACGGCCAAGATATGTTGGGAACTTGTCCTTGACAGGAACTAATTCAGGAGCAGCAATGAATGTGGAGTTTTGGATGACAATAGCTGTTGGTTGGCGAACGTCGATTCTGCCTTGGGCGGTAACAATGTTTTGCTGTTTATCTAATGGCTTGAGGACAAGGAATGTGCAGTTCTGGAAAACTACAGCTGCATCACCGAAAACGAAATCGATTGTTCCAGAGATCGTGCAATCACGGTAGAATTGGCGTTTGCTGTGAACGTAAAGTGTGTCCTGGTAACCATCCATGGAGCAGTTGTAGAAGACTGAGAAATCGGATATGACCATCAAGGCCACAGCTTGGAATTTGGCTGCCCCAGCAGAGTTCTCGAACCCAATGTTTTTGGCAAAGAAGTTGTCTCCATTAACAGCTGCATTCATTGGACATATCAATTTGTTAGAACAAAAGAAAAACAACAACATTCCGAGACAAAACCTAGAAACAGAGAATCAAGGCTTAATTTAATTCATACCAACTGTAGCAGTCCTGAAGGTGGGAACTCCATCAGCATTGTTGAGGCGACCTGTGATTCGGGTTTTCTCTTTACCATCTCCGATAAGCGCCACATTAACCATACTGTAAACGAATTCGAGATTCTCCTCATAAACTCCTTCCTTGATATATATGACAAAAGGCTTGACAGCATTCAGGGGGATGCGGCCCATTGCAGCCTTAATGGTGGTGAAGTCTCCACTCCCGTCCTTGGCCACGACAATATCAGGCTTGATTCTAGATGGAGTAGCTGCCATGAGTCTCCGAAATCCATACTGAATCTCAAATGCAGCATGGCCAAGGACAGGTACCTCATCATTATCTTGGAGTAGACGACGGTTCCAGGGATTATTCTCTAACAAAGCAGTCCAATCAGAATGCCCAATAACAGGAAGTTCTTTATCTTGGAGTAGGCGACGACTTACACCTTGAATTTCTAATTGTTTAAGCACTGCAGACATCTCAGTGGCTATTGCAAGGCCGTTTCTGCTGAGTTGCATGGAAATATTCAATGCCTTCTTCATTTTCTCTCCAGCGTTGGTCGTTGTATTTCTGAATCCATCTAAGCAAGTTTGTTGGTTGGTGATTGTAGCACTCAACCAAATCTTTAAATCAGCCAACATTTTATCAAACCTGGTAACATCTAACTTATCAATCTGGTTGAATGATTTTTGGAGTTCATTTATTGAATAAGTCATTAGTTGTTTGCAGACATCTAGAGCTTTCTTCGATCTTGGATCTTTTTCAAGATCTCTCAAGGTAGTAGAATTCTTGGCAGCTTGAGACGCAAACTTCATTGCTGCCTTGAATGCTGCTTGGACGAGTTCTTTGATGTCAGTTGTATTTCCAGCCTCTTTGCGGAGTTGCTCTTCACATGTTTTCCTATAATCTGTTGGTTGGCAAATGGATTTGATTGCCTTCACTGAGGAAGATAACTCAGCATTTTTACTGCCATTATTGGTTTCCTCCTCGGAGTTGGTTTCATTGATGCTAACCCCAACTGTCACAGCAACCACCATGGCCACCAAGAGGAAAGAACAAATCGCAATAGTTGCGATTCTCTTCTTCCTTTGTGCATCATCTGAACTTGACATTTTAATTATATGTATGAAGCAGCTTCTCAATACCTTTCAAGACAGGGAATTTTTATGAAAAGAAAGTGAAATTAAAAAAAAAAGAAAAACCCCACTTCCCTTTAGGCACTAAGAGCTGCCCTAATGCAAATCAAAGGGTCAGCAAATTCGAAGGCCAACGCCCGTCGGACTGTTGTTTTTGATGAATCTTAATTACAAGAATGATAAGTTTATAAGAAAGTTGAAAAAAAAGCTTGATTGGTTTAGATTTTGGTTATTTTTAGCTTCAAAACATGAGGTTTGGAAATGATATGGAAAGTCAAATGACGAGCTACAAAATTGCTCGTGTTTCCCAAAAATAAGAGGTTGCAAAGCTATCTAAAACATTTACCCTCTCAATTTAGTCAATTGACCATTGACGAACTGGTCTTGTAATTGGTTTGATATATAACTGTAATTAAGAAATTAATCTATATATGGTTTAAAGGAAACTGACAGTTCAAAGCCATGAAAATATTTCCTGGAATACGATCCAGCCAAAACATCAATAATCAATAATATAAATTTCAAGTCCTAGATAGTAAAGAGTGGAGAGCATAATTGTTTGCCACACCTTCCCAAAAAATTTCATGACCTTAAACCTAAGAATATCTCTAATCACATTAAAAAAGTCATATATATAAATAATTTTACTTAAACTTGGAGACCTAATTTATTACATGGGATCTCATATATATATATATATATATATATAAATTACAGCGCAAACAAACTTAATTCATGACCTTGCCATTCCATGACTGTATAAATTTTGTTAGCCTTCCATATTTATTTTGACTGTCACTTTTTGTAGGCATCTAGTTCAACCCCTTAATTATAGTTGCAATATCGGGAGTTAAAGATACAATATTGTATTGAATTCCCATGTGGCAATGGAAAATATATAAAGAAAATAACTAGAGTGTGATTGTTTTTTATTTGGAAGTTTTGACTATTCAATTAGTTTTTACTCATACTTGCTCATTTAGTTAAGAATATATTTGGAATAAAAACATTCTTCTGATTCAAAATCATAGCAAGCTTGGTCATCCTTTTAATGTTTTTGCTTCAATGAGATATTCTACCATAATTTCATAGATACATTTTCAAATAAAACCCATCAATAAATAGAACAGCATCTCACTTCCAATCTCTTCAACAAACCCTTTCAAGAACCAAACATCAAAGCTATGGAAACCCTATGTTCCAAATCACCATGTTCTTCAGATACCTCAGAAATCTCAGCAGCCTCAGAAGAAACTGATCAAAACAAAGGCGGTATCGGGGAAAATATGATCATGGTCAAACTGAAAGAGAAAGTACTTGTTGTTCAAGAATCTCATGAGTCCAACCAGCCTAAATCATCAGGTTTACATCTTTCACTCAGTGAGAAGTTTTCTGCGGATGAATCAATTCATGGTTCCGAGGTGGAACTCAAACTTTCTAGTTTGGGATCATCTCAAGTAAAGCAGCAGCAACCTCAGTCAAAACCTAGGGCTTTCACATGCGGGTTTTGCAAGAAAGACTTTTTAACATCTCAAGCTCTGGGAGGGCATCAAAATGCGCATAAACAAGAACGTGCACTAGCCAAACGACGTAAAGAGATTGATTTAGGGGCTTTGGGGCATCGACAATGCCCTTATTACTCCTATCCAGGCCTCTCTCAAGCCTCACTCAATGGATCTTTCAACGGTGCTCTTGGGGTAAGAATGGAATCGATGATTCATAAGCCTACTTCTGCTTCCCCTTGGACCACCCTAGGCTACAGTTTCGGCCATGGAGGAATCAAGATGGATAGCTTCCAGGCTCAGAAGAATAGCAGTTTTTCAACATCTATGGCTGCATCAGCTTCAACTAATATTGCAGCAAAGAAGCCAACTACAAGCAATAGTGATTTTCTTCACCCAAAAAGGGATTTTTCAGAAAGTGATCATCATCGTCATGATGATGATTCAGGACTTGATTTGTCTCTTAAGCTTTAAAGGTTAATCCCCATTATATTAATTATTTCATACTTTATAGTATGAATAACGTTATAGGGTTTAAAGAGTTCCTACAGTTTTACTTTCTATTATTTTATCAGTTACCATTGTAGTAATTGGATTTATAATTTCATTTCAACATGAAAGTTTATGTCTATTGGGGATTGAACACTCCAATTTGAATTAGACTCTTCATATTCAACCATGCATTTTGTTTTCATTAAGTAATTATTAGCTTTTTAATTTACAAGATACCAAACTAATAATTATCTGTCATAGACAAGCATGGAATATCTTTGAAATTAAGTGGTTCAATTTATGGGCATGAGATACTTCTCTGTTTAAATAGTAGAGAAATCCCATCTAAAAAAGAGAAATTATGTAAAGTAAATAAAATATATATAACCGTGCATATATATATTTTTTTACCACAGCCATTTTAATATATTAAAATCGATTTATATAACCATATGAATGAAGCATTACTTAACTACTAAAATAAATATTTTTCACACACGTACACATAAATATTTACAATTCCTATAATCCTAATTTATCTTGATGACTTGACACAATATATATTTATATATATATATATAATTAAATTGAATAGAGCTAATTCTTTCCCTTATCCCCAAATTTTGTAGACAAAAATAAATTGAATAAAGTCATTCTTCGTTAATAAATTAAAAAAAAATCTTATTAAAGTCATGACAATTTGATCCAGAAATAAATAAAATTTTACTTTCTTTTCTTTTTAAAGGGGAAGGAACAATGCATGTAATAAGTGCATTTTCTTTTAGCTAGGCCAATATTTCATTATTCTTAAATCATAGTTTTTTCTTTTTTTTTTTAGATTTTGACCCTAAATGATCTTAGGAGTGAAAGCTTTTAATTCATGCTTTCCAAGTTTAAATGAAAAAAAAAAAAAAAAAAAAAAAACTAAACTGATGATTTGTTTCTTGTTTTGCATATTTCATAATAGTATTTATTGATCAGAGCATTTTATCATTTTTACCTCTCTGGGATTACAGCTAGCTTTTACATCGTTTTTCATTTTATATTACATTATTAAATATTATTTTCAAATTTACATGTGGTTTTTAAATTTGACAAGTCTAACCCTATTTAAAAAAATGAACTTATTATTTTTAAAAAAAAAACTTATAAATCTTTCTAATTTTTCCATTTTTAGTTATACATATTTTTATTAAATCTATGACTAATTTATATCAAAATAATATTTTAATTGTAGTTGAATATACAAAAGACAAGTACAAAGAGAAATAAATTTAGAGATTTGCTTATACCTCTCTTTTTTCTAGTCTGTTTTTTTCATTATGCTCTCTTTAGGTAATAACCTAACCCAAAGTTCAACATATTTGGATATATATCACGATTCATGCATCTTTAGTTCTAATTAGTTCTTTTTTTTTTTCTTTTTGTTCAGCAAAATTTTACTACCAAATAACTCATAAATAAGCAATTCTACAACCAAATTATATATAGGAAGCTCAAATACACTCAGAATTAAAAAAAACAAAAAAAACAAAAGGATTGCTCAGACATGTAATTAACACTAGTAAATCCTAGTTGTTTCTATTGCGACAATCAATAGTTTAAAACAACTTATGTCAAGAGAGTAACAAAAATGATGAGAGAAATGTTAATACAATCAAGTTTAAATTATTTTACAATCTTTAATCGGTAAACGATTTATAAATCCAAAATATTCACTGATAAAATTTTAATAAATTTATAAATTTTAATTGAATTGACGGCTTACTCTGACCTTAACCTTAAGGACAAAGTAACCTCTATTGCTCTTAAACTTTTTTGTACAAAAACAAAAAGAAAACAAAAGCTCACGAAAAATCTAAAGAGTTAGTGGGATGGGGTCCAAGATCAAACTATGACAAACACTAGAGCACTTCTTGAGATTTGTATCAGAGACAATCCCAACAATGTGGACATTTAGGTTATCTGATTTGGTCAAGAATGAAGCCTTAATTACTTATTAGTCTTTTTGCATGTTGGGTTTGGTTCAATCTTTGTGGAATAGGAAAGAAACGTTACCATGCATCATGTCAGAAGCCTTGAATCTTGTTCTTAATAGTTAAGGTTGCTGTCCAGGCAAGAAACATTGTGATTCTTAATCATGAGCAATAGCTAGCTAAGATTAAACAGAACCTGTTGAAATGAGGTGAACTGTTTTGTTATCCGATGGCATCCCCATTCTTAAGAAATTGAAATTTTCTGATGTTTTGGCTTTGGGTAAAGAGATACAAGTGGGTTGGTCACATATAAACTTGTTGAACTGTGGAATTCTTTTTTTGTTGCCCACCATTGAGCTTTCGAGCCTTTGAAACAAGCTCCTTCTAAGTAACGAGGCTAAAAACCAATATCAATAGTAATCATATCTAATAATCAGGCATAATGAAGCTGCCAGATCTGATCCTCAATTTTGGGGGTGAAACAGACGTAAATCAGTACAAACACTGAAAAATTAGTATTATAAATTATATATAGCTATCCATCGATCTAATTGCTCAAACCTACGGTGAATTTGACACCGGTTGCAGGCAACCATGACCGGCCGTCAATGAACCTTCCAACCGTGAAGAAATTAGCGGCTGAAGCATCTCGGATAATGTGGTAACCCGGCCATTTCACTCGTCCAGATAATGATGCACCAGGTCCATAATTCCTGTACTCACCATACCAAAGTGTTCTCAAGGCAAAGTCGCCATACCACTCTAGCCACCCTCTAGGCTGCACCAGACCACCCATGTAGGTGTTCATAAAAACTGTCCTGGAATATTGCTTCCATGGCCTCCCTAAATAGGTTGGTTGAGTGGCAAGAATATAGCTGTTCTGAATCGAAAACCCGGTGCGTTGATGGGGGCTTTTCCTTCCCTGAGCAGTGATTGTAACCTTCTGAAGTGGTAAGGGGACTCGAGTGAATATTTTGCAGTTCTGGAGGACAGCTGCACCATTGCCAAAAATGAAGTCTATGGTGCCATAAATTTTGCATTCACGGTAAAATTGGCGGAGGGAGTGAATGTAGAGGGTGTCCTGGTAGCCTTCCATGCTGCAACGATAGAAGGCGGATTGATCAGAATCGACTCGGAGAGCCACAGCCTGGTGGTTCTGGGGTCCGGCTGTGTTGCGAAATGTCAAGTCTCTTGCTATAAATCCCTTTCCAGAAACAGCTGCAAGAATCAAGTCATAAAGGGAAAATCATCATGTATATGTTATGAAAGGAAAGGCACATGGAATATTACAAAACTTGGAAACTTTTATTCCAGAAAAGCTTGTAGAAGCTTGTGCATTCCAAAATGGAATTTCACTTTACAAAAGCAATACTGCATTCAATCAATAGCATAAATTTGGCGTATGCAATACTTAAATTCCAGGATATAAACTCTGAATCCATAAGTCAAGCAATCTTTTCTATCATATCAAAAAGAAATATATCAAACTTAACATTTTCGTAAAAGTAAAAAACTTAAAAGGGATTCATGTAACTAGTCTTTACCAACGGTTGCAGTTCGAAATGTAGTCCATCCTTGCAAGAAATTCCTGTTCCCTGTCACAACAGTTTGTCCAATTCCATCCCCCACCAGCATAATATTGGTTTTTTTCCTCTTCATGTCAATGTTCTCCTTGTAAACTCCCTTCTTCACATAAATGATGTACCGCCTATTACTATAACTTGGAGCCTCATTGATAGCATCTGTGATCGTCTGATAATGCCCGCTTCCATCTAATGACACAACGGCATCTACGTGCATGCCTCGTGGTTTAGTTCGTAGAAGCTCTTGATCGCCATCAGTTATCCACTCTGGAAAGTTTGAGCTTTTATTTTTGGAAATGCTACTAAGAGGTGGTCGAAAGGGCAAGCTATTTAATTGAGTGTACATTGCTAAAACATTGCCAATAAGTTGTGTAACTTGTTTCAGGCTTCCTCTGACGAAGTTCTCAAGGTGGCGATCTGTGCCTTCAAAGCCTTCAAGGCAGGTGTCTTGGTTACTCAATGCAGCACTTAACCAAGCTTTCAGGTTGCCTTCGTATTCAGCATTTCTATTTCCATCACGAATATTTTGCATCTCAGCTAAAGACCAGGCCAACTCCGAGACAGAGAAATCAAGGAGTTCCTTGCAATCTTCAATTGCTATTTGTTCACGATAACTGACAGACAAACCAGTGAACTTCGTTATTGTTTCAACGGCTTGTCTTGCTTCATTAAGCGTGGCCCTGAGAGCAGCATGTAAAACTGAAGATGGGGTTTGAGGCCCTAAGCTTTGAAGCTCATCTTGTATAGTTGAGGGGCATAAATCCTGACTATCAATGCCTGTGCAAGCCTGTATGATCAATGCCAATGGTTGAGCGGTTAAGTTCTGTTCTTTTAAGGGGTTAACATCAGGTAAAGCTTGGAACGAAGGTAACAGTAAGAGAATAAGAAGAAAATTGGCAAAGGCCATTTTTTTGGGGGGTAGAGTTGGAGGAGAAAGACAAAGATATCGATGATTGTTGTTTTTACAGAATGTAATTTTATATGCAAGGAATTCAGGTGTTGTTTGCATTGAAAGAAAGGATTTGTCTTTTGAGTTATTACTTAACCTTCTTTTATGCTTTTCCCCTGACGAAGTTATTCTTTCTTTTAAGATCCTACGCTGATATTCTTTACCATTTGCCGCTTGCTGGTCAAGATGCCCGCTGTTATTTCCACACTAGCTAGCACCAAGTTCAAGCCATTCCACCGCACTGACTTATACTTCACAATGAAGCATCTAAGCCAGGGCTCGGGCTTTCGAATTAGGCCTGCAGGATGCTATATTAAGCTATCCAGTTCGGATTCGCCATGCGATTGTTCTAAACTCGAAGAATGAAGGAAAGTAATATTGATGACCTAAAGGAACCCATAATTACTTACAATAAATATAATTAATCCTCGTTGTGAAAGTTTAACAAGCATATCTGCAATTTTCACTATTTGATGCATTCTGCGAAGATGAAAACTGGTAATTTGACATGCATATCTAGTAGCAAGTCAAGTTATTGTTCTTTCAACACTAGAATTCCAAGTTTTCCACTGCTGAGATGACAAACTAGAGATCTTCCAATTAATTTCTTTTCTGCCATGATCCATGAACTCGAACCACCATATTAATATGATAGTTAAAATAATCTCGTCGAAATACAAATAAATAAACCACAGTCAAAGCAAATCCTAGCTGTAGTAACCTAAACCTAGTAGTCTAAAGCAAAATATAAACTTCAAACATGAATTTTATTCTGAAGAAAACGTTTGGAACTGGCTCTAGACCGCCGCATTAAAAGGAATTGCTCCTTTCCTAACCCATGGGCAAGGCACTTGAAAGCATAGGCTAACCTATTTCCCAATCCATGGACAAGGTACATATGGTTTATTCATTATTCTCCTTGTATACTCCCAAGAAGAAATCATCTAATCCCATCTTATGATGCAACCTCTAGCATGCAGGGCTTCAAGAATCTCCAATGAAAGCAAGAACCTTAGAGGGGCAAGTAGCTTGACCTTTTTAATCCGTATACAACAGGCTCTAAGTGCAAGTTCAAACCCTTCAATTGTGACATTGTCCAGGTGCACAAGCTTTGCCTCTTGCAGGCGTGTCAAGCTCCCCATCACCATGCACAATGCCATATCAGAGATGGCACAGTAGCTCAAATTTATCTGCCAACATAAGGGAATTTTATCACTTATTAATCCCAAAAACTTGCAATTGAAATTCCACCATCTGTTTCTATATACATTCCATAAAAAGGTTTCCCATCATGTATGTCCTTTATGCTGAAATGTGAAACAATAGATATGGGAGAATGGATGAGGCACCATTCAAAGAACCTAGCCTCCAGTTAATCCAACAACAAAGTAAGGGTTTTGCCATCAAGACAGAGGAACTAAGGTAGTGGGTAACTATACAAACACTTAATTGGATCAAAGCAGGACAAATGGACCCTTCATAGATGTCAAATGCTGTAAGAAAATAGGTATAATTAAAGAAGTATAATGCATTGAAGATGAATAGAATAACACCACAATGAGAGCAGCATTTAGACCCTAGAAGGTGAAGTTTTTTACTTACTTATGTTTTATGTTCAAGACTAGAAAGGATGATAGTGTATCATATTCGCCAAAATTATGCTTTATCCATGTTTTAACGGATCTGTCTACTGAGTTCAGTAGGATAGTCCTCATTATTCTTCTTTTTTCATATCCTTGCATCCTCCCCATCCTTCTTTTTGGTATCTGTATTCGTACTTACATATTTATGTTCAATTATTATAGTAGAAAGCCATCACCGATATCGTGTAATTCAAATCAGACAAACTATACCTGTCGAAGGTTCCTTGAGTAGTAGGCAAGTGCCCAAAAGCCAGAATCGTCAACTTGCTCACAGTGTTTCAAATCCAAATCTGCCAGTCTCTTACATCCAGCTGCAACTACTTCCAAACCTGCACCTGTAATTTTATTAAGCCCCCGCAATTCCAGATCAGATAGTTCCTCTAGACGACCAATATATCCTAGTCCTCTATCAGAAACTTCATTGCAGTATGACAAGTTGAGCTTCACCAACTTCTTGCAACCTCTAGATAAAGCATCTAAACTATCATCACCAATACCTGTACACCTGCACGTCCAAATTGACAGATATTTACCCTTCTATTAACAATTTAAGGAAATATAACTTTACCCTCTAATTGATTTTTAAACTTATTTTACCGGTATAGATCTAGTTCATGGATCTTGGCACAGCTAGAACTAATATAGAAGAGTCCTTTGTCTGATATGTTTGTGCAAAGTCCTAGTTTCAAGCATGAGAGTTCTGAACATCTAGATAAGTATTCCAGTCCTGCAGATAAGAATAAAACACAGTAATCAACTAAAAGAGTGATGGAGTTAGAAGCCTGATAAAGTCACCAAAATTATTGGATGGCAGGAGTAAAACTGCAAGAATAAGTTGCACAACGGGAAATAAAATGAAAATAGATCATGGTTCAAGACTGTAACCATTAAAGTTAAACAAAGTATAGTTATAATGAATACACTTAAAATTATGCAAACAATAAACTCTAACCTTTGTCATTTACACCGCAACAATCTGTTAGATCAATCTCCTCCAGCAGCAAGCAAAAGGATCCAAGCTGACAGAGACCCATCTCAGAAATCATATTACAAGACTCTAGCTTTAGACATACAAGGTTTCTGCATGAGTCCGCTATGGCAGAAATTGCAGCATCAGTAATGAAATGGCAGCATGTTAGATTTAGGACTCTCAAATTAATGCAGCCAGATACAAGTCTCATTATGCCCATGTTGGTAACCCCCACACATTTGCTTAGCCCAATTTCTACCAATGACTGGCAATTGGAGCGAATAACATGGAAACTAGACTCAGAAATTCTAGTCCCATCAATTCTGATAACTTCAAGGTGCTTTAAGTTCTTTATCCAATGCAGAAGGTTTGTAGAAAGCTCCTATCATGAAAACCAGTGTTCAGCATCCATTAGTTGAATTGGCAAAGTCATACTACTACAGACCAAATCCAGATACATGATCTTGGCTCTTAATAACATTGACAAAACACAAGAAGCAGGCAGCCAAGAAATTACTTACTGAAAGACAGTAACCTGCATTAAGCTCCAGAAGATTACCATGGCCTCTAACAACAGGGATTAAACCACATGAACTCACTCCTTCGCACCTTGATACATCAATTACCTAACAAACAATAGAAAATAAGCTTAATTCCAAATTTTTCTTTGCATTTTCATGTAAGCATTTGGTTCTATTATTAAAAGCAATACTATGTATACGCAAAACATTTATTGGCAGATGTCAAAGTTTCCTACCTTCAGTAAAGGGCATCCACGCTCAATAAACTGTAATCCAATGTCATCGATTAAAGGGCACGCCATCAAACCCAAAACCTCGAGCTTCACCAGAGAAGCAATAGACTGAAGTGATTCATTTGTCACCTAAAACCAAACGAAATATCCCAGGACATTAAGACATCGACACTCTGATCCTCAAATATCTAAGGCATAAAATATACCCAAAAAAGAATACATCAAAACAACTCAGAAGAAATTTAGTATAGTTTCAATGTGTTTACACTAAAGCTGCTTTGACATCCTGAACAGACAAACTTAAGCATACAAAGAATTTGCTTCGGCCAAAGCTGAGCTCAATTCTTATCTCATCTTTTATCATTTTTTCCTGTCTATTTTCTCACCAAACATGGCATTGAAGAAGCCAAAATCATTCAAAAAGCCAAATTCAGAAACCCCACTCATTAATTTTTCTCATCACCCAACAGAGTAAATCACTTAAACATACACAATAACAGAAACAAACCTTCAAAAAAAAAAAAAAAAGAACCAACCTTGAGGTAAGAAACATCAAGGTACTTCAAATCCACGCATTTCTTACACAAAAGATCGACACCAAGATCAGTTATCTCCATACACCACTTCAAACTCAACTTCTCCAACTTCAAACATCCGACAGCGATCTTGACCAATCCGACATCGCTCAGTTGCAAGCACTTATCCATCTTTAACTCCCTCAACCCAACCGCAGACGACAAGGCAGCCGCTTCCCTGTCACCAAACCCACAACAATACGACACGTCTACGCTCTCCAAACACGGACATGCACGTGCCAACATCTCCAACCCCGAGAACCTCAACCCCGTCGCTCGACTCAGTATTAAACTCTTCAGTCCCCGAGTCCAGTTCGCCCAATTCAGTGAGCTCGAACCCGGACCAACCCGAGTTAAGAGCAATGAAACGACTCCGTCGTCAATGCGGGGACAAGCGGAGAGGTCGAGAGATTGTAATTGAGGGTGCTTGATGAGAAGACTCGGCAAGAACTCTATTCGGAGAACTCGGAGATGCTTCCTGGTCAGTGAGTCAATTCGGCAGAACTCTCTGCAAACGAGTCGAAACGATTTCCGATCCGATTCAGCGGCGATTTTCTCTTGGACTCGGACCAGTAGATCTTCAGTTAATCTAAAGATATTATTGTTCAACTGAAACGACGACATTTTGGGTTTTAGCAAAAATCAAAATTTTAAAAAACCAAAAAAAAATCTGAAACGACGACACTTCGGGGGGGGGGGGTCCTTTTTCAGGTGGGAACAAACAAGAAGACGACTCGGAGATAGAGGAGAGGGTGGTGGGTCGGTTTACAGAGAGTCCGAATCAGGCTAAAACTGTTCGTTCGGGTCGGGTTCATTTTCCGAGTTTCTTTTCAGAGAAGAAAAAAAATCTAAACTTTTTCGGGTAGGTTAAAGAGTTGCAGAGAAAGCGAGGAAATATAAGGAGAAGACAACGAAACGCTGGGTCTAATTTACTGAAATCATTGGCAAAATCTGGGCCGTTGGATGTAAGGAAAAAGAGTATTTGACCAGACCGAAAAGGACACGCGGCGAAAGGAGAGGGAGAGAGTAAAAAGTAAGAAGGCAGTACTGAAAAGTACGAGATGTTGTGCGTAAGAGATTAGATAAGATTAGGATTGGGCAACGGGCATTTATGTAAGACGCTGTACCGCAATTTCTACGAAAGATAGAGAAAGGAAGCTGTCCGAAAAGATTACTGTTTTGTACGGTTGTTGACGTGGAAATTAATTTATTTTATTTTGTTTTGTGTGGGGCTCACTTAAAACGTGCACTGGACCGTACCTATCTGTTTGTTTTCGTTCCGACTCTGAAATTTGAGGAAAAATGTCAAAAGAAAAAAATTTTTGAATTAAAATTTAATAATTACTAAATTTTTATTTTTTAATTAATTAAATCTTTAAATATTTATTTTCTTCATTTTAAAATATTTTTCATATATTAGTTTTAAAAAAATTTAAAAAAAATTAATTTTAATATATTTAATATTAAATTTTAAATTTTTTTATAAAATTAAAATTTATTGATTTTTAATATCAAAAAATAAAAAATAAATTTAAAATATAAAAATTAAAATTTATATGTTCAAAAAAATAAAATATAATTTTTGAGAAATAAAAAAGTAAATAAATAAATTTTGACAAAAAGAATATTTTATTAATTAAACTCTTGTTAGAGAAAAGTAATTAATTATTTTTGTTTTATTGAAGGATTAATTAAGTAAAACGTAAATGTAAAAAAATTTACTTAGATAAATATAAATACTTAAAGATTTAGTTGATTTAAAATAAAAAATTTTAAATTTAATTAATTATAATTAAATTTAAATTGTAAAATAATTATTAAATTTTTATTTAATGACTTTTTTTGTTGTTATGCTAAAAAAATTTCAAAGTGGTAAAGTCAAAATTAAGACTAATATAATAAGAGTAAAAAAAAAATTAATAATTACTCCATATGAAAATGAGGTGAGGGACCACATTTGACACCCAACACAAGCATCTAGAACATTTGATTGGGCCATTATATGACTATACAATTTGGCCCTTTTCTTTTTAATTATTAAAGAATTTAATTGTAATCATGTGGGAATTTTTTTTGGTAATAGTATTTTCCTTTTGGAGAAAATATTTTTCAGTTTTCAAGTTGTTTGGTGGCCAAGTTGGAGGGACCAAGTCTTTTTTTTTCATTTGATATACACTATAAATGGAAAGAGGAGTAATTCAAATTCATAAAATAAAAAATTTAAAAATTTTACTTAATCATATGCTTTTGGAAAATTGATCTCATTAAGTATATTTATCTTATTATTATTGTTATTCTCTTCCTTTCTCTGTAAATAATTTTGGCCTTCCATTCTCATTTGGGATCAAATTGTCATAGTCACAAATGCTAAAACATTTATTGAGAAACTTTGACAATAAGTAAAAATGCAATCTCTAGTATACAAAATTTGAATAAATTATATGTTATTATAGATTTGATAATTCGTGTATTAATATTATATAAAATATTAAAATTTATGTAATTTTTATTATATTTTAATAAAAATTACATATCATAATTCGTATAAATATAAAAAAATAAAATATTTTTTTTTAATTTTATTAAATTTATATATAATTATTATTAAAATTTTAAAATATATAATTATTATTAAATTTTTAAATAATATTAATTTTATATTATATTTATATCATATTATCGTATTATATTTTATTTTTATTACGTTTATATTGTTGGTTGGAGTGGTGGCTGATTTCAAGTCTCAGCTCCCAACTGTAAACGGCCAGTGCGGCATTTAGTTGAGGGCCATGTGATTTTATGGATGAAGCTCTCTGCTATCTTATTAATTTTATCTACACAGGGCACAAGGAACATGCCGCATGGCACATGGCGCATGGCGCATGGCCATGGCACAGTGATGATAATTGATAGACCAAGTCCATGGCCATGGCTCCTTGATAATCAACACAGCTTATACAGTACATTGCACTTTGCAACTTTCGCGTCTAACTTTTTTTTTTTTAAAGAGAGTCGTAAAGAAAGAGATTATAACTATTAGACTTAAACTTACTTAATGTTTTTTTTTTTTTTTTGTCTACTATCTTTACAATCTTAACCCAAATTTATGAGCTTTTCCTAATCTGGATGGTATCCCCATTTTTCCATGTCAAAGTCAAGCTTTCTGGTCATGGCAAAAAGCCATTGCTTCAGAATCTAGAAATCATGATAGTAGTGCTAACCATCTTGCATATCAGAACAAAATAATGATCATTTCACCAAATCCATTGGAAGCTTCTTTGAAGCAGCTAAATTTGTGTAGGAATCAGTTTCAATACCAATGCTCTTTTTGTACAAGTGGGAATAGCTTTAATCCCATTAGCATCTCCCATTGAACTTGCCTGTCATCCTTCTATTTCACAATACAAGATTGCAGATTGAACATGAAAATTGAATGGTAAAAGCATCAGATATGCAAGTATAACAACATTGTCTTGCAAATTGTGTGCATATTTTTCCATTTCTGATTAAAAAAAAAAATGTTGCAAAATCTTTTCGTTTCTTATGTAATGATCCCTCGCTTGTACAGCATTTCGCAACCCTCGACTGGTGAATGGTTAGATGCCAGTTGCCTTGTGATACTGTCATCTTCATGTTGTGCCATTACTTTGTTAGCATTGCAATACCAAGGCTGTAGATAAGGTGAAGTACTGGATGTGGATAGTGAAGAAGGATGAAGTACTACAGAACCCCAGTCTCGGGTACCGAGTTTTGCTTCCTTCAACCTCCTCCTTATTAACAAATTTCCGATATCTTCCTTACTCATCTCTGATACGGTCCTAAGTATCGAGACACAAAGTAGAAGCACCAAAATAGCATCTTCTTCGGGCAATAGCTCTACCACCAATAGTTTCCAATTCAACAGGGCTGTCGCTCTTCCTTTTGGGTTCTCTTCTGTGAACCTTACAAGAGTCACGAATCCATCATCAATTTCCTTTTCGTCTTCAGCTAGTTTGCTTTCAGCTTCTTTATCAGGACACTCTACCGGTGACTTAGCTGTCTTGTCTTGATATTGCATTTTCCTTCCCCTCAACAACATCGCCTGCAAAATAATGTATGCGGTTCATATTCAAATTACTGATTAGATATCAGAAGGATCAATAACTAAATGTTGAAAGAAAATAAAATCTTCAACTTACAGATGAATCTGACGATTCTTGACTTTTCAGACAAAAGCTCAGGCCAGAACTTGATGTTGAAGATCCCCAATTTATCAGTAATTCATCTCCAGTTGAAAAATGCCATGCCGCTTGCCACTGCTCTGGAGATTGTTTTGGTGTTGCTGTTCCTACCACTTTCTCTGCACTAGATGGCAACAATAACAGCAACAATGTATAAACTAGATTCCACAGCATGTAAAAGCCATAGGTCCTGTAGAATCTTTTCATGGCTGGAATAGAAATCTAAAAGCCAGTTCAGATGCTTATAGGAAGATTTTGACACTGGAAAACTCGTAGTTGGTTCATCACTGTCAAAGAAAACCATTGCTTTCCTGCTATACATATTACAAACAAATAGACTAAAGCAACATACCAGGAGCTTTGCCAATTGAACCAGCAACATAAGACCAAGAACCTTCACGTATCTCAATTATCCTATCCTCCCAATTTACGGAAGAAGGAGTTTCAGCTCCTCTTCTCCAAAACCCTCCTCCCACTCTGCCACACAGCCAAAGATAATTTGTATACCTGGATAATATAAAAAGCTGTTCTTTCTCAGAAAAGTGGCAAAAAGTGGCAAAAACATACCTTATTCTAACAACAAAACACTCTCTTCCAGCATGGTCTAGAACTGTGCGAGACAGCCAACGACCTTTTTGAGGCCGATAATTGTTTTGTTTCAGAATCACATCAGATATCATGGCTCCTGAATCATCTGTGACTCTATCTGGCACACATTTCAACAAGTATGATGCTTGAACTGGGGGAGTTATAGAAGCAACGATCCTCACTTGATCAATTTCTCTTGTCAAAGTAATAGAGGGTGCCCTCAGCAAATCATTCCAATAAAATGCCATTGAGTTCAGCAATTTACTTCCTTTGAAGCGGTGACTACCACGGCCACGAAGCTCAACCATAAGTCCTTTTGTTCCAAACTCAGGGTACAGATGCCAGGCTTTCCACCATGTATCATACAAAAAATTGGTGATTGGTTTATCAAGTTTGAGCTCCCTGTGACATCTTACCATCCGGAGACGCAAAAAATTGTGTTTTTTGTCTCCATTTTTTGCCTTCATCCGAGCATTGAACCTCACAAAAACACAAACCTACATTGTTATGCCACAAAACCAACCTATAAGTTGATCTTAACTTGATAGAGTAACCTAATGGCTAATGCTAGACCGCAGCACCACACATGCTATGCCTTGCAGAGTTTGAAAATTTTTCTACGATGAAATTTGAAATATATATATATATATATAAATAACTAGCTTCTCTTAGGAATCATTTATATTAGATTACAATTTTCTAGAAAACTCCATCAAATGCCACAAACTGAGAATGAAATCTGAGAATGTTCAAATGGAGTGGATCTCATTATTGTAAGCCTCCTTTAAGAAAACAAGAAACCATTTCATTCAAGATGAATCTGTGCAAAAGGTGTCATTTCCTACTCGGTACATCTCTAGTTCCCTTTGCCATATTCCTTTTCTTCTTCCGTTAGTTGATTAGCAAAAGGAAGTTTGCATGTGATTTACATCACCAGTAACTCAACCATCATAATCAATTAAGTCATTCTTCCAAGACCTAACATATATAGATACAAGTATACAGCTCTAATTAAAGATCATTCCTCTCCAAAGCCTTTTCTTTTTTGTTCTTTTAAATTAAGCACAAAAGCTTCAATTGGTATTTAAATAACCCAAAGTAGTTTCAGAGTGGTTTGGAATCTTAGTGCTTCTACCAACCTTTATGTTTTCAAGCTATGGACCTGATCACAGTCCTTGAGCATCAAAGAACTTTTTAGAGGGAGAGAATAATAAAGGGGAAGAAGTAATCTAATAAGGTTAAGGGTTACTAAAATTACCTCAAGTAGGAACCTTGGGATCATGGACTTGTATTTAGTGTTGACATCTACGTCAGAAACCTCCCAATATAGCGGTGGCTTGGCCAAGATAACCTTATCCAATTCCACTGCTATCCCACCTCCAGCTTTCTCATATGGTTGATCAAAGGTTCTCTCCCAGAGATTCTTGGTTTCTTCCACCTCTTTCTCTTCTACAGTCTTCCATAACCCCACTGCCTTCCCCATATAATCCCACATGTCCTTCAAATCCTCTACATACACTGTTGGATAGCTCTGGTTCATTGCACATCATATAAAAATTGAAATATGTGACAACAATAAAACACAAAAAAAATAGATAAATATTTAATAAATGTTATTATCAACCATTATATATAAAACAAGTACTAAACTACTTAATCGATAACATGACTGTAATTACAATTGTGAAAGATAAAAGAATGACAGAAACCTTAATCCTTAATCATCACAAATTAATTAAAAAAATCTACCTGATGAGTCAGCAGCATTAGTAGAATATCCAAAGCAGGCACAAACCCAAAGCATCCATCTCCAAATCTTTGCATCATGTACAGAAATCCTCTGTATCTTTGTCTAGCTGCTATCAAATACACTAGCTCACACATATATGGTTCTGAAAATTTTGAATACAAAAACCTTTGCTTTTGAACTTCATTGAAAAGATCTTCATTGATCAATAGTAGGTCTTGAGAATCTGATTCCACTTCATTCTCAAAAGGCTCAGATGAATATCTTTGGACCCAAATTTCTTTACATCTCATCAATGCATACTCTTCATTTTCTTCATTGAAAATTGCTGGTTTTCCAATTAGTTTTGAGAACCTTGATTCACAGTATTTCCTATAACTAACCTGTAAAAATTTTTACAAAAAAAGTTCATTTTTTTGGGTCAAAAGAAGGGGGGAAAAAACCCAGAAAAAGGATTAGCTTTTTTAATCTTTCAAGTCCAAATAATCGAAAAGACTACAAATATCTTTTCCTTTGTTTGTCTTGTCAGAGATTTCCTATCAACCAAACAGAATTCCCAGTGAAAAAATACAAATAAAATCATTTTTATACAAACCATAAAAGAGTCCAAGAAAATTTAGCATTCTATTGTTTGCCAAGAAATAGTAAAGAAAAGATTCAATTTTCAAGTAAATTTTGAAAAGACCGTGAAAACTTTCTTTTCCTTTTCTCACACTCTCCCATCAACCAAACAGAATTAACAGTCAAAAGCATTGCATAGTTTACTCTTACAGGATTCAAGGTGTGACAAAACCAAACCCATTCAACATCAAAAGGTGGCAGAACCATAGGAGGCGTTGACCCCTCCACCGTCAGATCAGAAATCAACGGCATCCAGACCTCATCATACCTAAGAAAAGGAATCCTCGTCACATTCAACCTCAATCATCTGAACGGATTAATTCTCTTCAAAAAAAAAAAAAAAAAACCTGACCTCCGTATTGCTTCAATAATTGTTGCTCTTTGTTGAAGCCACTGACACTCATCAACACTTCTCAAGAATCCAATATTTCGTCTCGCCGCCGATACAAGATCAACACCGAGATGTACCGTGTCCGTCTCGGATATCTCGCTGAGACTTCTTAATGTCAACGATGACATGTCGTTTAAGGTTTGGTTAGACATTTGTCGGACTTGTGATTGAAACATGGGTGAGCTTCGGCTTCTGTTTTGTAAGTAACATGTAATAAAGTACGATGAACATTAATTTAAGTTTTTTATACGTAGGACGTAGTGTGGTAAAGAAAAAATTTTGGTTAGGTTTCAGGTGGGGAGTGTCGGGAAGTGTGTAAGAACATGGAGTTGTAATAAATTAGTGACGGTGGAAATATCTTTGTCCTAATCGTAACATGGAGTTGGTTTAATCTCTGCTATGATTATTTAATGTGAGCTCTTTTTTTCTTTTTTTTTTTTTTGGTAAAGCCCTTGAGGGAGGAATGGAAGATCGTGAGACTAGAACTCAACGCATATCTTTCTCCAAGTTTCTTAGCCATTAAGTTAATAATAGATTTGGTAATTTCGATAAATTGATTCGAAACTAAAATAATTAAAAAACTATATATATATATATATATATTTTTTAAAAAATTTATATTTATATTAATATAAATTTTAATATAATATAATTTATATTTTATACGTATTAATATGTTTAAATATATTATATGATATAAATAATACATTTAATTTAATTTTATCATATAAATATATTTTAATATATTTAACGCATTTAACATATTTTATATTTATTTTAATTTAGTATAAACATATAAAAATTATTTTAATTTTTAATTTTTTAATTATGATACTTAATTAATTATTTATATCATGTAAAAATTATTTTAAACATTTAATTATAATATTTATTTAATTATTATTATAAAATTATTTTTTATATTAATAATATAAATACAATATAAATATTAATATGAGTACTATAAATTATTATTTTATCTTTAATCTTAAATAGTATATCTTTTTGAATTTGATGTTAAAAATTAATATAGTTATGTAATATATATTAAAATTGAAATATAAATTAAATATATACTAAATGAGTATTAAATTTTTTATTTTTTAATATGTAAGTATTTTTTTATATTATTAATATGTCAAATTTATTAAGTTATAAATGATAAATAGTTTATAATTATTTATTATTTTAATCATGTTAGTCGTGTCTATTTGTATATATTCGTGTTAATCATGTTTATTCATTAATATCCATATTATTCATATTTATTCGTGTCATATTTAAATAGATTAATTATAAGTGTGTTAATCATGTTATGTTATATGTAACACGTATAATGAATGTGCCGTGTTCGTATTTAAGGTTTAAAAACATTTTAAAATTTGTATCATGTTTGTATTTTAATAATTTATAACATTATATATGTCAAATATAATACAAAATACGATACAAAAACACAAATTGTTAGATCTAGTTAAGAGGTAAAAGATTAATATGAGATGATTTGAAAAGCCATGTAAACTAACCTAGTTACTTTTGAGAGGTGAGTTACTTAAATTCAATTCAAAAAAATTGACATAAATTCGTTATTACGAAGTTGTGTTTAATGAAATGAATCAAATTTAAATAATTTAATATTAATTCAAAAATTTATAAAATTAATTAATTTTTTATTTTTAATATATATAAATAAAGAATAAAATATATAATACTTAATATTAATATTTATAATTTATTGAACTTAATCATATTTATCGCATCAAATTAAAGTGATTTAATTAAATTATGAATTGAATTTTAAAATAAAAATAAAATTTGATTGAATTTAAATTTTTAATATCAATTTCAAATCTGATAATACGATGATTGAATTCGATTCAATTATACTAAGATAGAAGCCAAAATAGCTAAGCTACTCCACTTTCTTTTTGCATTCTTGCATAAGGATATTCTCACGTCAAATCTTACCTTTCTAACACAATGTTCCTTAATGTTCTCTTGTGATTTGTGGCTTAACAAGTTTATGACATAAATTTACAGAGAGATCAAGCAAATGACTCAGGGCAAACTTTTCTTTCTCATGGTTAAATCAATGACTAAGGTGTCATCATCAAAAAATGGTCCAACTCCATAGCAAAGCAAGGCGTGAAAACCAGCAAGGTAGTGGTAGATGATGCTAACCCCAGATGTTACCATTTCCCATTGCAATGATGAGCTTTTTGCCCACAGCCTGACAGGGACAGCCACAGCCCCTGTTTTCTTGCTCAGCCTTTCCCTTTTATTCTTTGATTTGTGTTGTCCACGTCAAGAAGAATGTTGCTCATTGGTCGCCAGAAGAAAATTATAAAAAATATGAAAATTGTGAATATGAAGATTTTAATTTTTGTGGGTCAATTGGTTCGATGTTGCTTTCATGGTTTCTATTTTTTCTGCAAAATGAAAGGCAACTTTCTTAACCAGTATGTTTCATAGGAGCCCAAATGGGAAGGATCTGAAATTTGAATGAGACATGACAGATCCATTGAATTTGGTCTAGTTATGTCAATTAAATCTCAAAATTTAAAATACGATAGAATTACAAAAAATATATATATAATTTAAAATTTTAATAATTATTATATATAAATTAAAAAAATAATAAAAATATATTTTATATTTTTATATTAATATAAATTATAATCTAAATTTTTATGTACATAAATTTTAATACATTACACATCAAATCTACCGTAAATGCAAAATTTTCAAACTCGCAACAACTAAAGAAAGTACGGGCCAAAATCTCAATTCACAATCACAAGTCAAATAATAAAAAATTTTTATTTTTGAGATTTTGTTTTTTTTTTAATTTAAATTTAATATTTTAAAATATAATATAATAATATAATATTAACATAATATAAATAAAAAAAATATTTTATATTTTTATATCAATACAAATTATGATAACATAATTATTTTATAAAATATAATATAAATATATAAATTTTAATATTTTATATGAAATAAATACATTAATTATAAAATTTATGTTGAATATAAAGCTAAGCGCCAAAACATCTTATCCACCCAACAACTAAAGAAAGTAAGGGCCAAAATTTCAATTCACAATCACACATCAAATAATGAAAAACTTTTATTTTTGAAACTTTTTTTTCTTCGAATATATAATATAAAAGATAGTTAAATTTTTTAACTTTAGATTGAAAATATTACATATCTCATTTTTTTTTATTATTATAACTAAAAAATATGTATGACGAAGATTTGAATACAATAGAAATTTTAATAAATTAAAATAATGACAAGACAAAAAATCTTATGACCCAATGGGCAAGGCCCAACCAAATCCTAAAACAAACTTTAAACCTAAATCCAATCTAAAGTTCAAAACATATCCAATTCAGCCCACGAAATCATCACTCGTTATGCCTAGCATTGAATAGATTGGGTATTCGCCCTAACAATATCTCAAATCAATGATAGGTTCGATTCGGATCTTACCTAAACGACACCTAAATCGAACCGAACCATTTGTTAGGCTGTTGTTTTCTTGTTTTGTTCCTTCAAAGTAATGGAGTAAGACATCGATTTCTCATAAAAATTAAATTTTTTTATTGCATGATAAACTCCCTTGAAAAACATTGGCGCACATGTAAACGAGATGCTCTACCTAATTGAGCTATAGTCTTTGTATTTGTGATACATATTTTATCATATTATTTAAATAATTTCTTGTTAAGATGAATATTACATGATTCAACATTGTAATCGTATTTCTTTAATCGATTTGATTGATATTGTTAAGAAGTAATATCGAATTTATAATCCAATTAACCAAAACCTAACTTCTTTTTCTTTTATTTTTTTCAATAATGGAATCAAATTTGCTTGATCCTAAGTATGGCTACTGGCTATTGTATTTATCATCCAATAAACTAGTGTATTTATCATCCAATAATAATGTCATTAAGATTGATGTTGAAAAATAAAAATTTCAAACTACAAAGTAAATATTTGACAAAAAAAGTTAATCTCACAATCTCAAATATGATAAAAAAAAAAAAAAAAACAAAACAAATATAAAATATAAAAATAATATAATTTAAAATTTTAATAAAAATTAAAAAAAAATTTAAAGTATATATTTTGTATTTTTATGTTAATATAAATTACAATAAATAATTTTTACATAAAATATAATTCAAATATACGAATTATTAATATTTTATATTACACAAATATATATGAATTATCAAATTAGAAAAAACAAACCCTTTTATTGGAAAATTAAAATTTTAGCCAACAGGCTAAAAACCCATTGAAGAGAATTTTTCTAAGATTAATTTTGATAATTACTGTGTTAGGAACAAAATAGAGAAAATTTATAAAAAGATTAGTTCCCTCAAAATGTATCAAATTGATATTTTAATCATTCAATTATCAGCATTAGCATGGTTTTAAAATTTCAAGCATCATTGGGAACATTTAACAACACAAAAAAAATAATAGTAATAATAAATTAAGAATAAAATTTAAAATTAAGGAAACAAAGCAAAAATAAAGTAAAAAAGGGTAAAAATAAAGGAAAATTCCAACAAAAAATCAAAATTTTAAGGGAAAAAATGATGGTTTAGGCTCAGATAAATGTTGGATTAAGAGTAAATTCCCAGACCTTTTAAAAAGGTCTCATAATGAGCTGGGATTAAACATTTATCATCATCGACAAATTTTTAAAACTGGGGAAACAAAAGGCTAAAGAGACTAATCAAAATAAATTAAACCTCCTTTTTAACCAAATCTGCAAAAATAAAAAATATGAAGAATTGAAGAGAAAGACAGAAACTGAGAGTCACAATGAAGAACGAGGCTATACGAAAAAGAAAGCAGGTTTTTAAAGGGGACGATGAGAAGGTTAGGGTTTCCGGTTTGTTTCAAATTTAATTAGCCTTTTTTTCTTTTTCATAATACCCTTTACTTTTATTTTAATTACAATTGTACCCAAATATGTTAACTGGGTCAAAAGCCCAAAGTCTTTTCGGGCTAGTTCATGGATCCAGAGAGCCCATTCTATTGCTTTTTTTCTTTTCTTTTCTTTTCCTTTTGTTAAGACAAAAAGGATTATAAATTGCAAAGGCTAAAATAGTAAAAAAAAAATCCTTTAATTTTTTTTTATCAAGTAAGGCTTTATATTTTTATTATATTTGAATAAATTTTTATTTTTTAATCTATATTCAAATAAATTTTTACTTTAAAAGAAAAATTAAATTTTAATTTGTATTTTTTTATATGTTTTTTTCCTCCTTTTCTTGCCTTCCTTTTACTGTAGTAACCACTAAAACATGTTTCTAAGACATGTAAGATCATAATAATATCAATTCAAGATAAGTAATTATTTCCATCCGAATGTAAGTTTGGAAAGTTTCCATTTATTATTCATGCGAAACTAACTGATATTCCACCAATTAGAAACAAGGTTGTTCAGGTAAACCAAAATTTTCTAATTCAGTAACAACTCTCTTTCCTAAAAAATAACAAAAAAGAAAGTGAAGAGCTCTGAAATCATGACAACATTTTTGGAAAAAGATTTTATTAAAGTTTAGCCAAATATGGAATCAGCCATCAAATCATTTGGCTAGCCAAAAGGCTTTTTATTTAATTCACAACTGTTTCGGCCTCAGCTCAATCCCCTCAACAACCAGTCCTCCTTTCAGGTGCGTCCCTGTCACCTCCTTTAGACACATCTTTACTTCTACAGCACCTCCATGATTATAAAAATGTCCCAATTTAATCTCAATCCACCCATCTTCACGCTTGCCAGGAACCCTTTCTTCAATTCTTCTAAAAGCCCTTGATCTCGGAGCTTCAATCTGATTTGAAAGCCAGATAGTCTCTAACCACTGTTTCTTACTTTCATATTGGCGTAACCAAGCTGTCCCTTCTGATTTAACATGTCCAACTTCAACTGAAACTTTTGATGGTAAAAGGTCTAGTCCATATGCACGATCAAAAAACTTCACAATTAAATAAGCTTCATAGACTATATTTGGAGACAGCATCCGAGAATTTATTGTGCCTCCGATTTCCAGCCACCAGATGGTTCGAAGTTCAGCAACTTCAGAAAATCTGAGAATGAAAGAAGCTGCTTAAATGTACGTCTGCTATATATAAAATGGAACATTGCAGGGGAAACCAAGATAGAAAATGTGAGACGACCTTGATTCTGTGAAGGGTTTCCAGGTCCAGAAGAGAGGGTTTTCTGCCCATGTAATATTCAACTCCCTGGCACTCAACACATAACGCTTTTTACCTGATGACTTCTCTAATGAAAACGTCTGTCAATTGAAACTGATGAATTATCACCATGTTGATAATTGATTTGAATGTTATGAAAAAGAATAGAATAAAGGAAAGGAAAGAAATTGAATTGAAAAACAGACGATTTACCTCTTTTGTTAAAAAAAAAAAAAATCTTATTCAACTCATGCCTCAATTTGTTGAATACAAGATAAGCTTGGAAATGAATAATATAATGATCCGAAACGAAGAAATGATTAAGAAGGAAAATTGGCGACAATAGTTGAATTATATATATATATATATATATATGCAAATATAATCAATAGCCATCCAAGTTGAGAAATCATGACATTAACATATGCCATCTCTCATTTTGGCATGGTATTGGAATGGGGCAGTTTTCTAATTAGGCCATCCTTTGCATCCACAGGTGGCGAAACAAATATGAATTTTTAAATGAAAAACTCATATTTGATCCACCACCTGTGCACACAAAAATAGCTTAATCAAACTGTTTTTACGTTAAATTTTCTTTTAAGTATTAATTTATGAGATAAAATTGAAGAGGTTATACTATTTGTGTACACACATGTTTTCTATGGATCAAAATGAGCTCACAATCGGAGTAATTGATCCATCAATGGTGTGTGAACCCAACATAGTAAGCCTTGTGAATTAATATTAGGAAGGTCGTAATCTGAATATAAGAAAATAGCAATGAATTGAAGCTGACTCAATATTCTATAATTTTGTGTTGAATTTGTTTTTCATTTCCTTTTTAGAGTATTTTTTTTCTTGTAATATCAAAGAAGTCGTAATTTAAGAATAAAAAAATAAATTATAAATGTTAGAATTTAAATTCATATGTATTGAATATCATTTTTAAAAATTATTATATGAATCAATTGAGTTAAATTTTAAAATTTTCATAATATTTTTCATAAGATAGTAAATAGTATATAAATTATTTTTTCTTAGTAAATTAGCTACTTTAATAAACTAGGGATCTGACATTAATTTGCTAGTTTTGAAAAAAGATACCATACATTATTAAATTTTCAGTTGATAGTACCATGTTCAAGTATCGAGTACATGAAGTTGATTCAAATTTTCAATTGAAATTTCAAGTGCTGAAATTAAATTTGCTTTACCTTATTGCCTCCATCAATTAGATGCGGGTTACATAACCTGAAGAATAACTCCTTGGATGAGTAGTAAACCAATGGATGCAGTAACCTGGAGAGAATGTCCTGATAATCTGATGGCAGAAATTTCTGCCATACATTGTCCGAATTAGCTGAAATCCGAACCGCCGACGAAACGAGAGAGATTCGACATGCATCAATGGGAGATGTGAATGACAGAATATGTGCAAAACAATCGTCAGGCAATAGATCCAAATTCATTTTTCAAATCAAGAAAGGGAAACAAAGAAGGAGAAAAAGAAAGGCATGACATTGAATGAATTATTGCTTGTGTTTCACGTCTCATGGAATCATGCATTGAACGAGTAGTTTATAGTAAACATGGCGTGGTCAATGTATCGTTAATATGACAACATATTGTTGGCTCTTGTTTACATGACGACATGAAGACAAGATATGAGCACATGATCATGTAATAGAATATTGTTTGTTGTTAACTTTATATTTTAGATATCCCTTTGACTTGGATGTAAAGAATCTTGGCCATTTAATACGGCACTTAATTTGAATATATATATATATATATATATATATATATGTATATATCATCTATATATAAATGTACGAATTATAAAAATATTAAAAATGATCGATTTAAATATTTTTATGAATTTTTAAATTAACAAATTTATTTTTAATTATGTAACTTTTATTTATTAATTTCAGTTTAATTTAAATTAACTAAAATTAAAATTAGAGTTTATATGAAATTAAATTTTTTAAAATTTTAAAATTTTCACTCACTCCAAATGTATTGACCTAAATATCCTTATGAATTTTTATATTAATAAATTTATCCTTAAATATATAACTTTTATTAATTAATTTAAGTTTAATTTAAATCAATTAAAATTAAAAATAGAGTTTATATGAAATTAAATTTCTTAAAATTTTAAAATTTTAATTGAAAAAATGTTAAAAGTGATTAATGAAAATATCCTTAGTAATTTTTTAATAAATTTTAATTTAAATGAATTTTCTTTTTTTATTATTAGACTTTTTTTTATAATTAGACTAATAAAGTGTTAAAAGTGATTGATTAAAATTATTTTAATAAAATTTTAATTTCAAAAATATTAAAAGCGATTTATTAAAATACCATTAGTATTTTTTTTATAAATTTTAATTTAAATGATTTTTTATTATTAGACTCATTTTTAATAATTAGAATGACTTTTCACATAAATAAAAATACAAATAGAATAAGATCAAAATTTAGTGTGCATAAAAATAGAATAATTATATGGAATTTATTTCTTTAGTTGTTGTAAAAACGATTGTATATGTAGTTTATGTTGATAAATACATTTATTAAAGATAATCATTATTAAAATATTGAAGCATATTTTTTTCTATTTTGTGCCTTTTAATTTTTTGTTTTAATATATTTGTTAACTATATATGTATGGTAATGATTTTATTATTTATACGTTTTATGAATGGATCGTTTAATTTGATTATTGATAACATAATTAAATCTTTTTGGTCCTTTAAAATAATTCTTTAACATATTATTCCTACATTTTAGTCTGATCTCTATAATTAATTTCTCTTTTGTATTTTTTCTTCTAAAATCTTATAATTATTATTCTCATAAATAAAAATTAATATTAAATTAAATGCAAGTAAATTGCACATCCTTTACCAGCAATTAACATTATATGATTCATTAAATACTTTAATTAGACTTTTCATCTATATAATAAAATTATTCAGGAGGTGGTGGAGTTACCAATAGCTTAAGATTGGGTCCATCAAATCCATATAAGAATTTTTCATCTTGATTGATACAATAATTGATTTAATCTTTCATAATTGTATTAAATAATTCATTTTTTTATCATCTAGGTGATTGAAGGCCTAACATGAACTATTATAAGTAGAGAATTATTATGTGAAGTAAAATTAATTCTTTTTAGTTAATTCTTTTAAGGTATGATAAATTTCTTGGAATTATCTTTTGAATGTCTTTATGCAAAAGTTATATTCATTCATGAAAATTTATGTTGTTAATACTAAAAAATAAAATCATTATAAATTATATAGGTATTATATAACAAGTTTGTTATTATGAGAATTGAAATTTTCTTAAGACAACATGACAAATACCAAGGTTAAGAATTTATTTTATTTCTTTTTAAGCTTTAAAATTATATATATTTAATATTTTATATAATAAAAATTTGTATAATAAAATTTTTTAAGTAAAAGAAAGGTAAGTTTTCAATTAGTAGAACGTATAATTATATTCAATTGATGAAAATACCAATAGAAAATTATCTTAAGCAAAAAAATAAGGTAAAAGATTGACCGGTTATGCATAACTTTATCTTCTCTACATGACAAAAAAGTTTAGTGCTACATGATATTTTAATAAAGAAATACAAATATATTGATTTTAAATTTTTTAGGATTAATGGGAAACTCTTTTATTAAAAGAAACATTGTATACTCCTTCATTTTTTTTCCTTTATATTAATTGAAAAATGTTTACTACTATATCAAAATTTTAAGGTCACCATATTAGGCAATATTTATTTAAAAGAATTGAAATTTATCAAATTAATTATCGCTATTACATTTAATATAAAAATATTAACATAAATTATAATTTAACTAAACTTAAAAGTAATTTATGGAGTTAATTAGTAAAAATGTTTATTTAATTGTATATTTAGTATTTCAATTGTCTTAAAATTTAACCTTTCATAATTTTGAGTTGGAGTTTAGAGTTTTGATTAGCGATCATTTAAATTGAGTTAAATTTTATCATTTATTTCTATTCATAGTATACTCAATTATTCACTTATACATCTGAGTAAATTTAATTAATAATTGGATCACACTTCTATTTGTTTAAGTTGTATTCAAACCATCTTAAATCAAAATAAAAAAGTATACCTTATTACATATAATTGCAATTTTACTTTAGAAATATTGTTATAATTAATTAATTAATTAATTTAACCACAAAGATAATAAAAATAAGACACCGAAGATGAAGGAAAAAAACTTAAATAAAGAACTTTTAAATTATTATAGAAGATGAATAAAAAATATTAGATTTTGATTAGATTACTATTTCAATTCAAATTTTGGTTATATTCAATCATTTCAAGTTTAAGTACCTACTATGTTATTTATTTTTTAAAAGACATTAAAATCAAGTCAAGTTAGTTCATTTTTATAATTATGTTTATTACATTATTTTTAATTAAATTAAAATTTAAAATGAGTAAAAAATTATTTATACTCAATTTGAGTTTTTAATTTTTTAAAATTTGAGTTGATTAATTCATGTTAATTTAGTTATATTTTTATGACATTGGTAATAAATTTCAAAATAGAATAAGAGCACAACATAATAAAAATTTAAATGCGAAAGTGATAAAATACTAATGATAATTCCAAAAAAAAAAAATTCTTATGCCAAAGTCTTACAAGATCAAAGGATATATATATATATATATATTCTTTTGAGGATTTTAAAATTCGTACTGCAGGAATATTAATTTAGATCAATGAGTTATAATCTTTCATTTTTTTATCAAGTTACTACTAAATGGGTTAAGAAAAATAATTAAATTATTATATTTAAAAAAGATATCATAATTCATACTCATTTAGGAATACCACATATAAATAAATATATTTGGGTTATTATGACGCTTTACAATGTTCTTTACTTTTTTCAAATGAAGAAGTTGATTAGCATCAAAAAATTAAAAAAAAAAGTATTTTTCAATGATGATAATAAGAATGAAGTAACAAATAAAAATATATAATCTTTTCATTTAGCAGTAGAAATTTTTTATGAACAATGTGAAAATAATTATTGTGAATTTAATAGTTTTCAAAATTGTTATCTGTTTAATTTTTATAAACTTTATTTAGTAAATCTGTTGTCATTACTTTTATCATATATATAATAAAATTTTACCCAAAATTATATACTTAAAAATAAAAATATAAGGCAATGTTCATCACTTTTATTAGTGATAAAATATTTTAAAATTTTTAATCTTTTATATGTAATTGTACTTCTCTAATATGTATGAAAATATGTACACTAATAATTTGATTAAATTATTAATAAAACTTATCTTAATACATATTATTCTTTCATGAACTAAACATTTTGAAAAATATCTTAGAAATATTGACTTAATAGATATTGTATATATTTATTTAATTTAGTTTTGATATACATTAATATAAAAATTTATGATTTTAACTTATTATTACGTGTTAAATTACGGATAGTAAATTAAGATCGTTTACTCATGCTTTTCAAGTTATTTACACTTACACTTTTATTACGTTTTTTTTTTTTACCATACAAATTACATCATCTAAAATATATTATGGTCACTTTCTTTTTAGATTGCACAAAATAATGATAACATAATAGTAAATAATTAATAAATTAGTAATTAAAAATTGAAAACTTAAATGTAATTGGTATAATTTAGTAGTAATTATCGATAACTTAATAGTAAATTAATGATAACTTAATAGTAAATAATTGATAATTTAGTAGTTAATAATTGATAGCTTTTTAGTAAATTAGTAAAATATAATAATAAATGCATAATACTTTAATAGTAAAGCAATTATAATATAGTTGTAAATGCATAACAATATAATACTAAATCAAAGATAACTTAACAAAAAATAAGTGATAACTTAGTCATTAATTATTGATAACTTAGTAATAAACAATGAAAACTTAATAGTAAATTAGTGACAATTTATTTGTAAATCAAATTTATAGTAGTAAATAATAAATAATTTAAATAAATCAATAATAATTTAATAGTACATAATTGATAATTTAGTAGTTAGTAATAAAAATTTAAAAGTAAATCAATATAATTTGGTTACAAATCATCGATAATTTAATAATTAATAAGTGATAATTGAATAGTAAATCATGTATAATTTAATATAAATTAAAAATAAAATTGTTAGTGAATTATAGATAATTTAGTGATAAATTAGTGATAATTTTATAGTAAATAACTGAAAATTAAGTAGTAAATCAATGATAACATATTAGTAAATATATAAAAATAGTAAATCATTGATAATTTAATAGTAAATTAATAGCCTAGTAGTAAATCAATAATAATGTAATAATAAATTACTAATAACTTATTATAAATCAGTGATATTTTAATAATTAATTAGTTAATCATTGTTAACTTTTTAGTAAATCATCGATAAACTAGTAGTAAATTAATTATAAATTTATAATAAATCATCAATAATTTAGTGGTAAATCACTAATAATTTACATATAGAAATCATTCATAACTTAATAGGAAATTATTAATAAATGAATAGTAAATCATTGATAATTTAGTAGTAAATCATTAATAGCTTAGTACTAATTATTGATAACTTAATTGTCAATTATTGATAACTGTTTTTATATTTGAAGCTGTCAAAGATTAAACCCTGGTTATTAGCAGAAATAAAGTCAAAACTTTTATTTTGAGATTAGGATAAATTTAACATGAACTTATTCAATAAAAAATTAGTAAAAATTTTTAAATTTGAATAAAACAATAATGTTAATTATCTCATATATTATTAATGGACTTTTTAGATTCTATGTTTTATAATTGTAAATGTATAACAACATATTAGTAAATCAATGATAGGTTAATAAGAAACAAATAATAACTTAATAATAAATCAAAGATAACTTAATAGTAAATTAGTGATAGCTTAATAGTAAATCAATTTTAGTTTAATAGTAATTAATTAATAAACTTAGTAGTAAATCATGAATAACTTAGTAGTAAATCAATGATAATTTAGTCATTAATTATTGAAAACTTAAAAGTAAATTAATATAACTTAGTAGTAGTAAATTATCAATAACTTAATAGTTAATCAATAATAACTTAATAATGAAGTATAATTTAATATAAATTAGTGATAACTTGATAATGAATTATAGTTAATTTACTAATAAATATGTGATGATTTTATAGTAAATAATAAAAAAATTAAGTAGTAAATTAATGATAATATAATAGTAAATGAATAATAACATAATAGTAAATCATTAATAATTTTTATATAAATTATTTATAATTTAATAGCAAATCAGTAAAAACTTAATTGCAAATAAATAATAATTTAATTGTAAATAAGTGATAATTTTGTATTAAATTAATTAATCATTGATAATTTTAGAATAAATTATCAATAAATTAATAGTAAATCAATTATAATTTTATGATAAATCATTAATAACTTAGTAGTGAATCATCAATAATTTATTAATAAATCATTTATAATTTAATAGTAAATCATTTATAAATTAGTAGTACTTGCATGTTAATTTAGTAGTAAATATTGATAATTTAGTAATACATCATAGATAGCTTATTAATAAATCATTGATAAAATATCACTAAATGAATGATAACTGAATTATCAATTATTGATAAATCTTTTATACTTAAAGCTGTTAGGAACTGAACCTTAATTACTAGTAAAAATGAAGTTGCAAATTTCATTTTGGGAGATTAAGATAAATCTATCATGAATCTATTAAATAGAAAAATTTAGTGAAAATATTCTAAATTTAAATAAAATAATATATTATTATATAAAAATTATCTTATACTAAAATTGAACCTTTACTTTCTTGCGGGAATTCATTATTAAATATGTGCTAGCACAAATTTTTTATATTTATCAAAAGTATATAATAAGTTACCATAAGATTACTAAAATTATATCAAGAGGAAGATGTTATCAAAATTTTATAACAACTTATCAAATTTGCATCAATGGTTACCAAAATATATCATAAGTTATCAAAGTAATATCGAAGGTTATAAAATTATATCAAATGTTACTAAAATTTTATCAAAGGTTATTAAAATCAAAATTATATAAAAAGTTATCAAATTTTACTTATAATATAAAAAATACAAATTAAATTATTAGTATATATCATTATTATCAAAAGTACATAAAAAGTTATCAATTTTTACTGATATTATATCAAAATTAAAAATAAATTGTTAGTGTTTATTATTATTATAATATTAAAAAATATTTATTAAGATAAATTTTAAAACATAAAAATTACTTGTACACCATGCACATACTTATAATTAGTGTGTGTATATATATATATATATATATATATATATATATATGTATGTATTTTTATTTTTCAAAATGTCAAATTCATTAATCCAAAAGGAACAGTCACATGCTATATATTATTTATTTTGTTAATGTTCTAAAGTTGGTACGGAAAAAAGTTCTAATGACCTGTCATGAATGAAATTAATTCTTGATAAATAAAACTCAAATTCTAATAATTGGTAGGATCATTTTCCTTAATACGAGTGATTTGAGATAATTTTTTATTAAAATAATTTTAAATGTATTATCAATAATTATTATTTTTTAAATTATCAAATATGACATATTTTATTTTAATATTGCTATTTATATAAATCTTCAAACAATTTGTTTCTTGTGTAGGATAGTCTTTGAGTTACATTGCTGACAAGAAAATTCTCTCCTTTGGGACCATGTGACATTGCACAAGCTCGATGGATATACAGTCGACATAGTTATGCCATCAAAATTGGAAAGGTTTGCTATATGACAAATGAAATGAACATCTTTTTCTATTTCCAAAGGTTTGCTATATGACAAATGAAATGAACATCTTTTTCTATTTCCTTTTACTTTTCTTGAGAAATAATCAAGTTAGAATCAAAGAAATAAACGAGTGATGTCCTCTTATTGATTTTAGCTGTACATACAGGCATTTGTTCTTCAATTTAACTCTTTTTGTCATGGGAAAAGAACAACAGTACTTTCCGAATATCTTTTTGTAGCTCTATCCATCAAAGAAAAAAACTCATGTCCCCACCCTGACAAGACCCTTTAAATAATGGGAAAATATCTATCTTGTTCCTGGACTAAGCTTTGGGCCTGACTTCAATGCCTTCAATTATAAGCCCTCCTTTAAGCTGATGACCCTTGATTTCCATCAAACTCATTTTCAGTTCTTCATCATTTTCACCATTGAAGAATTCCCCGAGCTCAATCTCCATCCAACCATCTTCTCTTTTGCTCAGAACCCGATCATCTCCTTCAATAACCCTTGATTTCAGCATCTGCTTCCTGTTTGAATAAAACAAGTTTTCCATTCTCTGTTTCTTGTTGTCTTGTCTACGCAGATAAGCTGTGTTTTTGAATGCTTGATTGCCAATTTCAACAGATGTTTCTGATGGTATTAAATCAAGCCCATATGCACGGTCAGCGATTTTCAGTAAAAGATAAGCTCCATATTTTGTGTTTGGAGAAAGCATTTTGGTTCTGATCTTGCCATGAATTTCCAACCAGCTGATAGTTCTCAGTTCAGCTACCTCTGAGAATCTAAATAACAAGAAATTTATGTATCAGAATTCAGAAACTGTCTGCTTAATTTACTATTAACAATATCGAATAGAAGCAAAAGCACCGACCTTGATTCAGGGATGGGTTTCCAAACCCAAAACATTGGATAATTGCTCCAGGTTATAGAAAGCTTCCTTGCTGATAAAATGTAAGATTTTCTTCCAGTTGATCTCTCTAATTTGAAGCTCTTCATTACATTGAATAAAACATATGAAAAAACAGTAGATTAAAGAGGTCAAATCTACTAAAATATCATTAAAATTTAAGTGCTTTCGCTAACTAGTGTCACTGGAAACTAACCATTTTGCCGTCAGCTATAAGAACAGGATTGCAGAGGAGGAGATAAAGCTCTTTCTTTGAAGAAAACATGAAGGTATTACCAGCCTTGGAGACAATTTCATGATAATCAGATGGCAAGAACCTCTCCCAAACCAAATCAGATTTTGCTGCTGAATGAAAAGCAGTTGATACCAACGAAGATTTGCAAGCATCTGGGGGAGAGGTGAGGGACAGAATTACAGCAACACAGCTCTCTGGCAACATGTTCAAGTCGAAACAGTCCATTTTTTTAAAGAAAAATAGTCTTGAAACCAATTGAAAGAATCTAAACTAAAAGCAAAACTATATATCCAATATAAAGATTGTGGGACTTTTTCCAATGGGTCTTTGCTGGTTATAAATATTTCCAGCGAAACGAGTAAATAAAAAGATCGGTCATAGAAATCAAAGCTGGGGGCTCTTAATATTCAAATAACCGTCCCTTTCGTTTGCTTTACATGACTGACAAAATGCAAGTCAAAAAGAGCGGAGATCACTGGATCAGCAAAATCTAACTGCGGGAATTTTTATAATAATTGTTTGTTATTATGGAATCCTTGGGCAGAGACAAAATGGGATCTGGATTTTATGGAATCATTGGGCAAATGGAAAAAATTACAATATGAAACATCTTCTCTTTTTCACTAGTCTTTTGGCCTGAATTCAACACCTTCAATTACAATCCCTCCCTTTAGATGACAACCCTTTACCTCCATCAAACTCATCTTGACCTCCCCATCATTTTCCCCACTGAAGAACTCTCCCAACTCAATCTCCATCCACCCATCTTCCCTTTCACTCATAGCTCCTTGGTTATTACCTTCAATCGATTTCAGCATTTCCATCTGTTTCTTGCTCTCTTGATGGTGTAGGAAAACGCTGCTAGAAGAAACCTGGTTTCCCACTTCCAATGTTATCTCTGATGGCATTAAATCAAGACCATATGCTCGGTCTGAGATTTTCATTATAACATAAGCTCCATAAGTAGTATTTGGGGTCAGCATTTGAGTCCTGATAGTGCCTCGAATTTCTAACCAATCAGTAGTTCTTAACACAGCCACGCTGGGGAACCTGGAAAAGAAATAAAACCATATAACAATTTCCTAAGTAAAACTCATTTCTGATAATGATGGACCTCAAAATATGAATTTGGCAAACCTAACCTATTTTACTTGCATTAATTACTACTTTAATGAAATCATGAAGCAACTTGTGTCTATTGGTAGCATCTATTGGTAGCAAATGAAAGCAAATTGAAACCAACCTTGATTCAGACAAAGGTATCCAGCTCCAATACAATGGATTAGAGCTCCATGTAATGGAAAGTTCTTTTGCAGATAATATGTAAGATTTCTTGCCTGATGATTTCTCCAACTTGAAAATCTGTAAAAATAGAAACTCAATGTTTAAAAATACATAGAGGTTGCAAAATTCATGGTAAAAAATGGCTATTTCCAATGTTCTGCATATCTGACGCAGATTCAATGCCCTTCAGCATCAAATGCAGTATTGGAATTCAATTCAACTTTTCAATAGTAAATAGGATGATGGCATAAAATTTGCAGAAAAATAATTTGGACATGACACTGAAATTAATGAACTCCGACTTTTATCTTCAACGCATTTAAAACCAAAGAGTCAATATTTGAAACTGCTCAACAGGATGAAGATTTTTCAATAAGAAAGGACAAACGAAGAAACAGGAATTTTCTTGCCCTTGATAAGAACCTGTCAAGACAACGAAAGCTTACCTTGTTTCCAGCATCTATGAGAACTGGTTCACAAAGACACTGAAACAGTTCTTTCTTTGAAGAAAACTTCAGAGGAGTGACCGAACTCATTACTATTTCAGAATAATCAGGAGGCAGAAACCTTTCCCAAACCATATCCGAACCAATTGCTGATCGAAAAGTCGATGAAACGAAGGATGATCTAAATGCATCTTCTGGAGAGGTGAAGGAAAGAATAGTAGAAAGACAATCTTCTGGTAACATGTTGTAGTTGTTCAATACTTCAATGTGTGAATTTAACTTCAAAATCCGGTAAAGGGTATATATAGAATTATAGATAGATGAAGCGACAATAATGCAGATGAAACTAAAAAATATAAAGAAAGCATGTGTTCCGTAGCACCTCAAAAGGTAGCATTAAAGCTTGTGGCAATTCTGTACTGATTTTTATAAAGAGTAAGTCTGACAGGTTTGAAATTGAAAGATGCATGGATGTATATTTTAGGTCATTGCTTGAAATATATGAAGAGAGAGCAATATATATATATATATATATATATGTAAAGAAAAACAGTTCATTTCCAAGTATTTTACTGCTAGAAGTTTTTGTCAATTATCATTTTTGCCTAGCTGGAAAAAGGCATCTGGGATTTTTTTGGAGTTCAAAACTGAGGATGGATTATGCTGCTGCGGAGGTATCTACGAGGGCTAAAAACCTGAAAGCACAAAAGAGATAGATCAATTAATGACAACGGACTTATATTGAAAAATTTTTCATTTTACCTCTTTGATCTTAAAATGTCTTACTTTTTTTCGAAGTTTAATCCAATTGCATTCTACCAAAAATTTGGCAACCTGTTCGGTTTTATACCTGAAAAGAAAGATTTAGGCAAGCACTAATACATTCAAGAGTTGCATTTAGAACATTCTAACTTTATTTGTTGAATAGTGTATGTAGGAAACTCTTAACTATTTTTTGCAAGTTTAGGCCCCCTCACCATTTTTACAACTTTAGCCCCCACATATATGGCTCAAGCTATTATGCTTACGAATTATAGGACCACATCAACTAGTTGAATGATCCACATTAAACTTTATTCTAACTCGTGGACAATTTGTCAATTCTTAAAATTAAAGATCCATACGGAAATATCACTCTTATTTAAGAAAAAAAACATCCCCACACGATATTTTTTCAAATAAATATATGGTTTATTGATACGACAAAAAATTGTGATCACTATTAATAAAAAAAACAAAAGGTCAAATTTGGAGGAAGTTCCTATAATTTACAAGTTATTAAAAGAAAAATTAGATAATCATGCAATTATAGTAGGATAACCAAAATTTGATATTTATTAGGTTTTATGTCAAAAAAAAAAATCATATCCCGATATTTAATTCAATGATAAATATAAATTTATTCTGATAAAAAAATGTATGGCCGTAAGTCAACAAATTTGCTTCATGCAACCAATTTAGACATGTAAAACTAACAATTGAACTAGAAATGGCCTCATATAAAATAGGTTAGGCATTGATCACATGGCAAAGTTGAATGTGATGAATTGCCTCTATCATACAAGTTGCTGGATGTGCCTTTAATATTTGTTTTTGAAAGGTCAAAAAAGGCCTAAATGGTGATGCAAGTCCCAACGTTGACAATAACGCAACGAACATCGTCCTGGTCACTATTTGATAATTTAATATTTGGAATAATTTTTAAATTATAATAAAATATTTAAAATAATATTTAAATTTAAAAATTTTTTAATATGATATTTAAATTACAAATTTATTAATTAATATAATATTTCTATTTCATGTAATTAATTTTAAATAATAACATATGATAAATAAATAATTTTTAAAAAATTATAGTAATTGATAAATTCATAATTATAAAATCATGTTATGATATCATATTCTTAAAAAAAAAAATCATAAATCTCACGATAACTGTATATTAAAATTAATTTTGAAATATAAAAGTTAACACCGTCCAATTCGTTCATCGACCCACTTTCGCCACACCTGAGAGTTTGGATGAATTTGAAGTCATAGCCCAAGAACCTTTTTTCTCTTTTTGATAATAAGCCCAATTAACTTTTTTTGGTCCAAAGCCCAAAAGTAACTGTAGTTTGGCAATTGGTTTTCTAACCTTCCGTTACCTTTGGCGCCTTATCTCTCCATCATCGTAAATCACTCAGCTCAACTCGCTAGTTCCACTTGAGGTGTCTTAGTACCCAAATCTTGGAGCTGGTTTTGCTTCTTTTTCACATCCATGGCTTTAACTCAAAACTTCAAACCCACCATTTCTATATCCCCCTTTTCTTCTTCTTGTTTCTCTTCCTTGTTTTCACATAAAACCGATAGGCCATTCTCTTTCAGCTCAAGAATCCATAATCTCCAATACCCATCTCTCAGTCTCACATTCTCCGGAAGATTGTTCTTTCTTCCTTCAGTTTCTAGAATCTGGGATGCGTTAACTGGCAATAACAATGCAAGGGAAGCTGTAATTGCTATAAGACGTGGAATGTTACTGTTTAGACAGGTAGGTAAATCTTTTTTTCTTTCGATTTCATTTGATTCTGTTACTTTTTTTTTCTGTTTAAATTTATGAAGTTTTGTGATTTTTTGCTTTTAAAGGGTGATGTGTCAGGTTCTTTAGCAGAGTTTGACAAGGCAATTGAGTTAGATTCCCGACAAAAGGCATGTAAGTTCCTAAAGATTGTCCCTTTTATGTTGGACCTTTATGTAATAATGTGGATTTTAACAATGTTTATGATAGATCTTTGGCAAAGGGGGCTGTCACTGTACTATCTTGATAGGTACAGTTCTATATTTCTGCATTTTACTTTGCTTTGGTTACGCTGAATCGTGGTAGGGAAAAGGAATGGAATTTCACAATTTGATGCTTCATTGAGCTTGATGGCACTTACAACTCAATTTAGTTAAGGTCTCTTTATGTTTCATTGCAAACAGATCATTGAAAATTATCAACTTTATCTTCTGATTTTTTTTTCTTCGTTTTTGTTGGAGCAAAACAAAAGGGGGAAATAGTTATTTGTTTAGTATTTGATACAAACTGAAGAGATTGAGGTGGGTTTTGGTTCTTTTTAGGTTTGAAGAAGGTGCTGAGCAGTTTAGATTAGATGTTGCACAAAACCCAAACGATACTGAGGAATCAATATGGTGCTTTCTCTGTGAAGCTCAATTATATGGAGCAGATGGAGCAAGGCAACGCTTTCTTGAGGTAAGTAATAGAATAAATAAGGCTAACAAGATAGTTAGTAAGCCAACAAAATCTCACCTTATAATGAACGAGCTTTCTAATGAGTTGATAATGTTTAAAGAACTATATATCCCCTTATTGTTCACCTGTTGAAGTATCAACAGCACAGAGGCGTAGTCACAGTGAGATCAGATGAGCTGTCATGTGGGAAGCTACATGTTGTCTAACTGGTTACTATCTAAATGCAGGTTGGCAGAGATCCACGACCTGTCATGCGGGAAGCTTATAACATGTTTAAAGATGGAGGTGATCCAGAAAAGGTATTGATTGAGTTGAACCTCAACCCCCCTCCCCCGCGGATCTTAACTCTTCCTTTCTGTACTAATTTCCATGAAAACATGTTCTATATTTCTAACTAAACACTTAATTGTTCTATACAGCTCGTTGCTGCATTCTCCAATGACCAGGAGAATGAGTACTTCTATGCTTCTTTATATGCAGGACTTTACTATGAATCTCAGGTTTGTTCTGATCCTTCAATATCATACTTGGTAAATTGGTGATGACACATGAAAGTGTTTGATGTTTGAAGCAATACTGATTATCATGTTATCATTGCTTACGAAATGTTTGTATATATTTTTGGAATTGTTGCTTTCTGCTTTTCACCTTGCAGAAGAAATCAGATGCTGCCAAAGTTCACCTACTTTCAGCATGTCATTCTCCTTATGGACAAAGGTTTGAATTGAGAATATGTTCACATTCATGACCACTGCAACTAATAGCAATATAACATTGTTACACATTGCCCAATTTCATTTTAGGTCTGATGATTATATGGCTTCTCTTGCCAAGGTTCACTGTATTTGTCGAAATTGGAGTTCTGAGTGAAATTCCTTGCTGAAGCCTGGTGAAATGAATTTAAAAGTTAGTTTCAGAACTTAAAAAAGTTAATTGATCACAAACCATTGAGGAAAGCTGAGCTGGATTCCAAGATAATATGTGAATACTGAATAGCTTTATTTATGCACTGTTTTTTCCTATTTAATAAGGAGATCCCAAGTAGACAAATCCACAAAGGAAGTAAATGATGAACCCATTTTAAATTACTGCAACTATTTCAGCTTTCATTTGCAACTCTAGCAACCACTACAATCAAAAGAAATGGATACAAAGTTTGGCTCTAAACTATTATAGTGCTATATTACTGTAGGAAAATGATGTGCTTCTGCTGTTAATGATTTTTCATTAGATCAGAGAATTCATTTGTCATGAAAAATGCTTTCTCTTGCACCTCATTTTCTTCTCTTACCATCTTTAGTGAAAGCAAAATATACCTGTATGCAAGGAAATGATTAAGCCATAACCCCATTTTAATGTAACTGGCTAGTCCTTTTTACATCATCGCAGTTTATCCAAAGATGCAAAGTTCTTATATATTAAAGATTTAAAGATTATGTCAGTGGATTGCATCTCTAAATAGAATATATGCTTCAAACTGAAGATTTTAGCAGCGGGAAACAACTTTTTTTTTTATACAACGCGGATGGTAGCCTGGTAAAAGGAGAAGGGTCAGATTGTAGGTATCGGAATTTAAATCCAGAGCTGTTGGATGCTATAAAAATAATTGTATATACTGCGTTAAGCTCCTCTTTTATCAACTTTTGCATAGAATTGATCATTAATTTGAAGAAACAAAGAGACGGCGCCTTAATTTTCTATGAAGTGGACTGATGTTCAAAAAGGTTACACAAAGTCAATTTTTGTGCTAATAGGAATCATCCAAGTTTGTGTGCAATGAATAGTTGACAAAAGAACAAGCTAACACCTGTTGGCAGTGATTAATTAGTTCTTCATCAGGTAAGCCATCAAAGCGCATGACCTTCACTTTTTAAATTTATCTTAAGCACAACTCTGGTCAATTTCACCTTTGTTCTCAAACTAAAAGATCCCACTTGATAAATCCTTAAAAGGGTAACTCATGAAATTATTGACATTTTTCTTATTTTTCATCTTTAAAAGATCTCATATTTAGAGGTGTAAATGATACATTAATATTCACAAATTATTCGGATTCGATTTGAAAAAAATTCGGATTCGATTCAATTATTATCGAGTTGAGCTCGAGCTCGAGTAATTCGATTTATCGATCAAGCCGAATTTGAATATTCTTATATCTGGTTCAAGTAATTCGTGAGTCTAATCGAGTTTTTATATTTAAATATATTTTTATTATTTTAATTAATAAAATATTTCGAATCCGAATTTAAGTTCAAACATAAATAATCGAACTTTTATCGAATATATAAATCGAGTTTATTTTTTATATATTAATCGAGCGAGCTTGAATAACTCGAATTCGATCACGAATCGAACTCGAGCTTAAAAAATAAAACTCGATCAAATTTGAATCAAGGATCAAATCTCGAGTTATAAATCGAACTTAAACTCAAACTCAAGCTTTTCACTGTATCGATTCGATTCAGTTCGATTACACCTCTATTCTCCGCAAAGTAGTGAACAAATAGAAGTACGGAATGAAGCAGGCCCACTGACTGGGTCCTTACCTTGCATACCCAGATGATTTAGCCGTACACGACAAAATATATATGGTTAGCATTATTTTTTTCTTTTTTTCTTTTTTTTTTTCTGGGTGGAATACATGATCAACTGAAACAATTCTTGCAGAAACCAGTCATCATCACATTTTGTTAAAAAAAAATGGACAAGTTTTAAGCATATGGGGATCTCAAACATATGCTCTTTTCAGCATATTCGTGGTGGCAGCACAAAAGGAAAGGCATATTCTTAAAAAGTGATTGTGCCACGGCATATGCCTTGTTGAGCAGTTGGAACTTATAGATCAAAATGTCAAGATATCATAATCCAATTAACTAAAATTACCCCATGGCCAATTCTCCATTCTCTTAACAATTTGGCTATGAAAGAATTATCATGTCAGACACATACACGACGAATATAACTATAAAAATTCGATCTTTCAAATGCATAAAAATTATTAAAAAGATCGAATATACGTTTCAGATACATATTATATCTGATACTTATCCTGAACACGAGAAACGTTTGACGACAATTTCTTGTTACATAACAGATGATTCTATCAAAATAGAGTTTCGTTCTGCAACAAGTGGTTACCTTATGATTAAGTCAAAGATATTGCAAAGGTTTCGGAGGTTATATTTGAAGGAAGGAAAGCTGAGGGGGGGGGCGGAAATTTGCCAACGCAATTAATCAATCATCAAACAAAGTTGCTTAGCGGGTAAAATAAGTAAAAATAAATAAATAAAGGAATTCTAATTTGTCCTCCATGAAACTGGATTCAAAACGTGACATGTGGTTGGCAAACCTGTTGTCATCTGACGTGTCGCTATCTCATCTAATCTCAACAAACAATTCCATGTAATCTCCAGTCATTCTATCCCACTTTCTTCTCTTCCTGGTAAATGTAACCTCAAAAGTCTGGTACATTAACTGAAGGAAACTATAAAAACAATAGGTCTTTCTTGTCTGCAAGTTTTCTCAGCAAACAAACACAAGCAAAAGAAAAAAGAAACTCTCCTTCTTTTTATAGCAAGTACAAGTTGGACATGCCAACTCGAGTTGTTGGAGGTTTTGTTGAGATTTTGGCAAGGAGAATTCCATGTCTTCAGAGAGACTCATTGCAGGTGATGTTATGCTGTCTGATGAAACAATGCATAATTCAACAGCGACGGCCTTGGCATGGTCTGGTTCCTTCAGACAATGTGGCGAAAATGATTCGATCTTCAAAGAACTTCCAAAGGCAACGATTGTATCAGTTTCAAGACCTGATACAGGAGAAATGAGCCCCATGCTTTTGTCTTACACCATTGAAGTTCAATACAAACAGGCATTCACTTCCCTTCCTTTTGCCTCTCACTCTTCGTTTCTATATATATAAGTTTTATGAATAGACAGAGTAAATTGATTGCTTTATTACAATTCTACGTGTATCAATTCCTTTGTTATCGGTATTGCAACTGAATTGTGTATGGACTTGAATTTCTTTTTAACAGTTTAAGTGGGGATTATTGAAAAAGGCTTCTCAAGTTCTCTATCTACACTTTGCATTGAAGAAGCGTGCATTTATTGAGGAGTTCCATGAAAAACAGGAACAGGTTTTCCATTTCCCTTGCAGTTATTCTATTTCTATAATTGTAGGCTTGTCAGTTCAAAAGTAAATTTTTAATTTTTTCTTTAAGATAATTAAATTCATTGCCATCTTTTGTTAAAGGTTAAAGAATGGCTTCAAAGCTTAGGAATAGTGGACCAGTTGGCGGTAGTGCAAGATGATGACGAACCTGACGATGGAGCCATTCCTTTACATAATGAAGGAAGCTCCAGAAATAGGTGAGTTTTACAGTTTTGTATGGATTGCTTTAATCTGAGCCATGCTCTACCATTGCTCTGGTTGTTCTAAAAAGTTGATCCTTACTGCAGAAATGTACCGTCTATGGCAGCTTTGCCAATTCTTCGTCCCACACTAGGAGGGCAGCAAAGTGTTGCTGACAAAGCCAAAGTGGCAATGCAAGGTTATTTGAATCATTTCCTGGGAAACATGGATATAGTAAATTCTAGAGAGGTGAGCGTAGAATCCTCTTCTGAGTCATTCATTGATTCTTTTCTTATTCCTCAGCCTGGCTTGTTAGACCATTCACTTGTCTTTAACAAGTAATCATTCGGTTTCATTTTGACATACATGTGAATGTCATAGTCCATAATGTCTGAAGTGTGGTTCAAAGTGTATTATAAAATGAATGTCTTGAAGTTAATGTGATCACTAGTTCTTAACTTTTTTAGAGACAATGGTTTTCAGCACCCCTTAATCTATTCCTTGAAAATGTGATTTCATGTGGCTTAGTTCATAATTTATCCATTTCTGTTCTTAAGTGTGACTCTGTACCAATCAGTATTTAATATTCCATTTTTTAAATCTGATAACGCAATGATTGCATCTAACTACCTACCATGACAAAAGGCCACAAACAATGAATGTAGGTGAGTAAAAACGATATGTCTGTTCATTTTCCTGTCCCTGATTCCTTTTTGTTTTTATGACTTGCACCTGCAACTCATAATGTAGAATGTGAAAGGTGATTTTTCACTGCTGAACATGCTATCTTCTTTGTCCTTTTATTGTCTGGTTCAGCAAGAATGAGTTATTTCTTAATTTACAGTAATAGATTTGTTTGAATAAATTTTGCATAGTCTCATTCTTTGGCCAAAAATTCCATAAGGTCTTTTTTCATGAGTCTATATAGTAAATAAGAGGTTCAGAAGTACTACCATTGACAAGAGGCTAGCAATAGGCAACCCTTTTCCTCATCATACATTTTTCTTTTCTCAATGCTCCTCTGTTTATACTCAACATTTTATTAGAACTGTAGTTCCAATTCCAAATTTCAGGTCTGCAAATTTTTGGAGTTATCTAAGTTGTCATTTTCAAGGGAATACGGTCCAAAGTTAAAAGAAGGCTATGTTATGGTGAAGCATCTAGCCAACGTATCCGGCGACGATGATATTGGATGTTTTCCGTGCCAGTGGTTTAGTTGCTGTAGGAACAACTGGAGAAAGGTAGTTGAATTTCCAATCTGTGGATTGAACTTTACCATTTATTTATTGGTTCCTGCAATATAAATAAAAGCCTTATCTTCTGGTTTTTATATAGGGAAAATGCATAAGCTTAATACTAAAATGGATCCACAAGTAGCAAGGCATTTTTGTATTCCTTCAAGACAGTTCTATGTACCTCCGAATTAAACAATCAAAACATGAAATTATAATTCTCAATAATTCTGTACCAGATGGAGTATTTGTATTTTAATTATTGTTTTAACTTTTGTTGTGTCATTGTTTCTGCATTCAGGTGTGGGCAGTACTGAAACCAGGGTTCTTGGCATTGCTGGAAGATCCTTTTGACACAAAACTCTTAGACATAATTATTTTCGATGTGTTACCAACCTCAAATGAAGACGTGAAGTCTCGAGTGTATTTAGCAGAACAGATAAAGGCACATAATCCTTTGTGCTATACATTTAAGGTGAGCTATTTTTATATTTCTATTTTGTTGAAAATATTGATGTGTCCAAAGTATAAATTCTGTTTCCAGTCATAGTCTAACCAAAGCAAGGAATGCAATTACAGAATGCAGTCTTGCAGTATCCTGAGAATTCTATAACATGTTACATGTAGTATATGCCTATGAGAAATATCAATTACCATCATTCTGTTGTAAGCCCAAAAGGCCACAGAAAGCCTTCTTATAAATTTTAACATTTGCAATGGTGAAATTGAAGCTTGTTTAGTCTCGTTTCAATGATTGATCCTTATAGCAAGTTTTGGATGTTGGATTGTGGCATTCTTCAGCATACCCAATAATGTGCATTGATCGCTTCTACTTGTGATATAAGCACATGCACCTACTTGTGATAGAATCAGTATTTTCAAAATCAGCTAAATAGAAGCTTTTTCTCAAATTCAAATCTAATGTGGAAATGTGATAAGGTCTCTTGTGGAAGTCGGAGCATAAATTTCAGAGTCACTAGTAATGGTAAAGTCAAAGAATGGGTTGCTGCAATCAATGATGCAGGCATAGGGGCCCCTGAGGGCTGGTGTTATCCTCATCGCTTTGGTTCCTTTGCTCCTCAAAGAGGTTTGAATGAAGATGGGAGTCAAGCTCAATGGTTTATTGATGGTAAAGCTGCTTTTGAAGCAATTGCTTCTTCAATAGAGAAGGCAAAATCAGAGGTTCAAAGCTTCCTCTGCCCATCAAACAAATTTAGTATATGTGGATCCCCATTTATTCCTGGAATTCAATGATTGAAATTTTTATCATGCAGATATTCATAACTGGCTGGTGGCTCTGCCCAGAGCTGTGTCTGAGGCGCCCTTTCCAAAGTAATTCTTCCTCTCGGCTTGATGCACTGCTAGAAGCAAAAGCCAAGCAAGGAGTACAGGTGCAAATATTTCAGCTTCTGCTTTGCCATTCTTGATGATTGATTCTGTTCTCCTCTAGGCTCTTTCTATAATCCATGGTTATTTTATTATCACAATCATTTGAATTGCTCCTTTTCTTAAATCAAGTAAAATTAACTATGCAGATTTACATTCTTCTCTACAAGGAGGTTTCTATTGCTTTAAAAATCAACAGTATGTATAGCAAGAAATTGCTTCGTAACGTTCATGAGAATGTGAGGGTGCTGCGCTATCCTGACCATTTGTCAACAGGCATATATTTATGGTATGCAGCTTAGAGATAAAATTCAGTCCACATTTCTGATAAAAACACCAATGATCTGCATTTTATATTGACATCAAGATAAATAGAAAGTTTAGATCTTAAGTTACTTGTTATGCTTATTGTTTTGCTATGGTTGAATGCAGGTCCCATCATGAGAAACTTGTTATTGTTGATTACCAGATATGCTTTATCGGAGGTTTAGATTTGTGCTTTGGACGCTATGACACAGTTGAACATAGAGTTGACGATTGCCCTCCCCTTGCATGGCCTGGAAAGGACTACTATAATCCAAGGTGTGTTTCTTTGATTCTCCTGGAAAATCATTTCAAAATCCTAACAAGGATTGAATTATGAGGCAATATGTACAAAATAGCCGTGCATGCTGATAATTACTGTTACTACACTTTTAAGCATTTATTTTAGAAACAACTGTATCCAATGAATCTGTCTATCAAGTTGAAAGTGATAGTAGTAGGCTGCTTTGACATTGTTTGATTTCTTTGATGGATATGGTTAGAGAATCTGAACCTAATTCCTGGGAGGAATCAATGAAAGATGAACTCGATCGAGGAAAATATCCCCGTATGCCGTGGCATGATGTTCACTGTGCTCTATGGGGACCTCCATGTCGTGATGCTGCTAGGCACTTTGTTCAACGTTGGAACCATGCCAAGGTTACTCTTCGAGCACATTTTTCTCATCTTTGCCAAAGTTAATTTTTCTGATACAGATAAACATTTTGTTTCCAGAGAAATAAAGCTCCACATGAGCAAACAATTCCACTACTTATGCCTCAACACCACATGGTCCTCCCTCATTACATGGGAAATAGAGAGATTAACATTGAAAGTAAGGGAGAAGTCAATCAGAAAGACCTCAGCAGACAGGATTCCTTTTCCTCTCGATCACCCTTTGAAGATATCCCACTGCTTTTGCCCCAGGAATCTGATGGACTTGTTTCTAACGGAGACCAAAAGTTAAATAGTCTGTTCAGTAAGCATGATCCTTCATCTCAGGAACATGGAGTTCGTGGAAGTTTTCCATCTTCCCATGATTCTGAAGTTGACTCCTTAGGTTCAGATAAACAAATTAAAAGTACAGCAGATGACCGTCATAGAATGGATCCTCAAAGTTACCTGGAATCAAATGAAATGCCACTGTCAGATATGCAAATTTCAGATGAATGGTGGGAAACAACCATGAATGATGACAATGATGTTTCTGCAGGTGAATATGGAGAAATTGGTCCTCGAACAGCATGTCATTGTCAGGTTAGGTTTGCTCTTGAATGCCAATGAACTTAGATTACATGATGTTCCATGATTTTGCTGTCGTACTTGAATCCGTGGACAGACTTACACTACAGAAAAGGTTTGCATATTCTGTTGTTTTAGAGAATGAAGGCCATGTTCCAAAAGCATCTATCATCACACCAAAAGTCCTGGTCAATATACCATATTAAAATTTACTTCTTTTATTCATATACATGACCAACCAAGTTGGTAGCTTTCTCATTTGTATCTATAATTTAGTTTCACTATATATCCATACACCAAAAATCCGAAATATTAACTTTTATGACCAGGAAAAATATGTTAAAGTGGCATCCTGGTATGGTTAACTACCTTTTGCATTAGATGTTCTGTTATATCTATGTTAGCTTGCTTAGATTCCTTCATACTGTAGGTATACCATTTCTTAACCAGATGATGAGAAGGTAAGATGAGATATTATTAGTTCTTTCAATGTTGGTATTCAGCCAAGTTTTAATCTACGCAGAAATACTGAATCACTTAGCTTTATTCAACCTGACAACTGCTTAAATGAATGTCATAGCTCACAATTAGTTGAAACTTGATTTCTTTGCTATTGTTTTACTTCCTCCCTGATGAGTACTAAGTTTTCATTTACTTTTCTCCTTGTAACTTCTATTTCATGCTCTCATGGGAGTACCTGATCTGTAGGTTATCAGAAGTGTAAGCCAGTGGTCCGCTGGAACCAGTCAAACTGAAGAAAGTATTCATAGTGCTTATTGTTCCCTAATTGAGGAGGCAGAACATTTTATTTACATTGAGGTAACACAAGTTGCTGTAGCATCTTTCTCCTGGAGTTGAAATTGAAGGCCATGGTTAAATGAGTTCTCAGTTCTTATACTAACTATTTGCTGTTTCTATTGGTTGATTGCTTCTAGAATCAATTTTTTATATCAGGTCTTGCAGAAGACGAGATTGTACAGAATCGTGTCCTCGAAGCATTGTACAGACGGATTCTGCGAGCTCACAAAGAACAGAAATGTTTTAGGGTTATTATAGTCATACCACTCTTACCAGGCTTCCAGGTGCAAAGTCTTTGCATTAGATCCTGAGTTCTTATTTCAAATCTAAGATGCTTAGTCTTTTCTTTCTTCGTGATCATTGATTCACAGGGAGGTCTGAATGACAATGGTGCAGCAACAGTTAGAGCCTTAGTTCACTGGCAGTACCGAACAATTTCCAGAGAGAAAACTTCAATATTGCATAATCTGAATGCACGACTTGGCCCTAAAACATGGGATTACATTTCCTTTTATGGTCTGAGATCATATGGTAGACTTTCTGATGGTGGTCCTGTTGCTACCAGTCAGGTATTTTTCTTGCATTACGTGTTTCAAATTTATGTGCCTTTTGCTCCATATAGAATATTTCCTTGAGGGTCTAATCTGTTCAAAGTGCTTCACACTACCAATTGGGAGGGAGGGTCCTTTGACAGTGATTGCATAAGGACATAACTCCAGTTTTGACTCATAACCAGTTAATTCATGTAACAAATTCTCATTGTTGATACAGGTGTACGTGCATAGCAAGTTGATGATTATAGATGATCGTCTTGCTGTGATTGGTTCATCCAATGTCAATGATAGGAGTTTGCTTGGATCAAGAGACTCTGAGGTATTTTTTGCTTCTCTCTTAATCTTTGAAAACTCTCATCTTGTGACATAAATGATCGAAATTGAAATTGTCGCTTAACCAAGGTTTAGCACTACTTCATCAATTGAAATAGGCCATCAAGTGATAATTGCTATGAGCAAGCTAGTATTTGGTAGCATGAATATTGAGGATGATTGTGAGAACAGAAGCAGGAAGTTATATATTTCCTCATTATAGTAAGAATATCACTTCAAGAGAGAGTACCATCACTTGGCTCCTAGCAATTCCTCCAAAATAGGTTCTGAGGGATCATTCCATTCAGGGTAAACATTTGCATCAAGCTCATATTTGATCATCATATTCTGACATTAATGAAGGAAATTATCCGCAACTCTGTGATTAGAGTTTTACATGCTGTCTAGACATGATTACCAGTGTTTGATAATAAAGTCTCGGGTCTCATGTTGAGAAGCTTATCTCGTAATTGACAATGATTGCTCTTGCAGATTGGAGTAGTCATTGAAGATAAGGAGTTTCTTGAATCATCTATGAATGGAGAGCCTTGGAAGGCTGGAAAGTTTGCTCATAGCCTGCGGTGCTCACTGTGGTCCGAGCACCTTGGCCTGCATCAAGGAGAGGTTAGTTAAATGATCGATATTAACACTACCATATCAGCATTATTTTATTTCATTTTTTTGGACAATTCATTTATCTGCATGATTCTTGATTAAATGAGATTTTACATCAAAGCTACTCTTCATGTTTGCTTTTTCATAGAATTTGATCAATCTTTTTCCTTATTCTCTATGTTCATGATTCTCGACATTATTTATGGTTCATGCATGTCATCATGAAAGAACCAGTCAAATTATGGTTAAAATATAACGTTGTTAATCCATTGAATGCTCTTACTTCCTTCAGATCAGTAAGATCAGTGATCCTGTGTTGGAACAAACTTACCGAAAACTATGGCTAGAGACTGCAGAGGTAAGATGCTGGTGGTATGGATTGCTTAGGCTATTTCCATCGCTGTTAACTTGACTTATGTCGCATTGCTATAAAATCTGACAGTGCAACAGCATGATTTTCCAAGATGTCTTTGCTTGCATCCCCAATGATCTTATATTCTCCAGGTACATTCCTACAGGAATATCCTCTCTTTTTTGTTCTAAAATCGGTGTTCTTTCTTTCTCATAGCGTCTGTTTCCTATCAAATACAGAGCTGCTCTGAGACAAGACATGTCCTATTGGAAAGAGAAACTTGGGCACACCACCATTGATTTAGGTGTAGCCCCTGAGAAGCTAGAAACCAAAGGGAATGGAGAGATTAAAACCGTAGATCCCATGAAGAGACTGAAATTGGTTAAGGGACATCTTGTTTTATTCCCTTTGAAGTTCATGTGTCAAGAAGATTTGAGACCAGTATTTAATGAGAGTGAGTTTTATGCTTCTCCTCAAGTGTTTCATTAAGTGTAAATTGTATAATCTGTACATAATTAGGTGAAGCCTATTCATTCAGCTGATTGATTCTCTTCTTTTTTCTTCCTTTTCTGGCTTGAGTTCTGATTTTGACTTTGAGATCTTACTGCAGAACAATTAATTATGTTCTAGCGGTTTCAACCAAATTGAGCAACCCACAAGGGGCATGGTGGATGATATTTTTTCCCATTTGTATGTATAAAAAAGCATCTATATTAATCTTGAAACAGAAATGGTTCAGCAAAATATGATCAGAAACAAGAAATGTAACTAACATCAACTCTTCCACATAAGAAAGATTTAAACTTTCTGTAAGATGAAAGAGAAAATCTCAACAACTACTGACTCAAAACTGATGACAAACAAGCATTGTATCAGACACACCAGCAAAATTTATGGAGAAATAAAAAGAACTGATAATAGAACAACAAGAAGAATTCATGGGAGTTGATAAAACAAAGTACTATTCCAACATCAACCAACATATTGTCACCCCTTGAAAAAGAAAAACAAATTGCCACCTCTAGCTGTGAGCCTCTATCAAGCCCTAGATAAAAAGGCAAGGAAGTTAGACTCGTCTTTTCTTTGGAAGCCGGCATCCATTATGCGGACGTCGAGTGGTGTCTTCAATGTATACAACAGGATTCTTATCTAACCGAGAATTACTAAAGCCCTCACAAAAGCTAACAATAGCTTGCCTTTTCTTCTTAAAATGAGTAAAACCTTTCACTCTTACCACAACTGATTTAATCCCCATATTTCTTGCCAGCCGTCCCACATGTTCTGCTGTTGCTTCAGCAGAATACCTAGACGCTTTTGTGCCCCCTAAATGTCCAGACGATGCTCCACATTTTTTATTTCCTTTGGAATCTGTCACAGTGACAAAGGTATTGTTGCGCATGAGCTTTATGTGCACAAAATCAGCATTTTGCTCAACATTGTATTGCGGAAATTGAGAACCCCAATAGTTGCCCCTTCTATCTCCATTTATTGCTTCCCTCACAACGTCCATGGACTTGAAATTCCCTCTCAACCCAAAATCTGTCTGACCTGAAGGACGTATATAACTCCGGAAACTCGAAGCATAAGTAGCAGAGACATTCTCCTTCGCTGTATGTGGATCCAAATTCTTCTCCAGATTTCCAACATTCTCAGAAGATTGTGCACCAGCACTGAAACTCTTTAAACAACCTATAAAATAAAATCAGTTATGCCAATGGGAAAAAGACTATTAACAAATATTTTCAACTACCAAGTCTTATACTGGTTGCACACCGAGTTCCTATACACCACTTTAGCCCAATTTATCGCTTATTGTATGGACAACATCCACAGACCAATTCATCCCAAGTTTAGTCAAAGTGGCTCAACTTATTCTTATAGTTATATCCAATGAATGTTCAAAATAAGCAATGAAATTCATTCACAACCCCAAATGAAATGAAACAAAAAAATCCACACAACTCGTATTAAAAAACTGCTATATAATGTTTATGGGATTCAAGACTCAACTTATACCCATATATGCTATTACAATTTTGATCAATTCTGTTGCCTAACACACCCAGCATCACTAACAACTCCCTAGGTCGCTACCCTTTTCTATTCAATCCCAAAGAAAAGCAAGGAAGTATAACCAACTATCTAGAACCTCCAAAAATACTATCCCAACGACCCTACATTTAGTTGATTCAAGAAATCCTATTCCTTTGAAGTAAAATTAACCCAGGCAAAAAATTTAATCTTCATTTCCAAATCTATTTTTACATCCATAAACCAGATATGGTAATTATACTAATAAGAAATCTAAAAAATAGGCAAAACAGGAAGACGGGTTGGCAAGCTTGAAATGAATCAAAAAATAAATTGTAGTCACAGTGCGTTCCGTTCCAATTCCTAGCATTTCCATGGGAATTTCACAAATTTTCTATCAGAAAATAATACCACATCTAAAACAATCAAATTCTTAAGAACAGTTAGCTTATTGCTACTTTATATTCTGCCCACAAAGTGTTTGCAAAAACTACCGAATAAGAATTCCAAATTCAAAAGCTTGCAAAGCTTAGCTCCTAACTTGCATCAAATTATATCATTCCCAAGATTGAATATTAAAGCCAGAACTTAAAACAGTCAAATTATTGTAGCATCCCCCTTGCTACTTTATATTCTGCCCACCAAATATTTGCAAAAACCACTCAATGAAAATTGGAAATTCCAATGCTTAGCTTCTAACTTGCATCAAATTATATCACTTCCGAGATTGAATATTAAAGCCAGAACTTAAAACACTCAAATCATTGTAGCATCCCCAATGCTTATACAATAAAAAAATAAAAGTGAAAGTAAAAAAAAAAAAAAGAAGGAACTTGCCGAGAAAACCAGAGCGGCTGGCCGAAGCTTGAGAGACCCAGTTGAAGCTGCAAAAGCGTTGAAGCAAAGCTGCAGAAGAGAAAAGACGAGCTTGTCGAATTGAAGACAAAGTGTACATTTTTCTTCTATGGGTTTTTCCTTTGGTTTCAGATTTTGCTGAGTAAAGACTAAAAACTTTGACCCATATAATAAGAAATCAAAACGAGAACAACATAAAATATATATTAGCAAAAAAAAAAAAAGCTGGGTTTTTGCGGCCTATCTTAGGATTAAACCCAAACAACGCCCAACCCACTGATATCTTCATTTTTCCTTCTTAAGACAAGCCCAAATGAAGACTACAGCATAATCATTCTATACCTGCAGATAAGCCCAAATGAGGCCCTACTAAAGATTCTTCCTTTTGGCGCCGAACTCAAGACACCTTTATGTTGTTTTAGACGTAACATAAATAATTTTAAGAGGAATACAATATAAATATTTAAATAATACGAATAATTTAAATATAAATATAATATATTTATTATATGTCTGATATGTAATATGATATAATTAAATTAATATATCTAAAATAAATTTGTTTAATACAATTCAAAGAATACAACACGACACAATTAAATGATTAGACATAAATAAAATGATTAAACATAATTAATCCACTTATTTAAATAAAAAATTATCATTTAAATTAGTATTTAAGAAAAAAATAAAAAAAATAAAATATTAATAATTTATTTAAACATTGAAATGATAGGTAAATACTATTATTAATTTATTTAAGAAATAAATTAAAATAATTTTTATAATTTGTATGTTATATATATTTTTGCATGAATAATATGTGTGTTAGACGTATCATTATTGTTTAATACGAACATAATATGAAAACATAAAATATTATTACACTAAACTTATGCACAAATTTTTTCATATGATTTTATATCTTATCATCATTTCGTATTTAAAATTATCAAGTGAAAAATGATTACAACTCTTATTCAAAAGTCTAAAAGTTTGTTCTATAATTATTAATTTAGATTATTCTTTTAGGTTGGTCATGGGTACTTGAGTGTGACTGAGCTTTGTTCAATCCATGGTGGATCTTGTAATTATGGTGTAAATCTTATTGCTTTTGTTATTAATCCACTATTATGTCAACGCATAATTTGCTGTAATGATTAGATAAGTTTTTTTGTTAAAATCATGTAATTTAAAGTAAGAAGAACGGTTCTTTAGATAAGACCAATAGTGAAGAAACCCAGTCCTTTTTGCTTCACTACAAAGCAAAAGGATCCATCCTTTTCATTAATTTATTAATGGAATTCTAATTTGGAGCAATCCCACAATTGATAAGTATAAATAAAACCTTTCTTCATCTGAAGCAGATTCCTGCCTGTAGATAATTAGTCAACATCTGCAACAAAATCACAGGAGACAGGATATTAAGACAAGTAAACATATAGATATGTAACAACTGAAAAGGAAACATCCCATTCTCTATTTGTGGGGTTGTCTGATAAAATTTGATGAATTCCAGAAATGGAAGTGGACAAAGAAGCTGAGGAAGCAACCTAAAGGAAGAGAATTGCCATGCAAGGGAAGCACCAAATTCTCTTCTTTTTCCTTTTTCTTTTGTTATTAGGCAAAGCTACTTCGAAATCTTGCTGCTTTTTTCTTAATTTGTAGCTTCTTTATTCTTGTATTCTAAAGGATGGAAATGTATAAGAATGGTCATAAACCTCAATCTGTGGTTGCCAGTGCGAGATAGTGGAATGTTGACAAGGGCGGTTTCATGAGTTGATGATCCTTGTTTCCATCTGCATGAACTTGATAATCCAATGGTTAAGATACAATACCTGAGAATATTCAATTTTCCTTCTTATCAAATGCACTAAATTGATCGATCGTTAACCAGTTGGCAATAGCCTTCCAATTCCTGACAGGTCAGGTTAATCGAAAACACTCCTTTGCTTCTTATATTTTAGGCAAAGCCTACAGCACTTTTTGATTGAGATTGTAGCCTGTGAGGGAATTGACCAACATTGCATGTTAACTGTTAACAATTGACAACCAGGATTTTGGCCATTGTTGTTTTCAATGATGAAGTTTTCTAATCATGTCTGAGTTCACCAATTTACTGCAATTTTTAGTGAAGCCTGGAGTGGACCAGAGATAACAGGAAAGCTGAGAGGTTGTAAAATATCAAATGTTTCAAAATTTAAATCCCCTAACACTGCATTTCAGTTTGTAGTCAAATACTAGCATAGAATATGTATATTTCTCCTCTTGGTTTCAAGTGATCACAAGGCTACTTGGAAAGCATCATTGTCAACACCTCTAGGCGAAATTCACAGGCCGCTGCTTCAATCCAGCTAGATATCTAACTCCATTTCAGGAAAACAGAACCCTCGTTTTTAACTTCATAGGGTAAATATCAGGCGAAGGAAATAAATTTTGTTATAGATTACACTAGACCATAGCACGCAGCCACGCACGAAGGGCATCAGTCATTCTAGGAACTAAGGAAATAGAATAAGATACGGGAATGAAATGAACACTTTCTGATCAACTACATTGACGTAAGAAATACACTATCTGGCGATAAACTTTTAAGAGCAATTACCTTGCTCAGTTACATAAGCACTATTTTGAAGTTGGAACAAGATCAACTTCATACTGAGATAAGGGAGATGAGTGGAAGAAGAGGCAGATGGCTGAAATATCATCCATTGCAATGCCCTTCCTCTTCTGTTTCCAAGCATGGACAGCGCACTCAACTAGACGCTTAGCTGCCTTCGCCTTGTCTGGCGTTGAAGATACTATTTGAATCGCTTCCTGATTGGAAACAACATCCCATACCTGGAGGAAAGAAGCATCTGAAATTATTAGTGTGTTTTAAGCACTTCATCTTTCTTCATTTTAAATTTAAGTAACAAGATTCAATCACAAATCAAGCATTGTCATTTGATAGCTTCTCAACAAAGCCTTAATACACATACACACCCCATCAGTAGCAAGTACAACAAATTGGTCTCTGCTGGTTATATGTCTTTGTGTGACTTCAGGAACGGAAATAAGCCCGTAATCCTTTATGCAGTAATCCCCAAAAGCTCTAGACATCGCCAGTCCTGGTGACTCCTCATCAGGCAGCCAAACCCTGTACACCTCTGGCTCATCATGCAAACTGAACACCCGCCCTTTGCACTGAGTTATCCGCTCGGCCTCCTCTGTAAACAAGATCAACCAAAAACAAAAGAATTCTTAATGGTTTCTATTTCTCTTTTACATCTTTAGAGAATGTAAGAGTACTCACGAGGTAAATTGGGCTTGAAATCAACAGTAAGCTGAAGAGGAACCAAGTTTCCATCATCTGAAGTTGTAGCCAAAACAGCCCGAGAATCACCTATGTTGGCCATATATATTAGGTCACCCTGCCCAATATAAGTGTGAAATTATTCTCACTAGTCCTGATAAGTGCAAATACCAACAAGAACAAAATGATTTTTTTTTTCATTTGTAAATTAGTATGCCATTATAAGAAGTAAAAGCTTCAGTTACCTGTCTGACAATTGTCAAGGCAGTTGTTCCACTGTAGAAGGAATCAATCTTCCTATTCTGCTCCAGCTCATGATCAACAGCAGCGCAAGTCTTTAGATAAGAATGCTTCCATATGTGAAATCTCTGATGCTTTTTATCAGATTCCAAATCAATATCCGGGTTAAGCGATGTCTGAGCTAGAGTCTCTTGCCAATTGCAAAGCAAGGAGGAAGGCATTGATTCTCGGACCTTCTTCGCTACAAAATGACCCCATGGACCATGGCCATCAAATATCCCGCAAAACAACATGTCTGCTTGACATCCAAATTCCTATTCCAAGTAAACAGAAACCACAATTATGAATCAAAAACTAAAATTAAAAATGAACCAGATTTTCAAGGCAATCAATCTGCCAAGTACAATACTAATGTCTTACCTCCCATACAATTGCACAATCCTGGTTTACTCCTTTTCTGCCCCTCTTGGAGAAAACTGAGGCAAAATTGTTGGAAACATCAACATTTACAAAACCAGAAGACCTCAAAATCCGGTCATTCTTCTTTGCATCCTTTGCCATTGCCTCGGCAGCTTCTCTTCCATCACCATTCCCTGAATTTTTCCCTTTTCTTATAGAAAAGGACCTTGCTAACCCATTGAACATGGAGGAAAAATTCCTCATTGCGTCTAGAATTCAATACCCACTACCACAAAAACAATTGATGTTTCCCTCTTATAGATCCAAGACCTGCCCATTGGAAACAAATAAATAGTCACATAAACTTCACATTGTGAAAGACTGACAAGTAATGAAAATAGTATAAAATTGTCAAGCAAGGAAGCCTTCTACATGTATATTTTTATTGATTGCTCAAATTCTTGCTTCATAAACAGTAGAAGGTTAAAGCATATTCAATTTGAGTGATACTGTTAGCCAAGAAAAGACATGATCTGACTTAGAAAGCTAGGAATCTAACAATTTAATAACAGTAAAAGCAAGAACATGTGAATCTGAAACACATTACATAGAATATTCATAATGACATGGAATTCCAATAACCCCCCATCTAGAATTTTGAAGGAGCTAAACAAAGTACTAGCTAGTAAATAGATAAAAGGCCTCAACACCTTAGACTTAGCTGGCTTGGCTACCAACATCAAATGTCTGTTTGGTTGCTGAGAAAGGATAACAGGAAAAAGGGGACCTTGAAATTACGATCTTTTAGTATGTTGAAGGACTGGCTAGTGGCAACTTGAAAAGTTCAAAAAGGAAATCTAGAGTGGAGTAGAATTTTTTTCAAGTTAGTTGAAATTTCCCTTTATGGTCAAAAGCAAAAACTAAAAGGAAATAGAGTGTTTGGTTTTCCTTAGTTAATGATCTTTGCTTCTCTATTTCATTCAGGTCCCTTTTGTTTGTTTTCCCAGAAAATCAAAGAAAACGCCAGAAATATATTTTTAAGAAAAAAGAACAAAATTTAATGTGTAAAGTTACTCAGTTTCTGTTCTTGGTTGAGAAACCATAAATTAATCTCAACTTAGTATAAAATTTATGCATTAAAATGAATCAAAATTTGATCTTCAAGGGAAAAAATCCAAACTTCTAACAAGATTTTATTTTATTTTTCCTTACTCTCCTTTGGAAGTACTTCTAAAAAAATCCAAAACAAAATACTAAAAGAAAAACAGGACAGCTCAATTTAGTCTCATATCTACTCAAACCAAACTAAAACAAAAACTCAAAAACCAATCTTTCTTGTCTTCAAGTCTCTTTTCTTCCACTTTCTCAGCAACCAAACAGACCACTCCAACCAAAAAAACCCACCAAGAGCAAGAAAAAAAAGAAAAGATGATGTAATAATTACTACTTAGACCTCAAGAGTAAATGGTTTCCCAGGAAGCTGATACAAACAACTGGAATGTGATGACATGATCCTTACAAGAAAAGCTGAGAAACCGAGAGAAAGAAGATGGAGATGGATCAAAGAAACAACCCATTGTGGAAAAGGAGGAGTATTTTCCTTTGTTTTTGTTTGTTTGGTTTTGATTTTTTCAAGTTCCTTTTATCTACGGAGAAGAAAACAAAGATAGAGAAAGAAGAAGCAAGTTTTGTACATGTATTAACATGCAAACAAACTGTAGCAGTTTTCTCTCTCTTTTTGTGAGACTTTTCCAAACTAAACGCGACCTCTTTTTCTTATGCCTTTTTTGTTCCTAGGTTATAGCTACATATGGAAATCGGATAAAATTTAAATTTAGTTTTGTTATTGTGAAGTTGAGATGAAATTTGAATATTTGAATATTTAATTTAAATAATTTATGAGATCAATAAATTTTTAAATTTTATTTTAATTAAAAAATTATTAATTTGTTTATATATATTAATTCGAATTTAAACTTAAATTTAAATACATAATTAAATTTAAAATTAAGTATGATAATTAAATTCATTTTAATTAAAAAAAGCTTAATTAAGTAAATTTAAACAATTTAATTTTTATCTCGAATCAATATTAAGTTTAAAAATTAAAACTTAATCGAATTTCGAGTAATAAATTTTGAATTAAGTTCGAGCTTAAATTTTTTATTGTATTAACTCGATTCGATTTGATTATACTTCTAATTATGAGGTGTTGTCGTTTTTAATTTTTATTTAATTATTTTTAATAAATAATTTTATAAATTTATTTAAATAATTTAAGCTAAATCTATTCAGCGCAATTTTATAAGATTTGTTTTTTTTTTTTAATTATAAACAACTTAATTAATTTATGAATTTTTATAATATATGATTTGAAATTGTTTTATTTAAATAACGTTCACGATTTGTTGCATTTTATTCCCATGCAATTCAAGCATGAATTTTTTGGAAAAAAAATGCAACTTAATTTTCTTTTTGTAGCATGATTTGTTGAATCAATGGTCAATTTTGGTTAGCCAAATTGGTATGAATTCTGGTTTCTAGGTTATCAAATTGGGGTATTTCATTATTTTTTCATTAATTATAGACTTAATTGTAATTAATTGCTTTAAAAAGCTTCAAATTCTTATAACTTAGCTAATTAAAGTGAAATGAAATTACATGAGCTATTCAAAAAAGGGTGTTTATGGGATATTTTTATTTTCTGAAACTACTTAAAATAAAATGAAAAAATATTTTTCAAAATTTTCAAATTATATATTCAAAATATAAAAAATTATCATATTTTTACATTTAAATATAAAATATCCACATTTTTAGATTTTATTATTATTTATAAATTATTCAGCTTTTTATTTTTTATTGGCATTTTTCATAAATTATTCAGCTTCCATAATTTAAAACAGTATTTTAAACATGTACATCTCCAATACTGTGCTTGCAACTTGATTAAGATATTATCAAATCCAAATTATTGGTAACATTCAAATATTTTTATATAATTGACATAAAATAAAATGTTGTTGTGGCTTTAAATTAAATAATAATATTTCATGCCATCTTATTACTTTTGAACAGTTCAATAGTTAAAATATATATTTATTGGTGAGTTTTGTTGTCCAAAATAACAAGATTTAATTAAAAATATATATTCATGAAATGGAATGTCTAGAATTTACAAATATACTATTAATGGAAATTATAATAAGGTTAGAGATATATTTTAATATTAATAGTGTACTTTTTTGGACAATAAACAAGGTTTTGTCTAGAATCTAGGTACTCCATCATGCAATGATGCAATCTCATTGTTTTTTGTTACCTAATCAAGCAAAATCTCAATATTGAATAAATTACTTCCCATTTGGCTAGTGGTAGGCCAAAACATATAGAACTTCCCATGCAACAATTCATAAAAATAATCAACTTAATCTTGCAAATTGGATGTAGCGTAGGATACCCTAAACAAAAAAAAATGCAAAAAAAAGGACACTTGACCTTACCTAAACCCACGGATGTAACATTAATTACAAATGCATATATCAAATATTATATATACATATATATATATATTAAAAAAATTAAAATTAATAATTTTAAATATGATATAATATCGTGATATAAAAATGATATAAATAAATAAATTTAATAAAATTAAAAAATATATTTTATTTTTTCGTATCGATATAAATTATGAGATATAAGTTTTATATAAAATACATTATATATAAATTTTTAATATTTTATATAATATAAAATATATTTTATCAGATCTGAAATATACACAAAATGTCAGAAATTTGGGTTTAAAGAAGTGTGTGGAGGTGATAGAAAGGCATGGCTTATGCAGGAGTGGCCCATTCCCAACCAGAATGTGATGGCAAATTGACCACTACAACTGATCACGTTCAATGGGAGAGGGGCCCCAAAATCTGAGAAGGCATTGGATCCATGGATTCATGTCGGTAATATGTGCCTCTCCATCATGGGAAAGCATTGAATAATGGAGTCCTCATCAAGTGTTGGAATATTGGAGTTTTTGTGTCAAATACCCGACTTTTCTTGAAACTTCACATCATGGTTCTTCACAAGAATATGATTTTTCATAAAAAAAAAAAAAAGACCCTGAATTTGAATATTGACAATATTTAATAGTTATAGAATCATCAAGAAATTCTTGAGATGACCCTAATTTGAATTTAAATTATTATTTGATATAGAAGGGATGATGTAAAAGTTAAAACTATATTGGATTTGATGTATCCAAAAGCACATAATGATTGTCATAGAACCTTTAGAAATTTGTTCCAGTCCTAATATTTTCAAGAACGATATTATAGTTTCTTCTAGCATTGATTTTGATATGAATAGCCAATGTTTCTTTATCAATTTCAATTTGATATTTGAACTTAATTGGGTTTTGAATCATGCTGATAAGACATGGAAAAGAAAATTTCTATGATCCATCTTCTTGATGATAGTCATCAATATATGAAGCTGGGCAAGTTATTCAAAATGTAGAGACTTCATAAATTTATCATTATGGTCCAAATTTTTTAATAGATGCAATTTTCTAATTATATCTTTTAATTTGATTCAAAAATCAAAGTTAAAAGAAAATTTTGTGAGGAAATAAAAGAATATTTTAATTTTTATTATTTTTTAATCAAATTAAAAGTATAATATTAAAATTACACTTTTCTAAAGATGATAATAAACTAGATCCATCGTTTGAAACTATAATGACAGATTGAGACCTTATCTTTAAAAATTGGTTAATTTTGATGCAATTTAAAGATGTTAATAAATAGAGCATGAGACAGATATAATATTATCCATCTTCATCTTTGAATTTTTATATTATATTTATTAATGTATTCATACTCAACAATATTTTAAATTTATTTTTATTTCTGTGGGTATGTAATGCATATAGATAATCTTATACCTATAACTTTTTAAAAAAATAATTAAAAAATAAAACCAAATTAATTTATTTTTTTAGTTTTTTTTAGTATTTTTGTTTTGTATATTTATGTAATGTTTTTATAAATATATATTAATATATTTTTAAATAAAAATATATTAATTCTAATTAATCTAAAATAATAATTTATATTATTTAATAAAAATTTTATTTACTAAATATATATAATATATAATAGGAGCATAAAATAAATATTATATTATGTATCTCTATCTTGATATTTAATAAAAATTTAAAATTATATTCATTCATATTCTCGCTATTATCCTAACAGTATATCCTCATTTTTATTCAAGTAAAAATTAAGCTTTCTCTTGGATACGAACACGAGTAAATTTGACATCATAATGATGCACATTAATCCTACCATATCTTTCAAGATTAGGCTTAATCACTATGAGATATTGCTCCATTCAGACATTTGAGAAAATTATCCGCCAATTCTAATGATGATCATGATCTAAATATTGAGACCAAATAATGATCAAAATACCATGTATTTGGTCAATTTAGGTATTAAATCACATGGAAAATAAGCTTCTTCACTTGCAGCATAGTTGCGTGATAGGCAAATATATTGCTATCGCAACAACCCACAGTAAACCCACATGATGAAGTCGGCGCAACGGCCACTTGATCATTGATTGCAAATTAGAGGCCACTGGATCAAGTGGTCCCACCAGCACCGGTGATTTCTAACTAATCAGAAGCTGACACGTAATTAACCAACGCTCGCATATGGGGCGGCGCACCAGGCCCCCACTCTAGTTTTCCTTTCTTTTGTGGGTAGGTGTGGACATTGTGGACTTTAAAGTTTAAACGACCAATTAAGACCATGGATTTGATTAGAAAATCTACTCTTTTTGTTTTTATTTTTATTTTATTTTTAACTCTTTAACTAACAAAAAATTGGGTTGTTCAGTGATTATTTTACATTTTTTAATGAATATAAAATTTTCAATTGCTACTTTGTTAGGAATGTACTGCAACCAGGAGTCCACCATGGAAGCCCAGCAAAGCCCATAAAGTTGCAAGTTACTTAAGAAGCCCAATAACAAGGAAATGGCCCACGCCAAAGTACAATATGCGGAATCGTGGGTGTGATGTGAAAAGAGCTAATAATAATGATACCGTACAAATTATGAAATTAATATAGTTTAAAAATTTTAGTGATAATTATATATAAATTTAATAAAATTAAAAAATTATAATTTTTATTTTTGTGTCAATATAAATTATAACATAATTTTTAAATAAAATATGATATAAATATATGAATTTTAATATTTTATACTACATGTATACATGAACATTTCTATCTAAAAAAGTCAATAGAGTTGAAACAATGCAAGCAAAATATATTCCTAAACTAGTAACTCACTATAGTTAGAGATATAATAAACCTTCTACTTATTATACTGCATCAAAATTAAATTTGATAATTTATGTATTTGTATTATATAAAATATTAATAATTTGTATATTAATATTATATTTTATACGAAAATTATATGTTATAATTTATATCAATTCGAAAACTCGAAAACGTAAAATATATATTTTTTATTTATTAAATTCATATATGATGTTTATGTCACACTCATATTTTATTTATATCATTCTCGTATGTATTATTGTATTATATTTTAGATTACGAAATCTAATCAAAATGCCCTTTTGGAAAATATTCAAGCTAAGGTCAATTTGAAGGGACTGTGAATTGGAGATTTTTGGGCCACCCTGGTAAATGGCAAATCAAATGCTCCTT